AATTGAAGGCTATAATCCACAATTTCGGGCCAATTTCCGGAAATTTTTTCAAAATTAAAGTAAATGCGTGGGGTGTCCACTGGGATCATATAAGTTGTTTTGGAACTACAAGAGGCCTATCAATAGGACTATAAAGTTAAATAATGAGTTTGGTTAAGCTATGTGATTAATTAGAATTTATGTTGCATTGAGATGGTTGTTTATATCAACAACTTGGCATCCCAGGGTCCTTATTAAGGTGTCAAGATTCCTTCATCTTAGGGTTCAGAGATACTAGAAAACCTTCGTAACCTTATACCCTAGAAAACCTAATCTGAGACAGCTAGTGCCTTTTGGGCAAACCTTGAGACAAAGATAAATATGTGACATGAACTTCTAGAACATACAGGTTGCTTTCTAGAACTGGCAATTTCATATAATAATAAAGTTTCCAAAAATATATTGACCAAAATTTTGTAGCATACAATTGTCTGTGATACCAATGCATCATTCATTGTAAGCCATAAACCCACTCCCCCAACCATTCCTACCAATATAAACAAATCTTACTTTTCATTGATCACTAGTTTAGTCGTCTATAAGTGAGTAAGTAATGAACGGAAAATCAAGAATTAGTTACCTATACCCCATCTCCCCCTAAATAAAGTTACTTGTTCATAGATTAGTAGTATCATAAATAACTCAAAGAGTTTGATATAGGTTCATTACCCTAAACTATATCAAATATATGTTATTACAAAATTACCTATTTGTAAGTCTTTACTCCCTGAAAAAAAAGTTAGTTCTATGCATTTCATACAAACTCTACTTGGAGCCTCCTCAAGGCCTGGACAGTTAAAATATTGATATTATGATCTTCATGAGGTTTAATCAAACAAACCCTGAGACTAGAGACTTTTGCCAGGCTCCCACTGATAGGTTTCCAGGACCAATTTAAATAAAAAAGGTAGTCCCATCAGACTGACCTTGATTGAAAAGACATCAAACTACTTCACAAACAATAAGCAGAGGGAGCAATTAAATGCATTAATTGATTGAGTCCATACTAATTCAAGCTGAGAAATTACCCACTAGAGATTCAATCAAACATTTTCATACTGTTTCATGGAGGAGACACATTAAAGAGCATTAAGGCAAAATAGTATCAATCTGAAACTTACATGACACCAAGTCGGGAGCACTCCGCTCATGAAACTTTTTCCAAACTGCATCCTGCATCCAGTAATCCACAAATTTGTATGTTAATAGAAGAGAGGTCACATTCTTACCGCATATACTCCACATAATGTGGAAATTTTCCATCCCCTACCCAAGGCAGAGTTAAGCTAAAAGTCTAAAACCAAAGTAATGTGGAAATTTTCCATCCCTTATCCCAGGTAGAGTTAAGTTAAAAGTCTAAAACCAAAGTAATGGACAAATAAATGAGCATAGAAAAAAATTTAGAACACGGGTATAGAACTTATATCAATGTCTCGGTTACTTTATATTGTGGCTTAAACTGCAGTTTTGGTGAAATTTGTAAGACATAACCATCCAAATAGATCTGTAAAAGTAATCTTCCTCGAAACCATTTATTAACAATTGAAGTTCCACATCAAAGAACAAAAAAAGTTTATCACACTTCAAGAATTTCATCGTATTACATAATGAAATAATCTCCATGAAAGGCACCTGACCAAACTGCTGCAGACTTTGAGTATAAAGATAGTAAGGAACTCCTGCGAACCTGATAACTCTTGAGGATTCTGATAGTGGGGTCTCAGGGTTAGCAAAAGAGACCTGCAAACAAATGTAACTAATTCAATAACAATGCAGAATGACATAAGCTAATTCAGAAGATATCACAGCCTACAACTTTTGTTACCAGGTCATAGTAATCCAATACATGCGCAGACAGTTTTATGATGTTCCACTGCTTCAAATATAGAAACCTTAAAGCAGCACTACTAAGATGAGCCCATAGCCAGGTCTTGTTGCTGGTACAATAAGTATCTTTAACTCAGTGTTTTAACAAAGATACGTATTCATGTTTTTATCTCACATCAAAAGACTAAGAGATAACAGTCACCGGAAAGAAAAGATGTTGCTGAAAATTATTTACAAGTGAATTTTTTTCAAAAATTTAAAATTTTTTTTTTTCTTAAAAAAATACTCACTTAAGGTTAAAAGAAAAACAGATTGTCAGAACTCTTTTGGGAACAGCACTTATTAAGGAATACTTAACCGTTATGAGTAATAAAATAGGAGAAGAACATGCACAACATTAAACGTTAAGCAGCAAGAGATTGGTTCATTACATAGACTAAAGATCAAGTGCAAGGACCAAACTATGCAGCAGAAATAGAATTATGCACATGTTACTTAGCACAAGCACACGGATAGAGGCAGGTCAAAGGACAGGAAGAAAAAGAGAGGGTATGAGAAGTGAAATTAAAAAGGAAACCTGCATAGCAGAACTTCCAAGCGAAACTACTCCAGCTGTTTCTTCAGGTTTATTGCCTAGGTATCCGAGAGCATAATTTACAGCCAGCCAAGAATAGAGACCCTCGTCTTGACCTGCACTCAGATTGTGTCATACGGACTTAGAAACCATTGAACAACTGTCATGTGTCATTTCTAATACAACTGAATAAGTAATGGTTAGATTTGAAACCTTTCATCGTTTCAGAGCAAGAATGATCGGAGTAAAACTAAGAGAGCAACATAAAGGGTGCCTTTAAAGGATGTGATGGACCTTGAGTTATTTAAAAAAATTTGAGCTAAAAAGGTTAACAGACTTCCTAATTGTGAGTCATAATTGTTAATGTATCATGCATGTGAAGAAAGATCACAGCATGAGCCTATAACAGAAACAAGTAACTGCCAGATCTCTTCTACGGTAGACTTAGCTATAAAAGATCATACCAACAGCACGACCACAAAAGTATTCAAGTTCCAATGATATGCAATCAATTACACGTCAATAAGAATTTGACAAGCCATAACATCTACATTTCACAAATAGCCAACTAAAGCAACAGATAACATAGGATAGCATGCAATTCTCTCAAATAGAAAATAAACTCAAGGTGCACCTATGCAAGCTTATATACCCTATACTTTTACATTCCCTAGGTTTGAGAGTTACAAGATCACAATTTCTGCATCTCCCACTAGAAAACTACGGATTATTAGCCAAGCACATCAATTCAACCAAAAATCATCAGTGATCCTCTAAAACATTATTGAATTGCATACTTTTCACTAGTCTCTTGCTCTCTTCACTTTAAATCAAAAAGTTAATTTTCATTAATGACAGATTGCTTCTTTCCAGACTTTCAAGAAGCACACAATAATCTAACTAGCAGTGATGATTAAGCATTAATTACTGTGAAAAGTAGCAAAATTTGAGTATAAGCAACATTAAATTCATAATTACATGATCAAATTTCAACAATGTTCCAAATTAATATCATTCCACCTAGTAAAAACACTACAAAATTGCATTCATCTTCAACCAATTAGATCACAAATCACAATAATCATATCTTCAAACTAGCATAATATATGAAATTGCATCAAACTAAATCTGCATACGGTCTTGTGAGAAGACGTTCCTAATTTCCCCTGTATTTTACTTTCAAAAAAAAAAAATCAAACTAAATCTGCAAACAAAATTAACCCAACAATTAAAATGAAAAAACTATTTCATACCTTTTAAAACAGACGCCCAATCATCCCTAAACATGAACCCAGATTATCTCAAAACCCGACGACAATCTTCCAAAATCCTTTCTCTCTCCTCAACTCTACCACCCACCAAATCACTCGTAATCATAAGCTGAACTTTACTATATTTCCACTCATAATTGGGGATTTTCTCCTTAGCAAAATCCATCAATTTGAACAAAACCCGACCCGCCAATTCGGGTTGCCCGGAAAATTTCAAAGTTCCGGCATCAACCCAGAAAGAATCAGAGCTCTCGCCGGAAAAGGGGTTGCCGGAAACCTCATTCAGAGATCGGAAAACGAAGATTTGAGAGCGAGAGAGTGAAATGTCGACGACAATGCCAAAAGAAGAGGAAGGAGGAAGATGAAGAGAACGGTAAAAAGAGAGAGAAAGTAAAGAAGAAAAGGGAGGAGAGAGAGAGAGATGATGAGAAGAAGGTGTTTATGGTGGTGGGATTTTGAAGCTGGCGGTGGAGGAGAGAGAGAGAAAGGTTGCATTCGAGGAGGGAGTTGGGTTTTGTGAAGTGGGATGTATGAAGATGATGAAGATGTTTTTGTTGATGATAGTGAGGAAGAAGAAGAGGGGAATTTGTGGAAGTTTGAGGACGCCATTGGAGTGATCTTGGAGCTTGGGGAAGAGAGAGAAGAACGAAGGAGGTTGGAGAATTCACATGGAAATGGAAGTTGTATTAGCACTTCACCAAGAGAGAGAGAGTGAAAGGAATGATATTTCCTCGCTCCTGATCTCCTCCTTTGCCTTCAAATGACAAGTAGAATGATTACCGATTTACCATCCCCGGAACGGCCGCACCCACAGGCCGAATGCACCACACACGCCGGTATATGATATAAATGTCACTCTAATTGGCGCAAGATAACTTATATTAGTTATATAGAATCATTGCAAAGTTTTATGTTGGTGAAGTAAATGAACTTTGAAACGATGTGTGCTACTATTAAACAACATTTGCTTATTTACTATTAGTGAGATTTGTATAAAATCGGAGGATTACAATTAGTGAGATTTGTATAAGATCGGAGGATTAGGGGTGGCATAGGAATCCTTTGAATCAAGTTTGGTTTTAATTGATTGTAAAAAATTTTAAGGTCAATTTAGATTAATCATATCTACTTTCGAACAAAATTCATATCAAGTAGTGAGTAGGATCAATTTAGCATGATCAACTTTTTATAAATTTTGTATTGTCCATTCATGAAATTATGGATTATTTAATGGGATAGTGTTGAATTAGAATTATGTAATGTTGTTTTTGGATAACATAGGCCAAAAATAGTGGGAAAATTAAGATTATGAGGGATCACAATTGATAGTACAAATGTTTTAACTAAAACAAAGTGTACACGTTCCTTGATTCTTCAACTGATTACATGCTCAATAAGTCAATAGTCCAACCTAAATTGCATATGACAGCCTACTAAAAACTAAACAGAAGAATAAAGGTTTAACCAAATACAAGTATAATCTGCAGTAGCATCCAGAATGAGGCTCATCAAGTCATCAGTGTTGCATCTTACAACTATTTTGACCTTGATGGCAAAAAATTGATGTTGTAGAATAATATATGTCCTGTGGCAGGGGCCGAATAAGAAAAAAAAGGAGAGAATATATGGTATAGGTAGATTTAGAACTGAAATTGCATCTCAGAAGTGTATCCTAGAGCTTCGAGATGAGCAGCCATGGCCTTGTTCATTGGAGGCGGTCCACACCTCAAGATCTGATGACAATTCATTGTTACTTGTTAGTATTGAAAGGTTGGACTATACGAGGAGTTAAGGATAGGAGATGTATTAAAGATTAGCAAAGGTCTACCTGAATATCAGACGCAGGTTCAGGACAATGATCTTGAATCATTTTTGCTGATACGAAACCAACTCCACCACTCCATTCTTCAGGTGGCTGAGGACGACAAAACATTTGTATATCAGAAAACCTCAAATCTTTTCCTAATACATTTAAGAGATATTAGTCCTTAGTATCAACATACAAATGCCTACTAGAATCACATCTATCGAAATACTTGCACCAGCAATAATACTAGTATTACACAAGACTAAAGATACTCCAAGAATGTACTGCACTAATATTTATGCATGCCAAAATCAATGCTGAGTGCTTCAATGAGTTTATTACAAATGAGTGATGGCTGCTACACTTACTGTGATACCCAAATGATTGTTTACTCACCAAATTGAGATAAGTCTGATTTTCCTGCTCTTATACCAGCTCAGCGAGGCTTGTAAATGGAAATAACAAAGAAAACATGCAGGACAGTAACAAGTTAACAAATGGAAACTGAATTGTCGCCTCACTAGTCACTATTAACCTACATGAATTATCAGCATTACTAACCAAATACCTACTATTTCATACCAACTTTGAGCTTGATAGCCACCGTTTGTCAGCAAGAAAACGGGAGTCCTGTGAGTTGTAAATTACTCAACCCCACACAAAGCAAACCTAGGCTCTTACGCTAATCTCCGTTCTCAGATTTTGACCAATGATAATCAGATATATATATATATATATATATATATATATATATATATATATATATATAACTGCTTGCAGTGTATATAACTTAATGTGCCCTAGATAAGCTTTCTTAAATAAGTATACTAAACTCTCTGGAGAACCCACTAGTCTACCATGTATGGCAACAGATTTCACTCCAAGCACTTTTAGATTCATGAATTCTTAGCAAATTGACCTCTTTCACCATAGTTAATATTTTTTAAAGTCCCCCTGTATCAACATTCTTGTTTAGCTTAATCACCAAAAGAAAAAGTACTAGCTTGATATTAAGCATTCTCAAGCCAATTCTGCCTGACAAATTAAGACACCATAACACATATTCGCCTGACAAATGAAGACAACATGAACATGTATATATATACTCGTGACACTAGAAAATAATCAATGAGTCAATATTACTATATCAGTCAACAATCAAGCAATAATCTGCAGGTGTAGAGGGAAAGAGGGTTCACTTAGTGTGATGCAAGATTGCAGAAAATTTTCTTGCATTGGCATTTAATTTTAAGAAAAGTTGACAAAACTTAACCAGGATTAGGTGAAATATATAAAATATAATACCTCGTTTAGGACATAGTAAACAGAGAATTGATCAGGGAAACTGTGAGGAAAATTATCCAGTTCTTCCTGCAATACAATAAAAACAAATTATAATTGGAAGCAGTTTAATCAGCTGAAAACTCTTGCAATCACACATTATAAGAAAGGACAGCGTATCTACAGAAGAGATAATGCTGTATCTAAGTTATAAAGATTTGGGTATAACTATAAGCAAAGTTATAACGCGAGAGAAAAACTAATTAAAGTAGTGAAAACAAATGAATGCTGGAATTACCTTCAAAAGAATATCATCATAAGTGACATTTGCGTATATTAACTGAACCTTGGTCTTGTCACTTGGATTCTCTAATATGGCTCTAGCAACCTAACAATATACAAAACAGATCATGAAACAAAGTGACTTGCTCATTTCTGAATATGAAAAGGCTGGATTTCTTCCATTCCTGAGTATTAAAAGCAGTTAATCTTCCATTTTTACACCACATTGACAGACCTGAAACATTGGAGTAATTCCTGTACCACCAGCAAGCATACCAAAAGCTCTAACTTGCCCGGGCTGATACTTAAAACGTCCCTGCAATATATGCAAAAACCATATTGGCAACTGAAATACATCCATAGTAGACAGCTAGACACTAGAGCAAGTTTTTCATGGTACACAATTCTTATTAGTTTAAGTAAAACCAATGAAACCCCATATTGAAGACTAATCGCTGCATGGGGTACCATTTGCATAATATCTTGAAATAATTTACGCTATAATTACAAACCTTGGGGCCCTTGACAGACAAGTAATCACCTTCACGCATTTCTCGGAAATGGTGCGACATTCTTCCTTGTGGATACATCTAGAAATCAATGGGATAACTACTTTAGATCCAATTGGAGACAATACAATGCAATAACTAAAAAGTGAGGCTAACAGAGGTATTGCATCAAGTCATCAACTATTACATCAAGTATACTGGTATAGTGGTATACCTTTATAACTAACTCAAAATAACCAACATCAGAATCCAACGTAGTTGGTGTATAAGCTTTCATAACATCCTCACCATTAGCATCTTTTCCTCTGCATCAATAATGATCAATATCACATATAAGTACTTAGATTCTAAGATAAAAATGTTCAAATTTTGTACAGGCATCATACTCATATAATGCCATTGTGCAAAACTCACAAACCTGCAACTTATATGTTGTCCAATTGGAAGACCCAACACAGAATCTGATGAAGGAAGAGCAAATCTAAATTTCGCAACATTATGACTTAGCTCAGTCCGTTTCACAAGCTTAAATTCCTTGAACGTTTCAGGGTCCAAGCAACCTAACACAAGAATTATCATCAAAAACACAACATAATGAAATTGAATTTGAACATTTAGAGAGGATCACAATGAAATACTCCATACCAAATAAAATCTTGCAACTCAATCAAAGTCACTAGTACAACTTAAAGTGACCTTACACGTATGAAAGAAAATCCTATTTTGGCTGGACCTAAAAAAAAATTCGAATTAAGAAATAGGATTTTTGGTATAAGTAATAAACTAAACAAACTATGGATAAATCTAAGCGACCCCTTATTAAATCCAAGCGATCTTACCGGCACGAACGGTTATCTTGATTCATTAGATTAAAACATTAAGATCAAGCATTTTTGTCGAGAGCCTGATTAGCCTACCCAATCCTTATGGTATTAAGGCTTTGGCATTGTTGTTATATGAGAGTTTCATCAACCATTAAGGATCATCAAACTTACTACATCACCCCTACATTTATGTCATCATCAAAACCTCTTTAATATCAACCAATCCACTTTGGGCTAAATGTATACTAATAAAATACATAATGCAACTATTCCAGTATTTATCTTTAACCATTACAGACCCTTAGTTTCTCAAGATCAATCAGAATTTCCAGAAATACATAAAATAATTTGATTAAAATGACCCTAAAATCATTACTTCACTAGTCAAAGTACCCAAATCTTCGTGTCATTAACAAAATTATTTTCCAGTACATATCTAAGGAACCCAGAATTGTTTATACCCAGAGAATCCAACCAATATATTTAAAATTTCATGATACAGCTGATCATCTCAATTTATTTTATTCCCAAAATTCAATATTATAACCTATGAAAAAATAAAAACATCCCCAACAACATAATTATTATAATCAACGTATAACCCAGAATTAATACTGTAACTGAACAATAATCAATCAAACAGCAAAATAGCAACAAATAATCAAAATATATACAAAAAAAAACACAGAAATTAAAACAAAAAAATAGAGGGAAAAAGATGGATACTTTTCAATTTGGATTCAGATTTGTTGGAAAGATAGAAATAATAAGCAGAGCCAACACCAATGGCAGCAAGAGCAACAGAAATGCCTATAATCTCATTTCTGTGAGATTGCAAGGAATCCATGTTTAACCAATTAAGTGATTAAATCTCCTTTTTTTTCCTCTCTCCTGAGAAAAATGATGAATCAATTTCTGGGTATTTTGTGTAAAATCAGGAAGAAGGTGGGATTGAATGAAGGGGTTTGAGCTCAACAACAATGGTGGGTTGTTAATGGAGGTATCGTGTTTGGTTTAAACTGTTTTGACTCTACCAAACTATACGCTTCACCATTGGTGGGTTCATGCGCCCACTACACTTTCCCTTTTCACTAAAAAGATTGATTATTCTATTGCCTTAATTCTAAACAATACAAAAAGAAGTGGTTGGTTGTTCACGAATTTCAAAAGTACTCCGTTTGTGGAGTTTACGCCGTTTTAAATGGTACGTTTGCTAATGTGACGGTGTAAAACTCAATAAATCTAATCACGGAGTAAATATTTATTACTTGAAACAAAGTTTGCTTATATAAAAATTTGATATTTTAAAATGTTTATTGAGATAAATCAAACAAGACTTAAGTTGAGATAGTTAAGTACTCATACTAGTTAGTGAACAGGTTTTAGATTTTTTTTTTTTTTGGTGAAATTGGTTCAACGTCAAAAGTTGAGGTTTTTTCTAACACAAGTTGGGTTGTGTATCGATCTAAAGGTTCAAAAGTTGGGTCAAAACTTCAAACATAAAATTCATAAACCTGAAGATTGGATGATCATGCCAAAAAGTATGATCCAAAACCTGAACTACATTGGTTTTGAACCGGTCTAGCGACAATGATTAGACAATACTATAAATGGATGATGACAATATGGGAAAGAAATCAGTAAGACAATCTATTTGGTATTAACTTTTTTTTTGAACAAATATTATAGCAAATTAACACTCATTACAATAATTATTAGCAAAATCCCCTAATAAAAGGTGGACTATACTAGCCGGGAATTTTTGGTTATTATGTGTCACTTAACAGTAATTAAATTTACATAATCAAGAGCTCAGTTTGTAGTGTCTGGTTGAGCAGCTGCTTCTTTGCCTTCAATTTCTGTTTTCTCTTCAGATTCATCTGCTTCTTTCTCTAGAGTTTTCTCAATCTTCAAAACTCGAAAAATTGCAAGATGAGTATCCCCTGCCAAAAACAGTATAAGAATTCAGTATTTAGTTAACCAAGCTATATATACACTTTCCTATGATTATAGAAGATTAATCAATATGGACTGTATTCATTCCTTCATTGCTAGCAGGATCAGAATCATGAGTTAAACTGAACTCAAACTATGTCCCCAGTCGCGTTCAATCAAAGTTGAATTTGTTGTGCTCACGTATTCAAATAATAACTCCACTTAATTCATAATAGCTAGACTTGAATTCAAGCAGTTGCAACCTATTTGTATGTATTGCTTTGGCTAATTCAGTAAAAGTTAAATAAGTTCCTTGGAAAAATACTTGTATACTCATTGAAGAGCTTGTTAAACCTGCAGGTTCAGGCTAGCTCTGCTAAACTTATAAAGACCCTGAGTAGAATTCAAACTTCATTCGAGTTTTGACCAAACTGAACTCGAGCTACTCGTTGTCACCTAGTGTGCATTGCTTACACTGCTAAACACATTGATTATGCACATGTTGTCTAGATTGCAGCATGCTTGTAATAGTATTAATTACTTAATTACCGAATGTGAGCAAGCTTCCAGGAGGTACAACTGCTGTAAAACCGGGTTGTACTCGTTTTTCATTGATGTAAGTTCCATTTGTGCTGTCTAAGTCACTGATGTAGAGGCTTCCTTCTTTGTTCTGAATTCGAGCATGCATCCCAGAAACTGCAACTCCAACCACATATATAGCTATATTTAGCAAATAAACTCCTAGACTTTTCTCATTAATGACAATCTCTAAACACTATGAATTTGGTAAATGCAAGAAAATGATCAAATTGGTAATCTATTGAAAGATCAATGAAATTGAACATTATTTATCTACGACAAACATAATTTCATATAAGAATGAAAGAGAATTCATACTTCAAAGTACTCGAATTAACTATTATCCCTAGATTCAATATTTAGTTATTTACTATAACACGAGTCATTTATGACTTCTAACAACATAACCATACTTCTATGTTAATAATTTATGCTCTGTATATATCACTAACATAGTAGACTGTCGACTGCGTGTTACTTTAATTGTATAAAAAACTTAAAATACTCGTGCTCGTGTTTAAAAAAAATATAATAATAATACCTGTGGCAACAGGAATAACCAAATCTGCTTTCTGAGGCTCTCTCCCAATCACCATCTCATCACTCTGATCAATTGACACCATAAAATGAGTACTCTAGCTAATGTATCATCATATGTATAATTTCAAGTACAAATAATGGTGAATTAGTAAAATAAAATTAATCAACTTACAGAGAAAATTTCATATGCACCTGGCATTGGTACCTTAAAACCTATGTGTTTCCAATCACCATCTCCTGCAACACATACCATACATAAAAAAAAAAGGTATCGAGGAGATGATTAAAATAACTCCACCAATATAACGTATCGATACATAATCTCCTATTGGTTCCGATTTAGGACAATGTGACAACTTCTTCTAGGCCGAGGAATAATAATAATTATATATTTAAAGCGCGAACACTATAATAAGTTACTGACCTACAGGTTCAAGAATCCAGCCCTGAACAACATTAGCAGGGGAAGTGTCACCTTCAGAAGCATATACAACTCCAACATTCTTTTTTGGGAATGGTTTGATGATTCTAATACATTGAAAATTTAGCCTTTTTAAACCCAGATTTTGAACAGATTGATAAGAAAAGGCAGAAGTTTTACATTGTAAAAATGAGGGAGAAATTGAAGTTGAAGTAGAACAATTTCTTATTAAGGGCTTGGAAATTTTTGTGTAGGACAGAGATTGAGCTACTAATGCTTCCATTATTATTGTGATCAAATAATTTGTCAATTGGAAATTAAATTTTGTTGGGTTTTTTTTTTTTTGGGTATGTGGCTAAGATATTTGGATAGGGAGAATTATAATTTTCTGGTTAATTTGGCATATGAGTTGAGGATGTGGCAACCATTTATTGCTTGTGAAGTTGTGATAGTGATATAGATAACAAAATCTTGTAATCTTTGCTAATTGTAAATGTTTGGAAAAATAATAATAATAATAATAATAATAGTTCAATTTAACACATAATTCATTCTTGTTCTTATTTTTTCACTATTTATGTGCTTATTTTGACCGTCTAATTTGTCTTTTTCATAAGCTTACTTTGATTGTGCATAATAACATATTCATGTGTCTTTTTCATAAGCTTACTTTGATTGTGCATAATAACATATTCATGTGTTTACTTTGACTGTCTTAATTAATTTTGCACTATTCATGTGTTTATTTTAACAATCTATATTCATGTGATCACTTTAGTTGATCATTTATATTTTCACTAATATACGAAGTATATCACTAAATTCATGTGCTTACATTTATTGTCTTATTTTTGCACTGTACATGTGCTTAATTTGAAAATGAATATTCATGTGAATGATGTGATCATTTTGACTATGTATATTTTCACTAATATCACTTTGGCCATGCACATTCTTAGAATATAGAAAATATATCTAAGCATTTTCAAAATAACCAAAAAAAAAAAAGTTTTGTAAAAATTGCCCCCATGCAGGATCGAACTACAGACCTTCAGTTTACAAGACTGACGCTCTACCACTGAGCTATAGGGGCCTTCTGAACAATTTTTTACCTCCTAAATTATTTGACTGTAAAATTAACTGTCATTGTTAGCTTATGACCACCAGTTCTTCTATACATTAATCGACCTAGCAAGCTTATAATGAATGAGTAGTGTAACTTTTTATACAACTGGTTCCTCTCAGGTGAAATCTGATACATATATTGATATATACATGGTCCGAAAATTAATCGATAATAATTGCTAATTCTAAGTTTATCTTCGACAATCACTGAAGTGCATTAACAGCTATTACTGATATTAATCTATTATACTAGTTCATAATTTAAGAATTTTACTACTATTACTTAGAAGATTATCCCCCTCATTAGGCAAGAAAGCCCCAATCATGGGTTGCAATTCCTGAGTCCTGACACACCTGCCCACCTGCAAATTTTTTTTTTTTTTTTTTCCTGTATGGTAAATTTTTCCTTTTAATTTTTTTTTTTTAAGAAAATATTGTATGATAAGATCACCACCTCAGCACCAATAATTCATAGAATCAACAATGAAAGGAAACAAAATCACACAAAAAAGGGAAAAAATGATTCTAAAGATCATTATGATCATGAGAAAAAGGCTCAGTATGCACTCTTTGGTTAGGATCTTGGCATACCAAAAATTCTGAACGCAGTCCAGCAGAAAAATTGCTCAGGCTTTTAATCTAAGTAACCATTACTGGGATAAAAACCCAGCCCTGAAATGTAATGAGTACTCAAGAATGCAAGTAAGCTGGACGGATAAATATATATAAATTCGTCGTGTTACACTTTTGTTATAAGAATAATACACTTTGTTCTTTAAACAACTGCTAAAAAAATTACAATGAATCTTGTGCACTTGGCCAATTCTGATAAATCCAAGTCTCCGGTACTGTCAAATACTAATCTCTTTAACAATCAAAATAGTCTTTACAAATTTGCATTTGCACATATGTAACAATAATAGTTCAGGAGCACAATGCATGAACACTAAGACATACAAATCAAATAGCTAAGACTGAAGGAAAAGAAAGAATAAGAAAATGCCTCCAGAAGTCCTAGATTGCAGAAGTCCTAGCCTGAGATACAGGAATTTGATATGTGACAGCAGAACTCGAAGCAGCTGAGAATTCCTGCAAATTAGCAAATGAGGAGCCCTGTCATGTTTTCTGCAGCAATAAACGACTTTCAAGCAACATAACTCCACTAAATATAACAGCTCTGCAGTTTTTGATGATCACTTTGTATCAATCATCAATATTACATTTTTTTCCGTTTAAGTTCTAAAAATTTTATCAAATATATCAAGTTATATTTGGATAACTGCAAATGAAAAGGAACACTGTTACTCAGTAAGCCAGTCAATAACTCAAAGTTGCCACATTTCTCATTAAAAGGTCATCCCAAATATCCCTTTGAAAGCTACCCCTCTACAAAAAGATTGCTCGTAGAGGTCCCCTTGACTTACCATACAATCCATATACCCAGAAATACTGTTACTATATACATAAACTTTGGCCACTAATGGATAAAAAAATTGAGACGGTCTAATTCATTTAATCAGCCTTATATTTCACAAGAACTAGAAGCATTTCTACTACTCATTAATTGCAAAGTGTTTTCATTTTCTCTAACGCTAAGAGAAAAGCAGAGTGGACATAAAAATGCATTGGAATATTTTTCAAGTAACCATTATATCCAAATTGAAGCATTCATATGATACATGTCAAACATTTGCTACCAATTGATCAACTAATTATGCTCACATTTTTATTTTATTTTTTTGACATATTAAGGTGATGGAGATTACGAAAATGTGCATGTTGAGGTGGATGTGCGGGAACACTCTCTGAGATAGAATCAGAAATGAGATTATTCGCAAGAAAGTAGGTGTGGCATGCATTGCAGACAAAATAAAGGAAAACCGTCTGCGTTGGTTTGGGCATGTAAGAAGGAGACCCGAGGGTGCACCGGTTCGAAGAGTGGAAGAGTAGGACCATGGTTTGGGCATGTAAGACGGAGACTCCAGCATGCACCAGTTCGAAAAGTGGAAGAATGAGACCATGGTTTGCGCATGTAAGACGGAGACCCGAGGGTGCACAGATTTGAAGAGTGGAAGAGTGGGACCATGGAGGGGTTAAACGAGGGAGAGGGAGACCGCAAATGAGTTGGTTAGGAGTTAGGAAGGATATGAAGTATATGGATTTGCATGAGGATGAACTATTGGATCGTAAGGGATGAAGGAGGAAGATTTTTGTGGATGACCACACGGAATAATCAAATTTGGTTCATGTAGCCGACCTCACTTGTGGGATTAAGGCTTTGATTGATTAATTGATTGAATACACCAAGATATACTTACTTTCATGCAGAAAAGAAAAACATTATCAAACACGAGGATTGTCATAGCTAAATTATATATCCCACATAAGGAAATAAACCTAAGCAAATCAAAACTTTGAGATATGGGGATATTAAAAGTTTCATTAATGCATTTGACTATTAAGGAAGGCAACTAAGGCACAACAATAATGTAGCTAAGTAATTACTGTCTAGTTGAATAGCTAATTACAAAAGGCTGTAAATTGATTGTTCATAGATTGGTCTTTCTCCCTTTAATTTTTTTTTTTTCCTTACAGAAGTCTAGCTCAAATCTCTCTTTGCCTTCCCCAAATCTGCTCACCATGAGGAAAGCTATTGATTTGAATTGTGCACCCGTGGACCAATACCCGGTCACTAAGACGTTAACTAAGTCAGATATGACAACATCCCAACTGGTTTTGCCTCGACACTCTGTTGATGAATTTATTGTTCCAAACATGCCTGAAAATATAAGACAAAGGTTACATGAAGGTAGAGCAAATATCTGGGTTGTCGATGATGAAAATTGCTTAGAGCATTTTCTGACAATGATTGATAGGGACCATCGCTATTCAATCATTAGTTGGGGTCATGTCCGTGAGACCAGGGAATTGAAAGAAGGTCAACTGATGCGATTTGGGTGGATGAGTAATAAGCTACATTTCATAGTTGCACCAGAAGGTAATTTTGTTTGGTATGATTTTTAAGATTTTGATATCTTATTGGAGATGGCTTTCTCTCACTTAATTTGAGTCCAAACTTTAGATTTTGACAACAGAGAAATTGTTGACATTTGTTTTGAACCACATACGCAGAAGAATTTCATACATCTCGAAAACTATAAATATACTCCATGATAATCTATCTGTCTAGTCCAGAAAAGTGCATACACTATAGGCGATGTTAAGGTATATTAGAGAAAAAATTGAGAAAGAAAAAGTTTTCGTCTCCTAATTGCATAGAGATTTAGGGAGAGTTAAAATGAATTAAAGGAAAAAAAATCAAAAAAAAAAAAAAGAAGAAGAAGAATGAGTAAAAGGTAAAATGGGGTGGATAAGTGGGTCTGGATCCCAATCCCAAATTGAAAGATAAGAGCTTCATTAAGGAACAAAGGGAGTAGTTTTTACTTTTCCCAGTTTATGTCGAGTATATTTGGTGAACAAATATATTTTGCAGAATATGACAGCAGGAAGGCAGAAAATATCAAACAAAAGGGTGAACAAAACAAAGGTGAACGCAAAGACAAAAACACAGATGAACCTCCTGCTAAGAGGATAAAGGACATGGGTAAGTCTGCACTGCAACATGGAGAGACTTAGCTTCTCCTTGGTTAAGTATAGATTTTTTTTTTTTTAATCGAAAAAAAAAGTACAGAAATATTTGTCTTCTGACTGTTGAAAGAACCAATCCGTCGATCTATGTCAGCAGTATTGCATACAGGAAAACAATTTTATATATCAACGTACTACTTGGAACTTAGATTCCTTACTTGTAAGTACAGAGATTTTGTTGTGGTGAGAGAAATGTTAGTCCACCACCAATTTAACTTTCAATGCTACGAACAGGAAAACAAGATGTTGTAGCATATCTAAGAAATTTTGCAAAATGCACTCGTAATTCACATGAGATCTTCTAGAGAACAATTGACTCCAACAATGAAATAAAGATGAAGTATCATTTGATTCCTGTTGCAAAGATACCATTTCAGAAACCTCACTTTGCCAATCTATGCTAATTGAGCTATTCATTTCACCCCAAAATGTATATGAATCTTGACATGCTAGCATGGGTATAAATATATGAGAATTTGTTCAGACCAAAATAAGGTTTTTTTTTTTTCAATAAAAAAGGGTAATTTCTTACAATTGTACAGTTGCACACATACACTACACTAAATGAGTACCTGACTCCAAAAGACAAAACGGTAATCAATATTCCCATTGTTAAATGGCCATTTTGCTTGTTCCTATTCATTAGGCTTGGCATAATGATGACTTTTTGTTATCAAAATTTCTTTGAATTAAAAACCAAAAAAAAATCAGTGTGTTTGGTTGGATTTTCTAGCATTTGGTTTGTAAAATTGAGGAAAAATGTGTTTTCTGTTGAACACTACATTTCATCTCTATTCCGACCTACAATTTCTTCCATTTTATACTCCTCCCTTTCAGTTTCAGGTTTTCAGCTTTCATTCTCTTTCTAATTGTTTAATCAAGGAACCAACCAAAGGAAAACCAATCTTCAAGGAAAATCATTTTTGACTAAAGATGAAATCCTTCCTACCATAATTGAGGCATGTAGCCTTAAATTGTTCAAGTTCTCTTGTAAAATGTTTCTTTCATAATGTGATTTTCTCTGTAGAGTTGTCTATACTTCACACCCTCAATACCTTTCCAATTATCTTGTATACTAAATCCACTATCCAATATTACGTTTTTGTATTGAGAAATAACCGCTCGATTGTGAACAGTAACACCTTGTAATGTTTATTAGCAATTAGATTCTCAAGTAATGCTAGTAACTAGAGTCTACAGGATCATATCTTGTTCTGCTGAAAGAAATGCTAGTTCACCATTGATTTAACTCTGTATGGTACAGATAGGAAAACATGATCCTGTATCATAGCTAAGAACTTCTACAAAATACGCCCATGATTCATGTGACATCTTCTAGAAAATAATACCAAGTTAAGCTTAGCCTATTGGCAAGGATTATACCTTCCAACCTTGAGGTTGGTGGTTAATTCACAATTTGGAGTGAGGAAGCCTATCTATTTTAGAATCTTGGAGTTTTCTTCCAGAGCTATCCCTTACTCTCCCCTCCCCCTGACTCCCAAAAAGACCTAGCCCTCAATATAATAAATATAAAGTAACATATATTTAGTATCATCTAATTCTTTTGCCAAGACATTCATAAAATACTGCACACTCCCAGTCTATATTAAATGAACACTTCATTTCACCTTAAGTAATCATGCTAGATCCTCGACACGCAAGCATAGGTATAAGTACTTACACTTTGTTTCGGACTCACCAAAGTAAGAAATTTGCTCATATAATAGGTAAATTATGCACTTGCACACATACCCTTACTTGACAATAGTACAGAAAAAACACGATTAACAATTCCCTTCATAATTTTATATCTAAAGATTGGCATTTTGCTTGCTTCAATCACAAAATGTTTGGCATGATGATCACTAACTATTTAATAAAATATATATCATTACAAACATTTCTGTGAGTTTTGAACCATAATATAAAAAAATAAAAAATAAATAAAAAGGTGGAAATCAATTTTGGACAAAAAAAAAATTTGGTTTCTTTTGGTTTAAAATTATGAAAATTAGTTTATGGGAGTGGTATGCCACACTTCCTCTTCATTCCTTACCTTCCAGGCTTTCAAACTCTATCCTCACTTTTATCTCTTCCATAACATTTCCAATTTTCCTTTTCTCTCTAAGTTTTCCATCGTGGATCCAAACAAAGGAAAACCAATCTTCCACGCATTTTCCATGGAAATGGACAATCACTTTCAGTTGAAATTGATTTCTGTCCTACCATAAAAAGAGGCTCAAAAGTTTAGATCGTTAGAGTTCTTTCACATTGGTTGTGTTTGGTTTGATGGTTTTCATAGAAAATGTTTCACATTTTCCCTCATTTTCATTTGTTTGGTTTGTGAAGGGATGGAAAATATTTTTCCCAATAGTGGAAAATAACACTCAATTATGGAAAATATTTTCCTTAGAAGGGAAGCCACATTTCCCTCCTCATTACCTCTTTTTTTACTTTTCTCTCATCCAACCTCACCGTTCCACACCTATTTTCATTTTCTCCAAGTGGAGCAGACTCATTGGCTATGGTTTCGGCCTAGAAATAGTACAATTTTCATTGACCAAGCCTTTTCTTGTAAGGAAACAAACATAGGAGAACTAATTTGTAATATTGGTTTTCCAAATATGTTATCCATGAAAAATCATTCTTCATTAAAAATGTTTTGCATCAAACCTACAAGGCTACAATATCTTTCGTCCTAATAATCTTGTAAACTACATTAATAGGCAGTAGCTACAACAACATCTTTGTTTCGAGACATAATGTTTCTCCCAACCTTGCAGGTGCTTCTGGAGAATCAATGGCTGAGGGTACTAGTGGCACTGTTGATGTCAGTTCTTAAGGAGGAAGCTCTATGCTCTTAAACTACCATATACAAAGCTCAGATTTCTTTGTCTGCCTTTGTTATGATTAAGAGCTCATTGTTAATTTATCGGCCTCGAGGTTCGTAAACCTCCATGAGAGAAACATAAACTCTTATCTCAATCTGGTCGGAACTAGCAAACAATAAACTGCTTTATTTATGCTGCTTTTTAATATTCTCAGGATTTTGAGGATTGCAATTAATTTGGGTTTTGAACAATTTTAGGTGATTTTCTCAAATATGTGGTCATGTTCATGCAAGTTTTACAAATCTAATTGCAATAGGTATGAAATAATTTCATATCTAAAATTATACAGAATCAGATGAACAGGTGATGAAGCTGAAGATGATGAAATTACCTCTGAAAATTTGGTAGATTGTGGTTAAATAGCCATAAATTACCTGTGATAAATCAGAAGATTGCAGGTTAATTACAATAATTTAAACCCTAATCAGGGTTTCTGTGAATGGAGTAAATTGTAGAGGATTTGAGCCTTACCTGCAAATCAAATCATCATTTTCCAGTGATTTGATTTGCTCTTGCTCATAGTAGCTTAGCTGGCTTGATTCATGAATGATTTTAGCATGCAGTATCTTGGAAAACCCTAAATTGGACACAATTTTAGAGTTTCAAGTCGAAAACCCTAAATTGGAAACAGTTTAAGTGTTTTGGAGGAGAGAGAAAGACAAGAATGAAGAACAAAATGTCACTTTCAGCAAGTTAAAAAGCATATGCAGGTTACTCACTTAAAGTACAGGTTGAGCCGTTAAGGTAATTAGGTAAATAGATTATCCTCAATTGGTAAGATTCGACCTTAACATACTCCATAATGAGTACTTGTATTTTCCCCGTTACGAATATTCGCAACACTTATTTTTTCCGTTTGTTTTTAAATATGAGTATTACCTTATATTTTTCTATACACCTAAAAAATTCATCTTAAATCCACATGCAAACTTAAATGTTGAAATATTTTAGAAAGTAGAGAGTATTATCGAATGTACCATATTGAAATATGAAATTTATTAGAGAGGATTGCTTCATTTGCATTAAGAAAAGGAAGGAGAAAGCATTATTGAATGTACCATATTGAAATATGAAACTTATTAGAGAGGGTTGCTTCATTTATATTAAGAAAAAATACCGACAACAATTTGGTATCTAAATTCACAACGACAACAAATATGCAAAAAAAAATAAAAAATAAAAAAAAATATTTGTATACGGCCTGCTGTACAAAACGAGCCCAGCCTTATTTAAGGCCCAAAAAAATAACGGACTCCCAATCTAATCCCATTCCTCGTGATTTTTAATACAACCGTTTAATTTGACTTTCGCAAACTTGTTTTTCCAGTTTCCTTCTTCTTTTCCCAAACCGCCATTACTTCTGTCACTTTGACCCTTTATTTCGCCTCTGCAATTCTCTCTTTTCTCACTTCTTTATTTAATTTTCTCTGCAATTTCGTTCTTTCTCTCTCTAAATTACGTTCTCCCTACTCTAAATTTTCTTCTTTTTTCATCTTAATTGTCAAAAATGGTTAAAATCAAGAAGGTCATTCGTTCGGGAAAGAAAGGAGTTTCTACATATTCAGTCGATGATGATCCAGGTACTTTTGAAACCCTAATTTTTGCGTTTTCACAATTATTGTTCTTTGTTTACTTGAATTATCTGCAATTTTTGATGTTTTGATGATTTTCTTCCTTAGATCTGATGTTTATTGTAATTTTTCACGTTATTTCATTGTTTTTTGTGAAATTTCTGCTTCAATTTCTTTGCTACTGTAATTTTTACATTGTTTTGTTGTTTTCATGTTGTTTTGTTGTTGAATTACTTTTTATTTCACTTGATTTTGATTTTTTTTTAATACTTATTTTTAATCTAAGTTTCGGATTTGTTGATTATGAGTTATTCTAATATAATCTTGTCAATTTCAGTAAATTTATGTAATTTCTCATATATTTGATGTTAGTATTAGTAGTCGTTTATGTAGGGGTTACTTATTTTGTGTTGTCTTAGGTGTCACCTATCTAATGGTTTTGTTAGGGTTTTCTTATGGTTGTGGTTGGTGATTAGAGTAACATAGTTAATTGAGGTTTTTTGTTTACTGAAGCTGCTCATGATGTGAATGATTTGCATGGTTGTGCTTGCTTATAGAATAATGTAGTTAATTGAGGATTTTCCTTTGTTTAATGTAGCTGCTAAGGATGAAAATAAATCTCAACCTACTGAGGATTTGAAGTCTGGTGAGGTTGTTGAGGATGTAAATGATTTGCAACCTACTGATCTAAGGATTTGAAAGTTGTTGATGCTGCTGAGGATGTTACATCTGTTGAAGCTCCTGAGGATGTGAAATTTGTTGAGGTCGCTGAGAATGTGAAATCTGGCATTTTAAAGAAACGAAAAGGTCGATGTGCTGCCAAATCTAGTCAAGAAGTTGATGTCAAGCCTGATGTTGAGGATGTGAAACCTGTCATTGCAAAGAAACGAAGAGGTCGTAAAGCTGCTGCTGATTCTAGTCAAGTAGTTGAAGTTGTAAAAGTTGAAGGTGAAGGTGAAGAGGGGTATGTTTACATTTCTTCTTTCATATGTTTGGTGCTTTGGTTTACTTGTTCTTGTTTTTGGTAATATGGGTTACTTGTAATCAGAGATTACTTGAAATTAGTTTTTACTTGCAATATGGGTTACTTGAAATTATAATTTACTTAAATTTGGGTTACTTGAAATTAGGTTACTTGAAATTATAGGTTACTCGAATTTTGGTTTAAATTGGTTATGAATTATAGGTTACTTGAAATTATAGATTACTTGAATTAGGGGTTACTTTAAATTAAGGGGTTAGTTAGAATCAGTAGTTTCTTACAATATGGGTTACTTGAAATTAGGGGTTACTAAAAATTAGGGATTACTTGAAATTAAGGGGTTACTTGTAATTAAGGGGTTACTTGGAATCAGTAGTTATAATATGGATTACTTGAATTATGAGTTATAATGATTATTTGAAATTAGGAGTTACTTAATTAGGGGTTACTTGAAATTAAGGCTTGCTTGGAGTTAGTAGTTTCTTATAATATGGATAACTTGAAATTATGGTTTATAATGACTACTTGAAATTAAATTAGGGGTTACTTGAAATTAAGGCTTATTTGTTTTTGTGTTCTTTTTTGGTTAAGTTTTTTTACTTCATTATGGTTTATAATGACTACTTGAAATTAGGGGTTACTTGAAATTAAGGCTTATTTGTTTTTTTGTTCTTTTTTGGTTAAGTTTTTTACTTCTTTATATTTTATGTTTTTTGGTTCAGGGATGATGGAGTTACTGTGCGATGAGACCAGCTGGTGTTGTTCAATTTATGAAAAAGGCAACTGATAAACAAAAGAGAGATGTTGAGTCTATTGGGTTTGGTAGTTTGGTATCAATGAAGTTAGAAATCTGTCCGAGGCAAATTATTCGCTGGGTTTGTGCACATTTTGATGTAGAGACTTGTTCTTTTAATCTACCTTCTGGACAATCTTATAAGCTGACAACAGCTGATGTCCATGATGTTTTTAACATTCCCATGGGTCCTTCTGTTGTGCCCATTTCTGGTAGACAAAGAGATAATGAGTTGAAGTCTTCTTAGAAGGAAAAGTATGCCGGTGGTGATAAAGAGATTATTGTTCCAGTTATGGTTAACAGGATGAAAAGTGATAAGGGTATGTTGGCAGGCAATGATGATTTCAAAAGGTGTTTTGTGATGTTTTCCATGGTTACGTTACTTGCCCCCACAACAAATAGGCGAGCTGATTTGAAATTAGTTTTAGCTTTAGAGGATGTTGAGGAAATTAGCAGGTATAATTGGTGTCAGTATGCTTTGGACAATCTATGTGATAAGTTGTCAAGTTACAAAGATTCAGTGAAATATGTTGCTGGGTGTATAATTTTTCTGCAGCTTTGTTATTTCCATAGGGTTCAAATTCAAGGGAATGTATTGGATAGTTCATTGCCATTGATTAGGCATTGGAGTGATGGGTTGATCAAAGAAAGGATAAGCCTCGAGAATGGAAATTATGGGCAAGGTGTACTAGATAAAGTTATATATCCTGTTACTAAGGCTGAGGTTGCTGGTCAGAGTACTAAGGTGCAAAAGAAAAAAAAAAATAGTTCAGGAGAAAAAAAGAAGACAAAGAAGTGATTTTACTAGAGGTGGCCAAGAAGATAAAGGAAAACAAGAAAAAAAAGGGGGGGGGGGAAGAAGATAAAAAGGAAGAGAAGGAATCAATGGAAAAAGAAGAGAAAGTAGAAAAGAAAAAAAAGAGCAGTAAAACGGGTTCCTCAGAGAAAGAAACAGAGGAAAAAGAAGAGAGTTTGGAACCCAAAAAACAGGAAAAGGAAACAGAAGAAAATGTAGAGTTTGGAGGGACCAAATGAAGAAGATGTAACAAAAGAACTTGACATAACGAGTGAAGAGAAAGAGGATGAAGAGAAAGAGGATAAAGAAGAAAAAAATTAAGGAAGAGAAAGAGGATAAAGAAGAAAAAATTGAGAAAGAGAAACAAGAGTATTTGGAAAAAAATGAAGAAGAGAAAGAAGAGAATTTGGAAAAGGATCAGCCAATACAAAAGAAGAGAAGGCGTTTGGTCAAAAAGGCTGATCTGATGCCAAAGAAGAAGCCAAGGCATTTGATGAAAATGTCTGCTCGAAATGTTATTGTTGCCGAGCAGCCTTCTCCAATTATAGATTTTTTTCTAGTCTTAAAGATTCTGATACTACTATTGGTGATACTGGTGTAAACCAAGTATCTGAATTAAAGAAGGATGATGGCGGTGCTGATGTTGAGCAGCCTTCTGCAACTGAAGGTACTGATGCTGCTAATGCTAGTGCTATTGTTGGTGTTAACCAGATTTCTGAATTGAATAAGGATGATGCAGTAGGTGATGTTCAACATCCTTCTTTAGTTCAAGATGATCATACAGATCATCAAACGGAATCTGCTGTGAATGTTGTTTCTGATTTTGAGGCTACTGTTTCTACTGCTGACGCTAAAGTGGTGGATGATATATATTAATGTTGCTGATGATGATGGTACTACTGTTCCTAGTTCGTCAAGTGTTATTCTTGATGGTAAATCAAGGATTGTTTCTTTTGAACTTCCCTGATTTTTGAGTTTGAATAGGTTACTTAAGTTTTCAGGGGTTACTTAAGTTTTGGGTACTTAAGGGTTACTTAAGTTTTTAGGGTTACTTAAATTTTCAGTTTTCAGTTTTAAGGGGTTACTTAAGTTTTCAGTTTTAAGGGGTTACTTAAGGGTTACCTAAGTTTCGAGATTGGTATTTTTAAGTTTTTAACTTAGGTGGGGTTACTTAAGTTTTCAGGGATTTCTCAAGTTTTGGGTACTTAAGGGTTGGTTAAGTTTTGGGTACTTAAGGGTTGGTTACTTAAGTTTTTGGGGTTACTTAAATGTTCAAGGGTTACTTAAGATTTCAGTTTTCAATTTGAATGGGTTACGTAAGATTTCAGTTTTCAAGGGTTACTTAAGTTTTGGGTACTTAAGGGTTATTTAAGTTTTTAGGGGTTACTTAAGTTTTCAGTTTTAAGGGGTTACTTAAGTTTTCAATTATAAGGGGTTACTTAAGGGTTACCTAAGTTTTGAGATTGTTATTTTTAAGTTTTTATCTTAGGTGGGGTTACTTAATGTTTTCAGGGATTACTTAAGTTTTGGGGTACTTAAGGGTTACTTAAGTTTTTAGGGTTTAATTATTTAAGTTTTCAGTTTTCATTTTTAAGGGATTACTTAAGTTTTCAGTTTTAAGGGGTTACTTAAGTTTTAAGTTATAAGGGGTTACTTAAGTTTTCAGGGGTTACCTAAGTTAATCGGTACTTGGGGTTACTTAAGTTATTTGTCATCAATAATGTAAATATAATAAATGCAAAAATATCAAAGAAAATAACTTAAAATAACACATGACTCAGTCATTGACTTATACTTTAAAAAAAGTCATAAACATATAATTTAATCACAAAATTTAAAATAACTTTGGGTTTTGAACTAGAGTTATGGTTCCAAATTCTCTAGAGTTTCCTTTGGCTTGCATTGCTTTTGTTCTCTTTGTTTTTGGTTGTTTCTCTTTCTCAAAGTGCCCTTTTATTCTTTTGTTTCTTCCTTTTGTGTTTACTTTTTCTGGATCCATGACTGCAGGGATTTCTTCTTCATTTTGTTGGTGATCACATGAATCTGCTTGCTGATTAGATGAATTTGCTGGCTGATCAAATGAAGTTGCATGTTGGTCAGATAAAGTTTCTTTCTCTCTGTTCTTTTCCAACTCCTTTTTAAATTCTTCTGCCTTCTCTTTTATCATTTTCAAATATGCTTCCATCAAGTTGCATGTCTCTTTGTGTTCTTGACAATTTAGAACTAGGCTGTAGCTTTTTCTTGCCATCATGTGACGCCAAGGCATGAATTTCTGTGTCTGAGTTTCATTTTCAGCTGCCATTTCATCTCTTTTTCTCCAGACATGTCCTTTTGCTATTTTGGTCCATCTTGTAAGAATGTAACAGGTAGGTATCCTTGTCACATTATGACTCTGCAAGATCTTTATACAGTGATAACACAACCAACCAACCTCTTCAAAATTCTTGCAAGAACATGCTATTGTATTTTTAGCATAGTTATATGTAACTTTCTGCTTAGTTAATTCATCGTACTCAATCTGCACCTCATAAAAGTAAAAATTTCCCATTATAGAATGGAGACGAGTTAAGCATCCAATTGAGTACAGAAATTTTGTCTCAAAGTATCTGAATATAGTCTGTGTATAAACTTCATATGCATGTTTTAGTAACCCAAAAAATGGCAAATTTAAACTTGGCTGAGAGTTTGAACACTTGAAATCAGCATCAGACTCATTCTTCCTCCACCTCTTCATTATCTGATTGAATATTTTGAAGAAATCAGTTAGGCTTGTGTTTTTGTTGGCCTTAAACCCAACTGCATTATTGGTACTTTCGCTAAGAAATCCTTACTTAAAGTTGTACACCATTTTTCCCTCAAATTGTACAACCTTTCAAACCATCTGTTGTTTTGTAGCTTATATTTCTCTATCATATCATCCCAGCATGTCTGAAATTCAATCATATAATATTTTAGTTGCTAATGTACAGGGATAACTTATTGGGGTTACATAAGAATTTAAGGGTTACTTAAGAATAAGGGGTTACTTAAGTTTTTACGGGTTACTTAAAATCTGATAATAATTAAGAATTAAGGGGTTACTTAAGGTTGTAGGGGTTACTTAGAATCTGATAATAATTAAAAATTAAGGGGTTACCTAAGAATTAAGGGGTTACTTAAATTTTTAGGGGTTACTTAAGTTTTTAGGGGTTACTTAAAATATGATAATTTTTCTTAATTTAACATAACACATGACTCAGTCATAAACACATAATTATTAAGGGGTACTTAAGTTGTTAGGGGTTACTTAAAATCTCATAATTTTTCTTAATTTAACCTAACACATGACTCAATCATAAACACATAATTATTAAACACATAATTATTAACACAAATTTTATATAAGGGGTTACTCATTCATAAACACATAATTATTAAACACATAATTATTAACACAAATTTTAAATAAGGGGTTACTTAATTATAATGGGTTACTTAAGAATTAAGAATTAAGGGGTTACTTAAGTTTTTAGAGGTTACTTAAAATCTGATAATTTATAAAGGGTTAATTAAAATAAGGGTAACTTAAGTTTTTAGGGGTTACCTGTGACACAACCAGAAAAACATTTGTTGAAGGCATCTTTGAATTCTGTATCCCTTTTTAAGGCTCCAAACTTTGATAGAACATTTTTTATTAGATGCCAAATACATAATCTATGTCTCGATAGAGGAAATACCTGCAAAGTATTAAAATAGAGGTTACTTAAGTTGTGACATATTCATAGGTTACTTAAGTTGTAGAAATACGTGAGGGGTTACTTAAGTTGTAATAAAAGGTAAGGGGTTACTTAAGTTATAAGGGTTACTTAAGTTATAAGGGTTACTTTAGTTATAATACAAGTTTTGAGGTTACCTTTTCAATTACTTTAGACATAGCCATGTCTTGATCAGTGATATAGAGGCAGGTTCACTTCCACGCATTGATTTCTTGAATGTGGATAACAGCCACTCAAATGTCTCGATTTTCTCATCATCAATAAAAGAACAACCAAACATAACATTTTGCCTATGATTGTTGACACCAACATTGGGGCACAAATAAGGTTATATATGTTTGTCCTATATGTGGTGCCAAATATTACAACATCTCCATAAATTTGAAAATCTTCCTTTATTTCAGAGTCCCTCCAAAAAATAACATTAAATTTGTTTTGGTTTTCACCTCCTCCTAACTTAAATCTTAAAAAGAACAGGAGTTACTTGTTAATAAACAGGGGTTACTTACAAAAAATGGTTACTTAAGTTATCACTCAGGTTACTTATAGGAGAGTTTACGTGAAAAAGAAATCTCCATCTTCTGCTTGCCTTTTGTATAATCCTTCTATCACAGCTTGTGCATCACCTCCTTGAATTTTTTTCATTTTCTTTCTTGAAATGTAATTGTGGTGGTCAGTCATAGTGTGTCCAACATTCTCCTGCCCACCTGCTTCATTACTTAATAATCTGAATGCTTCTGTTGTTCTTAATCCACTCTCTGCCATTAGATCAATGACTTTAGCTTTGTCCTTTGTTATTTTTCTCTCTGATCTGTGTAGACACTTCTTGCCAACTCGTGGTTATGTACCATAACATGCTCTTCAACTTGAAACATTCCATCTTTATTTATTTTTGCCCTAATAAATGCCTTGCAGCCAGTCCTGGTAATAGGTACTTGGTGTTTTTTTTTTCTTTTCATTAGATGGAGGTGGTGTTTTTATAACTTTTGGTGCACACCTGAACCCTTCTTTAGAACAAACAAAATTTTTTCCTATAAGTTTTTTGTCTTTCCCTTGTGAGTACCTTGTTGTTGAGTTTCTTATACTAAATCCTATAACTGTAGCATGAAGCTATTGATCATAAATTTCATTCAAAGTTGCTGCTGTAAACCCTACTAGACTTCCTGCAAAATCAGCAATATTCTCTTGTTGAAGTTCATCTTGAACTCCACTTTCTTCTGTCAATGTACTATGACTTGTTTCTGTAATACTTGTATTTATTTCTGCAAAAAAGTATATTAAAGTTAGTAGTATGTATTTGTTACAGTACACAGTGGTTTACTTTAGTTATAAGGGGTTACTAAGTGATTATAAGGGGTTACTTAAGTTATTATAAGGAATTACTTAAGTTATAAGGGGTTACTTAAGTTATAAGAAGTTACTTAAAATATAAGAGGTTACTTAAAAATAAAGGGTTACTTGGGTTACTTATTACAGTATATATACAGGAGTTACTTGAGTTACTTTATAAAAATAAGAGGTTACTTAAGTTATAAGAGGTTACTTAAAAATAAGGTTTACTTGGGTTACTATTACAATATACGTATAGGGGTTACTTATATTACTTATTAAAGAATACAAGGGTTACATGTTAATACGTACAAGGGTTACTTATATTACTTATTAAAGTATACAAGGGTTACATGCTATATAATCAGGGTTACTTAAGTTATAATAGGTTATTTAAAAATAAGGGTTACTTGGGTTACTATAATCAAGGGTTACTTTTTAGTTTATTATATTAAAAATTTCAAGTTTGATTACTTATAGGGGTTACTTTATTTACCTTGGAATTCATTGCTGACATTAGATACTTCGATTTCTCTGCTTCTGTTTTCGTCTTCTACATCAAATTCTTCATTTATGTCGATTTTCAGATTCATCAATGAATCTCCTATTTCTTCGATCTCCATTGATTCTTGTGAATCTGGTAAGTTTTGTGATTCTTTTGTCATATTAATCGAGTTGAAATTTCTTGGAAAAAATCGATCGATATTAGGTCGAATTAATCGAGTTGAAATTTCTGGGAAAAAAATTGATCAATATTAGATCGAAAAAAATCAAGTTGAAATTTTGGTGGTTGTTTTTGCGAATTGATCGTCACTTAAAAATGTATTTTCTGGGTTTTTAGGGTTTAGGGATTCGTGCTGGAGCTTTTTATTGGTTTCAGGTTGTTTTTTTGGGAAAGAAAAGCGCGTGTACATAAATCCCGTTATGCGCGCGTCAATCCCGTTATTTATGCTGATTTGGCAGCGTGCCGCATGGTGCAGCGTGTTGTACCAAAAACGCGTTGGAAAAAAAAAAGTGAACCAAAATGTTGAAATACTTTCCTTGTTTTCTTCTTTTTAACCATTAATAATTGTTCCATTGCAAAATTCTAAAAGCCAAAATGTTGTGGCAAACTTCATATTCTATAAAGAGTAAAACAATTTGATACTCCATAATCGTTAATTTTAATCTATTATCTCCTTGTTTTTCTACTTTCCTATTTCGTTAATTACGAGTACAATTTAGTTTATCCCTTTCTTATTTGACAAGGATCTACCTACCTCGTCGATTAAACCACCTTAAACTATTTACTAATCAAATTGCATTACTATACTTTGTATTAATAACAAAAGCCACATTCTTCAAACTTCACCTAAAAGTCTAAAATTATGTCTTGACATGGGGGCAAACTAAATTGTAAATCATATGTTATGCTGAAAGCAACCGAATAACTGCATGTTCCCCAGAATTCTGATATGATACAGAGAAACAAGGATGATGTGTATGTAAGGAGGAGGGAGAAGGGCCAAAAGAGAGTGGCAAGGACAGACAACAACGGTAACTTTAGATATTGGACAAATATTGCAATTTCAAGGAAAAATGAGGTCATTTACATAGACATTCTGCATTAACATTTTGCAGACGCTCATACAAGTCAACACACTGGTGCCAACAGCACCCTAAGCTTCGATTAACAACTCAAAGGCTAAACCACTTGTACACAGGTTAGCACACGTCACAACAATTACACCAGCCCAACAATGAAGCCAATGAAGGTGTCAGTTGTGCTCGACTGCCCTTTCCTCTGATGTGTACTTCATTGCGGGAAGCACTGGTACATACAATTAGCAAAAAATCAAGTCCTTGGCCTAACCCTTCTATCATTAGTATCACCACCATCAGAGAGTTGGGCCCACACACTCCGAGACTTTCCACCTGCGCTACTGCAATCATCGTCACAACCAGCAACTGTCTTTAGAAGCTCTGATTGCAAAGAGGGACAGTGTTCTTTAAGATACTCAAAGCCATCAGAGCGCATAACAGCTGCATCGAAGAACCAAAGGAAAAAAAATATCAGAAAAAGTCCAAACAAATAGCTCAGCACATTCACAGAGGTTGCAATAAACCAAATACAAGTAAATGAAAATCGACTAAACTGCAGATAATATGCAAATACCATAACCAGGACAATGAAAAATAACTCAAACTCTCTAAAACAAATGAAAATAATAAATACTTGAGATAAGCCAACCCACAACCTATCCCAAGTTTCCAACACACACACACACACACACACATATATATTAAAAAAAAAAAAAAAAAAAAAAAAAAAAAAAAAAATTAACACGCCAGGGAAACAAAGAACAGAACATAACCTGCAAGGTTTTCAGCTGCAAATCTTAAACAGACAGCCTTCAATTCGGTGGCATTGTGACAATCAGCCAATGCTAGAATCTCACCAACGGTATTGACAGATATACCCTTGCACAAGGAAGATTCACACAACTGTCTGAGCCTTCCCAGTCCATATTTGTCAGCTGCCGCCAACAACTTACCTATTAACAAATCAGCTATATGGGACTCACAAGAGGAACTTAGTGAAGCGAGGTCCGCCTCTTCCACTAGAGCATCTCTGTATATAAAGTGCAACATGGCCTGAAAAGAATGTTCAAAAAATGTTACTGCGCACGTCTATTCGGAGAAAAACAAAAAAAAAAGCCATTAAATCCATTTTCCTTGGTTTCTTTACTGCAAGTGAAGATTAAGGATAGTGGAGCAAGACAAAGAACTTAAAAAAGAATATTCCACCGGTAAATAAAAACGCAATCTAATTATGAGCAGAAGGCATACAGCACATAGAAATTTAGATGGCAGACAAAAAGGTTTGAAGCCATAAGAAAACAAGTCACCTTGAATACTTTAGGCTCCACGTCGGTCACAGTAATCTCTTCTTTTCCTTCCTCTAACTTGTCCAAAAATTCAGAACGAAATACAGGTGACCGAGCAGCCAAGACCAATTTATGTGCATGGAACTTCTCTCCGGCCACATCAAAGACAATATCTGAACCTTCTATGTTTTCTAGTAACATGCCAAAATGCATTCCCATGTCAGACTCAGGAACCCGAATAGGGTGCAATCTAGGACATTCTACTGATGACACTACAACACCGACAGTACAATTGATTTTCAGACAGTCATCCTTAAGATAAGTCGATGTCTCAAGCACACTCCTCTTGAAGAAGCGCTTATATCCCCTGCATGTATGAATGAACAACCATAAGGATTAAGAAATACATTGAGCTTCTCAGCAACTAAAAAAATTACTACCAAAAAAAAAAAAAAAAAAAAAAAAAAACCGTAAAAATGTAGTTATACCAGAGAGATAAATCAGAAATCTCAAAACTCATGACCAGCCACAGGGATTGAGAAAAAAAACAAAAAGGATCAGTTATAGTACATACAGAAACAGCAGAAGTAACAAGACATACTATATCAGCATAGCATAAAACCCAACGAGGAGAATATATTGATAGCTAAACAAATTAACTAGAAACAGGACATACTCTCCAAGAGGTGAGATTAGTGATAACTGACTGGGTTCCTAACACTTCCATTAACTCCAAAGTCCAAAGCACCACTCCGTTCACAGGAAGCACGTTAGCATCTATCTGTCAGTGATGTAATTCCTATATGTTTCCCTTCATATTCTACCCCCTCCCCCACCACAAATCTCTGTATCCATCTCTGTATGACCCTACCACTTGGATTAGATAAAAATCAGCTATGAACCACATGGAATGACCAAGCACCCTTGCTACCTGATCAGCAAACTAAGGGTTGAGGATACGACACATCCCAAAAGATTACAATATACTTCCTTTAACCAAAAAAGAAAAAAAAAAAAAAAAAAAAAAAAAAAAAAAAAAAAAAAAGACTGCAACTGCAGCACTTTGACAATAACACTTACCAATGCACAACATACAATGAAACTAATATAACAAAATTTTACTTTATAACATATACTTTCAATAAATTAGCAAAAAATATGTGATCAAAGTTAGCATATGAATAGTGCAAAACCAAAAAAAAAAAGTTGCACTTATTTTGAAACAGAGTAAGTATGTATGTTACTAGGTCAAGAAATATTCAGTCTGTCATGCTACTAGAAACTAGACTGCCATGATTTTCAACATCTAGACCAATCTGCTGGGAATCAGTGTAACAATGTAGGCTGGAGACTAAGCTAACAATGGCAGCCTTAGCACGTTGTATTACTCAACAAGGAAAAACAGTAATACACCTTCTTTCGAGAGGAAGAAGCTCTCCCAACTACAGACTTCTGTAATTAATTATTTTCTAATATCTCATTACAAAAACAAACCTCCTATTAATACCCCCAATTAACAGCCTATCCCAAGCTAAGGCATGCCAGCACCATAACAAACTAATAACAAACTGATAACAAACTGATAACAAACTGTTACAGCAAATTATTATTATACCCTTCTACCCCAAAATTGGTTATAACAAACATCCAGCTCAGCAAGCCTATAACAGATTCTTCTTGGGTCTTCTAGAGTATGTAAAACGGAAATTGGGCTCGGGCTGGTTCCTAGCACAATCCTTAGGTAGATTGCCAGCTAAATTTCCAGGAAAACAACCAAATGCTAGCCAAAATTTTAAAAACCACAATACTTTTTGTTATTAATTTTTTAACAATTAAAGGGAAGAAGCAGTAGGTCTAATTAGAACAGGGGAACACCAATATTCAGTAGAAATAGTAAAAGATTATTAGAATTGTTGTTGCGTTAAGGAAATGGGTGTCCTGCAATCAGTACCCTCTTAATAAAGCCAATAGAGGTAAATATGGGAAAGTTGCCTTATAGAGTTGATTCAAAAAAATCTTCACTGCAGAGTAGTAGAAGTAAAACTTAGAAGATATTATATGGTGCAGTCATGCAGATCATAATAAGCATACATAAGAGGATTTGAAATAGAGGTACATAACAAGATAAAGGAGAGGACGATTCACTTTAGTTAAATCTACCTTTGCTTATAAGTGTACAATCAGCACGAAATGACTATGAATCTCCAATTCAAGAACACCAAACTACAAGCCCAAATTACAACAAAACATCACATCACAACTAACTAGGGGAAAACAAACCCAATATATTACAGTATCACCAAATACAAGGGAGCTCTATAACCCTAGACAATCCCTTCCACGAACATACAAACTCAAAATGATGTTCCCTCCCTTATTCGCCTGAAAATGATCCAAGATTCCTATTATCCACAATCTCGCACAAATATTCATTTCAGATACCAACAATTCCCGGAATAAGTTAGTAAGTTCAACTCAAAATCCATAATCCAGCTACCTAATCCAGCCTTCTTTCTCAATTACCCATAATTAGCAACAAACAATCACTCAATCAATTAAAGTAGATACCAACAATTACCCACATTCTAGCACAAAAATTCAGTTTTAGATACCAACAATTCCTGGCACAAGTTAGTAATTTCAAGATTTCAACTAAAAACCCAAAATACAACTACCTAATCCACCCTTCTATCCCAATTACCCAAAATTAGCAACAACCAATCACTCAATCAATCAAACCCATAAAAAATAACAACAATCAACTCAAAAAACAATCAATCAAACATTCAATCAACAAAATTAACACCATAAATCAAGAACACATACCACATGCTACCCCTATACTTCAAAGTATAAGGCCCACTCTCCAAAGAACGATCAAAATGACTATGAACCTTATGCTTCGGTTGATCACCTTGATCAACAAGAGTGAGCTCAAACAAAGCCCTGACATCGGTACCCTCGCTCGCTAATGCGATGAAGACGGAGACATAAGCTGAATTATCTTCAGGATTTTTGCCATCTGGGTAGAAGTAAATCGCCCATTGATACCCTCCAACGCTGAAATTATCGCTCGCAATGTGTTTCCCAACTCCCATACCTTTCGCCAATGAATAGCCTTGGATCACAAACTTGTGAGACCCATTTACGGTTTCCGTCACCACTCGCGAGCTCGTCGGAGAAATTACCGCCGTTGAAGCTTCCGACATGGCTGAAGAATCTAAATGAGGAAAGAAATTTGAAGCTAATTCGTGAAATTCATGGAGAATTTGGGGGAATTAGGGGATTAATTTGGAAGTTTTGAGGAGAGAGAAGATGAAGTTAGGGTTTGCTTTGGGGATAAAATTCAGATTGATTTGATGACTTTTCTGGAAAAAATGAGGGACTTAACTTGTTTTTTCGAATTGATGACCGTTCTATCGTTCGAAGACTTCGAACTAACCTTTTATTTTATTTTGGAGAACTACTAAATCACGTCCGGTATTAATTAGGTAACGCCCGTATTTTAATATAAACATACTTATCTGCCCCTCCCTCCCTCAAATAACCCTTTCAACCATTATTTTCATTGTTATTTTTCTATCTCTTCACCCCCTACATCTTGATTTTCACTAACCACCACAATTCAACTACCACCATCGCGTCGAGGCTATAAGGGAGGGGAGGATGTCGGATAATCGCAAAGGCAGGGGAATTAACACCGGCGAGCATGTTAATTTTTTTTAAAATTTTCGTTCGTTCAAAAGGAATGCCTGAAATTTTATTATCTCCCCTGGCACATTCTAAAATTTCAGGCGTTTCAGGGGCGGAACACCTGAAATTTAGAATGTCCCGAGGTGGATTCTAATATTCCAGGCGTTCATGCCATGGAAGAACGCCTGATAATTTAGAATCTTCCATGGGACATTCTAATATTTCAGGTGTTCCCCCCTAAAATGCCTGAAATTTTAGAATGTGCCGGGGGAGATTCTAAAATTTCAGGCCTTCCTCCTACGATTACGAAATTAAAAAAAAACGACGAAAATTTAGAGATGCTCCGGCAACCTCCCCGGTGGCGTCGTCGCTTCCTCAAACTCGTCCATTCACCGCTTGTGCTAATCGTTGAAGAGTAAAGCAATTTTCTTAAAAAAAAAAATCATGACGTGGAGTGGTGGATTGTGGGGGGTGGTTGTTAGGTGGCGGTGGATGTTTGGTGGGTGGTGGGGTAACAAGAAAGAGAGTTTAAAGGAGGTGAAAGCGAAATAGGGTGAATATATAAGGGGGCATGTTTGTAAAGTCGTGTTAAAATACGGGCGTTACCCAGTAAATACCGGACGTGATTTTATTTATTTATTTTTATTTATTGTAAAGAAATAACCTTTTACTTTTTAGAGAAGAGAGAAAGAAAAATAACCTTTTACTTCATGGTATTGGAACTAAATTTTTTTATCACATGGTCTTTTATTAAAATTAAAATGAAATACTACGTACAAATTAAAAAATCACGTGGTCTTGTGAAAAGAAGTTTGAACCACAAATTTTCATGAGGTTTTGATTTATTGATGAATATTGAATTTATATTTTCACTATATGTACAAATAAAATACTCGACCACAAATAGTATGGTAGAGAGGGGTGTACCATGTGCATGGTACACTCGAAAGTACATTACATATAAATAAAAGAACATTGGGACAAATTTAATGTTCTTTTATTTATATGTAATGTTCTTTTTTTTTATGAAGCCTCATTTATATGTAATATTATTTATTTTATATATAATGTTTATTTCACCCATTTATTTTCTCTCTCTTCGATACTCTCTCTCCTCTCCCTCTAACTTCTTCTTCCATTTTATTTCTTGATTTTTATAGTTTTTATGTGCTTAATTCATCACTCACAAACACATTTATACTAGATTTTACACTCCAAAATCCGAATTTCACAACCAAATTTTCGGATTTTTCATGTTTGAGAATTTTTGGTATTTTTTTATTTTGGCTAAATAACTTGCAATTGAGTGTTCAACTTGCTTGATTTCCATTATTAATTCACTTTACAAGGGTTTTCTACTCATTTGAGGTTTGACTTCTCTTTCTTTGTTCATCTTTGTTCTACTTCATGAATATGAAACCTTAGGTTGTGCTTCAATAGTGAACTCTCTCTTTGCTTGTTATTTTTACCTCTATTTTTTGTTTTGTGATAATGTTTGTTGTTCATATAAAGCTTTATTATCATGAAATTACTTGATTGTTTGAATTTTTGGCACTACCATTGTTGTTCATCATCTTCTTCCATGGGTTTGGGTAGTAGCATTTTTCCCTTATTTATATGTAACGTTACTTTTCAAAAAGATAATGTTCTTTTATATTTATATGTAATGCTATTTTATTTTTAAGTTATGTTCTTTTATTGTATGTAATGTTATTTTATATGTAACGTTCTTTTTGATGTACTCTATGTACGTTTGTAATGTAATAATAAATTATTATAACTATGATTTTTTTTATTTATAAGTAATGTTCTTTTATTTATATGTAATGTTATCTTATTTATAGACAATGTTCTTCTATTTATAGGTAATGTTCTTTTATTCATAGGGTTATGTTCTTCCGGGTGTAACATGCGCATAGTATACCCGGGTATACGAAACAATTATTGATACTCGACTACTCGTGTATATTCGCGGATTCGCATGTGTAGTACTTGACTTTTCTAAAACTTTACTTTTTGTCACGATAATTTGATTGAACATCAAATGGTGTATCTCTGTTTGATTTTCCATAACTACATTAATGAAAGTATAATAATAATAAAAATTTCTTAAGTATAACAATAATTCAAGATAGGTGATCATGGATTCATGGTCGGCTATTGGGCAATAGCACAAGGCCTCACTTTAGTTGGAGCCCGACCCCAAATTTTGACATTTATTAAAAAGTATACAAAATATTTTTTTAATGATTTAAAACATACTTATGTTGAGATGATAACCCACACAATTGCTAAATGCACTTTCTCAGTATATGACAACATTTTGAGTATATTGTAATTTTTATGTAAGGTAAGTATTTGAAAAGATAAGATCTAAGAGGTAAACAAATAACTCTTTCAAAATAGTTTATGATGTTTGATCTTAATAGTCTTTAAGAAGTCAACTTTAACAACGTATGATGTAAAATGATCCTTTTATTTGAAGTGTTGAGAATTTTGTTTGTTTCATTTTTATTTGGTGACTTTTTTCCACTACGAATTCAATGAATGACAATATAAGATTACTTGCATTTACGTGATTTTATGTTGAATGAATTAGCAGGAGATTCTAGTTTCATTGACAAAATTGTCAGCAATTGTGGGACATGGAGGTGGCATGGTGAAACGTATTTAGCAGGAAACTAGCACTTGAGTGTCACAGCAGCTCGATAGAAAGCTTAAATATACAATACCTATTCTACTTAAAGACAGTGAATTACAGATTGAGTCCAATGAATCTTTGATGTACGAAATCAGGAATGAAAGTATGACATTTTTCGGATCCTAGGTCTTATAGCTTGTTTGGGCAAGGGCACCCGACCCCTTCCGAGTCCTGAATTGTACCAAATTGCAAGCCAATCGGTTTTCTGTTTAGCACTCTTGTGCTAGCAGTTTCTGTGGGGAGAAAGGAGAAACATCAAGTACATTAAATTAGTTTTCGAGGTCATTGGAATTAGAAGTGTTTATTTTGTAGTGATTGTACATTCGCAACAATATACACGCATGTTTGTGAAATAGTATAGGAAACCATATCTTTTACAATCGTCATGTACACCCATTTAAAATCGATACGAAAAATATAAAAATATATATTCATTTGTTTATGCACATTTATAAAATTATGGAAAATTGTATAGTCTACAATCGCCACTAAAACCCAAAAATCGATACGAAAAGCCTTTTTTACGCTGGATTTATAAATTTTGCTTGACAATGAAAATATAAAATATGTCATACTTTATTGGTGAAATATTTAAAATTATAGCTTGAGGTTGCATGTTCGAATCTTGAGAATAAAAGTGTTTACAAAGATGCTACAAAAATGAGGGGAAGACCCCTATTTACAGGACTCCCAAGTGCTCAGAGACTTCCTATCTAGAACCTTCTAACCTCCTTAAAATGAAGGGTCCTAGAAGCTATCTTTTCTAGAGGCTTCTATACAACTCTTGGCTATATAACTTTTATGTACATAATTCCAGATTGGAGCATTCTATAAGACTAGCACTAAGAGAACGTACAAGCACATCCTAGAATGTTCTAGAAGCTTCTGGGCATATCCTGAACCTCCTAGCACAATCTGGACATTTGTGGGGCCCACTTTGGAAAACCAACTTCACCACGAGGATCATTGGGTCCACATACGGGTCGGCCACCAAGTTTGGGCCCATTTGAGCCCCCAAAAGGCCTATTATTGCGTTATGTCAATGCGGTATTCACCGGTAAAATAGCCCTTGAGCTAAATAAAGCTCCATAGGGGGAAGGTGCTTAGCAGCACCCATGGGCATCTCCCTTGGCCCAAGTTGTTGCATATGCTTGCGCTAAAAAATCACAGGTAAAGGTGGCTTGGATGGCTTGATAAACCCTGCATCCAGTAGCTCCTTAAGTTGCTTCCTTAGCTCTTCAATCTCTAGTGGTGCCATCCGATAGGGCGCCATGGTTGGAGGCCTAGCCCCTAGCTCCAGCTCAATCTCGTGATTAACTTCCCTGAGGGGGAAGTCTCTAGGGAAGCTTCGGAGGTATTACATCTTCAAATTCCTGGAGTACTCCGAAGAATTATGATGGAACCTCTTCCCCATGAGGCTCTTCTTTCACGAGAAAAAAATCGATTAAAGCTCCTTCTCTGTGCTGTTGGCCACACCATGTTGCCGGTCGACACACACCAAAATACTAATCGGGTAATCCCCAAACGAGTAACCCTTGACCAAGTAACCCCGGCTATACGATATGACCAACCATATATGAAAATTAACCCAATTAAGAACAAATACAGAGTATAGTACATCAAATACTCCGTATACTTATACACCCGAGTATATATATATATATATATATATATATATATATATATATATATATATATATATATATATATATATAATAAACATAGGGAGTTTATGGCTGTAACTCCTGTAAGTAGGTAAGGTAACTTTGGGCCTGGAATTGGGACATCCAAAATACTACAGTACGTAACAATTTGCTCAGCCTCTCTCTCACGATATACCTAACTAAAAACAAAACAAGAAGAAGAGAAGACTAGTTTGGGAAGAAAAAGTGAAGATGATAACAGTTGAAGAAGCACTGAAAATCGTACTAGGAGTTGCTCAACGTCTTCAACCAGTGACGGTCCCACTTCACCAAGCTCTCGGTAAAACCTTGGCCCAAGACATTCAAGCTCCTGATCCTCTTCCTCCTTACCCTGCCTCCATCAAGGTTTTTTTTATCTCTTATTAATTAATTTTTTTTTTTTATTTTGATTTGATTTCGTTTTTTAGCAGCACCCTTTTTTAACTTAATCGATTTAACTTTTAGGGTTTTGCTAATTTTTTTAATGGGTTGCTTGATTATAATCATGTTTGTGTAATTATTGACAAAGTTCAATTAAATGATTATATATTACTAAATGGGGTGTTCTTTAATTGGTATATTCTTATTTAATCTAATATCGCATTGGGTTTGGGTTTTAGGGTTGTTTTAGTGTTCTTCAATTGGATGGGTATTTGATTAATGGCTTTTTTTTTGAGAAGATTTTATGGATTTCAAGCGGCTGTAATGTTGACAGGATGGTTATGCAGTGGTTGCTGCGGATGGTCCTGGAGAGTATCCTGTTATTACTGAATCTCGGGCCGGAAGCGATGCTGTTGGTGTGACTGTGACTCCTGGAACTGTTGCATATGTGACTACTGGAGGTAAGAATGTAAGATTAATGTGATTCTGCTATCTAAATTTGTTTGCTAAGTTTAATTAGTGATACATTGTTGAGAGGAACTGTTTATATACAAAATTAGAAGAGTAAAGTTACATTAATAAATTTCTTATTTAGTGTTTCATGTCGTAGGATTAATTTTTATTTGCCATTTTCTGTTGTAGCATAGGCTTCCATGGAATTTGGAACAGGAAGTAAATGCAGAATGTCATGATAAGGCTTGGTTGGCATCTTATAATCATATTGTATCCAAGTCTTTTATTACCTTCATCTTTACTTTTCTGTGTGAGTTATATTTTACAGTGGCTGGATATAGATTACCCATTCGGATCTTTTACGAATTGCACTTAGTTAGGCCTCTATTTCGTTCATTAACTTCATTTAGCATATCTTATTTGCTTGCTTTATGAAAGACAAATAATGAACATTTTGTTTCTCAGACATTGATGGTTGTTTCTTCTGATGTCGAGCAGGGCCTATCCCTGATGGAGCTGATGCGGTTGTTCAGGTGGAAGACACTGAACGAATTGAAAGTGATCCTAGTCTGCCTAAGCGAGTAAGAATATTGGTGCAAACAAGGCCAGGTGTTGATGTTCGCCCAGTGGTAATTCTTTCCTCATCAAGATCACACTTTTCTTCTTCCAAAAAAAAAGATCACACTTTTTTTTGTAAAGATCTTTATATATTCTGCTCATTGCCATCTTTTAAGATGGATTATGTGGAGGTCCTAGTACTTGATAAGCTTTTCCAAGGGTTGATTGATACTCTCTCAGTATTTACATCTAACAATCTTTTTTTCAAGGGCTGTGACATTGAGAAAGATGCTGTGGTGTTGAAGGCTGGTCATCTTGTTGGTGCCTCTGAAATCGGACTGCTTGCCACTGTTGGCGTGACAATGGTGCAGGTATATTAGCGACTGCTCCATGCTCATGTCCTTTTGTTTATTAGCTTCCTTGTCTTAGAGTAGCAAAACGTAGATTACATGGTCTTCCTTGCAGGTTTATCGTACTCCAACAATTGGTGTGCTTTCAACTGGAGATGAACTAGTGGAGCCAACAACCCAAAATCTAGGCTGTGGTCAGGTACTTCACGAGGATGGATTGTAGTATATTTGTACTTTGGTACCAAAATCTTTATTGTTCCACTTGATTGTAGTATATTTGTACATTGAGAAAGTTGCTTGCTATTGTCAGAACTCAAAAATAGTTGCCAGTTTCTTGCTTTCTTTACCTCCCTCTTGGTAGATACATGGTTCTTTCCCATCTTTCTAACTTTCCTCTGTATTTTAACTTTCCTTTGTATTTTAAGTATTAAAGATTATATCTAATCAGAGCTTGGGGATTGGGCCTGACTACGATAGTTAGTTTATAGTTTATACATAGGGTATGCTTGTAAAGCACATAGGTATCATAACTTGACTGTGCTGTTGATCTCTAGATGTGACTGGAATGCAAGAAACTTTATACTTATCTAAGAAGTCTAATTTATAAATATCATTATAATGCCTTTTAATTTTTTTTTTTTTTTTTTTTTGAGTGGTGTCAAAAGTAGATATTTCATCACATGTAATCAAACTTCTTGGAATTTCTAGGTAGGTAGTTGTGCCTAGGCTTCTAGAGATCTGCATGAACAAATTGAATGTAAAAAAAAATTCTCTTTTCGCATGCATTCCTTGTCCCATACCTTATTGCCCTTTTTTTTCCTTTCATGTAGTTCAACTTATCTCAATGTTCCTTTTTGCTAGAATTAGGATGGTTTTGGAGAGCAGATATGTGTGCTTTGAGCATAAAATAGGTGGGGTGTAACGAGTTCAGTTTACATGGAATGACCTCAGGTGTCGTTCATTTGACATATTCTCCTGATCTAATGACTTTGCCACTAAAATATATACTATGTCTCATTGTAGATTAGGGACTCCAACCGTGCTATGCTGCTAGCAGCTGCTGTACAACAGAGTTGCAGTATTGTAGACCTTGGCATTGCTCGTGATGATGAAGTGGAGCTTGAGAAAATCATGGACAAGGCCTTTTCTGATGGAGTTGACATAATTTTAACATCTGGTGGTGTTTCTATGGGAGACCGAGATTATGTGAAACCATTGCTTGAGAAGAGAGGAATAGTGCATTTCAGCAAGGTAAGTAGGTAACTATGGTTGCCTTTGAATCATATATTCTAAGGCTAATTACTTGTTTTAAGATCCATGAGCTCATGATGAATTGATGAAGCAAGTTGCTGTAATGCTGTGTGAATTATGATATTTTTATGTTTTTGCACTTCTTTCCTGAATAGTAGATTAAAGATCACAGAACATGCTAGCTTTTCTTATAGTATTTTTGTTTTATTCATACTGATTTTGTAGTATAGCTTTGGATGCTTTAGGTTCTTATGAAGCCAGGGAAGCCATTGACATTTGCTGAGATCAATTTGAAGCCAACTCAAAATGTGAATGTTAACAAAGTTCTGGCCTTTGGTTTGCCTGGAAATCCTGTTAGCTGTTTAGTCTGTTTCCACCTCTTTGTGGTGCCTACCATACGTTTTCTTTCTGGACAGACAAACTCTGACGTTCTGAGGTTACCAATACTCTTTGCTTCTAAATTTGATTTTGCCTTTCTTTATTCTATATCATTTTTTATTTTTTCCTTCTTGATATATTTTTGGGACCACTTGAATGCGCCTCAAGCCATCTGCATGCTTTGTTTCATGTATAGGGTTCATGCCCGCCTTGAGCAGCCCATTAAAACAGACCCTGCCCGTCCTGAATTTCACCGTGCAATTGTTACTTGGAAGGAAAATGATGGATCAGGGAAGCCTGGGTAATATTTGGTCCCTCCATTGCAGATGATTCCTCTTTCCAATATGTTTTTTTTTATTTATATTATATATATATATATATATATATATATATATATATATATATATATATATATATATATATATATTTTTTTTTTTTCTACTTTATCTACTTCCTTTATTCTCCTCTAAGTTACTGCTCTCCATTTAGAGCTTACAAAGTTACAAGTGAGAGTCTGTTCATAAATTTGCTTTCTTTCTAAAACTTTAGAAATTTCTTAAAAGTTTAATAATCTGTTCTTTCTGTAAATTTTAGTTTTGTTGCTGAGAGCACTGGTCGACAGATGAGCAGTCGTCTTTTAAGTATGAAGTCCGCAAATGCACTATTGGAGCTTCCAGCTGGAGGCACCTTGCTTCCTGCTGGAACATCTGTGTCTGCAATTATTATTTCAGAACTGAGCTCTACTATGAAAAAGGATTCATCAGTACAGAATTCACCTATAGAAACAACTGTAAGCAAGTTCCAAAATGATGATGTTCGAGTTGCTATTCTGACAGTTAGTGATACAGTCGCATCAGGGGCTGGGCCTGATCGTAGGTAAGCAAGATTAATGCTTTGTTTCAACTTTGATTTATGGTATTTTGAGTAGAACATTTCCTTGAAAAAAAGGAAGCATAATATGTGGATAACCATTGAATGAAAGAGACAATAAATGACTTTAATTTCTAACTGCGTTCAACTAGAGTAGATCACATGCTTACATACTACCCTTAGTGAGGTTCTCTTTCAGCCAATTGAATTGGGTAGAGTTATTCACAATTCATATGCGTGCAAGGTTATCTAAACATTTAATGCTGTTGGGTGGCACTCTTACAGCCACATTATACATTTCCCCTCGTTTTTTGGCTTATCCAATGCCTTAGACAATTGACTCGTGATATTACTGGTGTTACACCATGTTTATATACTGTACAGGCCCTAAGAAAGAGCACATGTAAACAAAAAATGAACTTTTATTTCAAAACATATTGCAATCGGTGATGTAAATCACTTCCTTGAAAATGAGCATTTTTAGTTTCCATGGTGGAAATGTTGGATGACCTCAGGAAAACATCTTCATGATATGAATATGTTTTTGGAAAAATGTGGATAGACTATCTTTTATATTCCTTTATTTTATTTTTAAACGATTACCTTACAAGACTATTTATTGATTAACGTTACCATTTGTCAGCTCTAGTGAGTTTCAAATGTTAGTTTTGACCCTCAAACCATGCCAACGAAGATATATAGCTGTTGCATCTGGATACGCCTTCTTGAATCATCATTTCAAAATAGGTCACGTCATTGATGCTACAGAAAGAAAGCAAAAATGATGTTGCTCCTTGTTTGAGTGGGACATGGTAGCACACTTGCTTTGCTACACCGCTAGCCTTTTGATACCTATGTAGTATGTACTTGGCTTATAAGGCATTTAGTATGTTAAAGGTAAAAACTGTGGATATCATTACCTTTGTCCACATGTAATTAAGCCAAATGCTTAATAGCTTTGAATAATAACGGACTATTCTAGATAGGTAACTGACCACATGGGCACTTCGTATTTATCTGGATCAAGAGCAAGGATGTGTATTTCCGAGCCCTCCTTACTCCTTACCCTGACTTGAACAAAAACCTCTTAAGGGCATTGAGGGTAATGTTGATGCCCATGTTGTGGAGATATGCATAAAGCCATCAACTCCCTTTATTGGCTTTAGATCATATCTAGTGTTCCCTGAAATTATTTTGTTTTCCTTTTCAAGTCTAAATTTCTTGTTTTTTTATATGAAGTATCAATGCTCTTTTCTCATGTATTTGCAGTGGCCCAAGGGCTATTTCTGTTATTAATTCTTCATCGGAGAGGCTAGGAGGGGCCAAGGTAGTTTCAACTGCTGTTGTTCCAGATGATGTACCCAAGATTAAGGATGCTTTAAAGAGATGGAGTGATGTAGATAAAGTAGACCTCATCATCACACTAGGTAATGAATTGGTGTCTATAGCTCCGTTTCTTTTAACAAATCTACTAATGCAAAGTCTACCCTGGATTAAACTTGCTGGTGAGTGGGGGCTATGCTTCTTACAAGTGACCAGGCATACACTATGGAAGACACACAGAGCACTGCTATTTCTGTCACCTTCGACAATATGAAAGTTAAAGAGTTAAAACACCTAAACTTGAATGACGTGAAAATGTTTCAATTTGTTTTTCTGGCTCCAATGATTACTAAAACAATTTCATGTTCTGCACCAGGGCCCTAGGGGTGAGTGGATCGATGATTTTATGTTCAATTTCCAAAAAAACTAATGCTAAATTATAACTTGGGTCAGGAACAATGTTGCTGAAAACATTTGTGCTCTGACTGCTCTCTGAAATAGCCCGATTTTGTTCTTAGAAATCAAATCTTTTGTTGTCTTTGTTTCAACTTCTTTGTATGTGTTACTATCTTGGTTTAAAACTTGTGATGTAGGTGGCACCGGTTTCACCCCAAGAGATGTTACTCCAGAAGCAACAAAAGATGTAGTGGAAAAGGAAACTCCAGGACTTCTATATGTCATGATGCAAGAGAGTCTCAAGGTAGCATTTTTTCTCATAATTTGTTTTATAATTCCTACTTCTATTAAAATTGAAGATATCAACAACCAGAGGTGGACAAGAAATTCAAAGTATCATTTATCTTGTCTATTTTTTTTTTTTTTTTTTTTTTTTGAAGGTTTAAGTTTTTAGTCATGTTACTCGAGTATTATTCATATGAATGATCTTTTATAGAGAATGATATCTTTGTAACATCCCCAGATTTCGAGTCTTTTAAAACAATAGAGTAACCTGTTTAACTTTCAAAACCCAACCATCGAACCTTGGTAGTGTTACTGCTACACTTATTTTTCATAGAAAACAAATGCAAAGCAAAACAAAATACAATTTAATAAACTAAGTGGTCTAAGTGGTGGCAAAATAAAATAGTCAATACATCCAAACTGTAAAACATTTTAAATAAAGTAAAAAAAAATAAAAATAACTAAGTTCGGAAGTAAACTAAATTGTCTTAGCCACGTGATTATTCTAACGTCTCCTCACATGTAACCGAGTACCCTCAAAATAAATCAGAAACAAGAAAAGAGAGAAAACTCCCAAAATAGATAAACTGAGTAATTCCAACTCCATCCCGTAAATTAAATAATTTTAGTTCGAAAACATTTTATACATAATACAAATACATAGACATTATAATATTAAACCATTACCACATTGTCACATAACACTTTTATTACTTATTGTTAAGAAAGGGAAAGAGAACGCCAGTAAGTAAGCCGGGATTAGTCCATTGTTAACAGAGGGTCGCGCGTAACCCCAAATGGCCATGAAAATAAACAGAATGTTTCTAGTGTGCACACCCTTCACCAATACCCAGTGATTAGGAGGAAGACTAAACAACAATATACGTTAATTTAAACCAACTAGTAGCAACCATAACTACTAGTGGGCAACCTGTTCTTCACCCTTTCGGGTTTCATTACCCTTCTTAATTTAATGTACATTTAATAGATTAAATTGTCCGATCACATTGCACACAAGTATTGCACAAATCAATTTAATCCCAAGTAACAATATTTCAATTTCAGTATTATTAGAACATAGTCATTCTACATGACATACTAAATTACCACTCATTTCCCAACAGGCCTTGGAGACCATCAATTACATATAATCAATCATCTAATTCCCAAGATTTTAATTATTTTAAAACTCATATGATATCAATTAATCAAATTTTCGAAAATACTTATACTAGTACACAAAATATAGAAAACTAGTATAAATATGATTCCAGCATATCATACGATAACACACTCATCACATATAATTACATAAGCACGTAGTTGACACATAATATTTCAAATGAAAATTACCTTGATCGTGCGTAAATCTCAAGGTAAGTAACCTCCAAAACGTTCACCTTGTAGCCTCCGTCTACAAATAAACAGATAAACGGGGTCTAAGTTAGTAATATCGTACACTACTTGCTATTAAGTTAGCAATCTGTAAAACTCATATAATCAAAATATAATAGTTACATACTAAAGTTTGGTTTTATAAAAACAATGATCCTTAAACCAAGATCATGAGTTTTATAATTTAAGGCTACTCCACCCAAAACTATTCAATCATTACTTACTGACAAAACCTATAACATCAAATCTTTTTCTTTTCTTTTGTTTTCTTTTTTTCGAAAACCACTGTAAATGTAAGTGCAAAATTACACAATAATTGTATAAAATAAGGAAGCAAAATCCATTTTGTCATTGTAAAATATCTAGCAACGGAGGACAATTTTGAGGAACAAGCTAAGAGCGAATTCGGTTGATTATGAAGGTACGGCAATCTCGTCCAATTGTATGAACAAGTTAAATCAACCGACACTGCTCTAATCCTTTATCAAGAAAGTACTTTAAGCCCACCATTGAAGGGATTATCAATTGCTTACCAAAATAGAGATGAGTTTATGAAATTAAGATGATGGTGAAAACAATGGTTTGGGGTAGATTCTTTGTGAGTTCAGGAAGGTACGATATCATCGAGAGGTATATATAAATTAGAATTCTTAGGTTCAATTATTCTAGAAGATTATTCAAAAGATCAGATAAGACTCAATTCAAATTGAGTCTGTTGCAAGTTCCTATCGAAAAGATCAGCTTAATTTTTTTTTTTTTTAATAAGTTCGAAAATAGAAAATAGTAATTATAAAATTTATTACTATAACATATAAATTTGAAAATAATTATAAATTTAAAAGTTCATACTAGAAATATCGTCGACTAAATATACTCAAAAATTTGGGGTATTACAATCTTGGTCTCTGTTTCATTGTGCTTTCTATTGCTACTTTTCCAAGTCATAAAGATGTATGCTGTTCTGTTTTCCTCCTCATAGGTGACGCCATTTGCCATGCTGTCGCGTTCAGCTGCAGGAATAAGAGGATCTACACTGGTATGTCCAAACTTAATTTTGCATTCCTAAGGAAAGAAGTATTTGCAATATAACAAATTGGATCAAAGCAGTTCTTGGATTAATTTTCTTGACTAAGCTTGTGCTTTTCCTGTCAAGTCTGACAACTTCAAATATTGTATAAATAAAGTGAGTGTACCCCTTGTCAAGCTATGTTGTACAAAGGGCACATCTGTGATTGCTTCTCTAGTACCGTTTCTTGCCTATGCTATGCTGAAAGCATTAAACTTAGCTTTAATGCAAAGTATAATCTTGTCTAGTACCTTCGTAAACATGTAATACAATAAAAGTTATTATGTCAGAGATTGCTGCATTTACTCAGTAGGTAATCTATCCACATAAACAATTAAAATTATGATTTACTTTAGCTAAGTTGGAAATTGAAATTCAACAATATTTACTTTTGTATAAAATGTTTGATTATCATATTTTCTGCCACATCATATGGGTAATCTAACCATATACAGGGTAGACATTTGTCTTCTTTAAGTGTATTCTAATATTTCTAAGTTATCACTGCGTAGTTAATTTTGCATCTTCGTGATTTTCACTGAGACAGATTATCAACATGCCGGGCAATCAAAATGCTGTGGCTGAATGTATGGAAGCACTGTTGCCTGCGCTCAAACATGGTTTGAAGCAAATAAAAGGAGACAAGAGAGAGAAACACCCTCGTCATGTTCCGCACTCCCAGGCTGCACCTGTGGATACCTGGGAACAGAGTTACAGAACAGCCACTACCACCTCTGCCAGTATCGAAAAGGAGCATGGCTGTTCGTGTTCACACTGAGATAATGATCAGGCATGTAAACTAGACAGCATGTATCATCTTGAAAATAAATTAATTTTATTGCTTCCAATTGTCTCTCTGATGTACATTTTTTGTTGAGTAATTTTTACACTGATTCATAGTAGAGAACTATTTCGTTTATTTTTGAAGGCCATTATGTTTTTGAATTTAAATCCATTGCAATTACTTCTATGATATGGTCTAAAAAAATGTCAGCCATTTTAATATAATGGTTTACTAACTATAGATTATTAATTTACTTTGATAAAACACACAATCTTTTTTTATTTTATTTTTTAGTTTTATACTGTATTAATGACTAGGTTATCTCATACATTTGATTAAACACCCCTATAGCATATACGAAAGTATCTATTAAACAGACACCTTTAAATTGTTGATTCACATGATTTTGTAGTAATTCGGCGTACAAGGTCTTTCAGTCTCTCACAGTTTCACTCATTTTGTAATGTCCGACCTTCTACTAAGCTTTGTTAGAGGACTCCAGGGAACTAGGGAAGGCTCAAGTAACCACAAATTTTTGTTAGCCTAGCTCGCGCAAAGGCCTTTGACGCGTTTGTGGATCCGGCCCTTCTACTACCCACCGGTTTGTGTTATTCTTAATTAGAGACAAACTCAAATGCCTTCCTTTACAGTGGAAAATATTATGGGATCAAAATTTTATTGATCGAATTAATATTTGATATCTCATACATGTATTGAACACCCATGTTAACATACATTTTTTTTTTTTTTTTTGGAAGGGACCATGTTAACATACATTGATTTAATAAACTCCCTCATATGAATGATTCACATGATTTTGCAGTGAAACTTAAATGATCTTCATGATCATATAACAAAAATTACATAATCAAATGAATCTATTTAGCAGATTGATCCTCCTTGGCAACGTAGAGCCCCAGCTGATCTTGTAAGTTGCCTTACAATCCTACCACTTTCGACGGGAAATCTTTCTTCATTGTTGTAGTTTGGTTTTACAAAACCCGAACCGGTTTCGTTGAAAGAAGCTCCATTTTCTAAGACATCTCCCACTGATTTAAAGTTCCATATCCCTTTTCCAGCATTCTTGTCGTTCATGTTCATTAAAACCTGTCATTGCAACAAAGAGGTTAAGGGACAAGCAAAGCTCACTCTATTGTTAGGCAATATGTCTAAATTTAATAACACACTTGATTTATGTATGTCTAAGATAAGCCACTCTAATGGAGCAAAAGAATTTACTTGTTTCGATCCAGAATTAGGAGCGACAAAGAGGTTAGATTCGCTCTTTATGCTTGGGCTCATGCTTCCTCCTATGGCATAAACTTCCCATCCTAGATATAAGTTGTTAGCTACATGAGCATAACCATGACGAACTCTGCAAAACCATACCACAATTTTACAATGCACCCTGAAAGTAACAACAGTTGCAATGATCACCAAAGAAGCATAAAAATTAGCTAGACCTTGGCATACGCTGGTGGCAGTTGGGGCCAAATCGGTTGTAGACAACCGTGACCTTCATGTTCTTGTCGTCCTTGAAATCATCATCATGGCCTAGTAGCATGACCTTGTTGTGGTCGCGAAACCAGTTGTTGGAGATGGTAATGTTGGTTGACCCAAGGGTTACATCGATGAGGCCATCTTCGCTCCTGTAGAGGGTATTGTGGTCTATCCACACCTTTGTTGAGCCAAGCATTCTTATGGCATCGCCGTCCATTTTGCTCATTGGCAACAACTTTGCACCAGGTCCCATAACCGAGCTTGCTGGTTGGGATCGACAATGGTGAATTCGCAACCCGTGGATGATCACATTAGTAACCTAAGCATACCATGAAGAAATAAGTTTGATTTAGTCATGATGCATAACGTAAAATTTGAGCCGCCGTTAAATTCCAAATAGTTGGGTGATAGCTAAAAAACAATATGGTATGCATGTATTAAAAATTGATTACCAAATTTATAGTTATTGTTGAAGTTTAATTGAATTTTAAAATGTGTTCATTTGAATGAATAGAAGATCTTTTTTGTTATTTACTTGAAAGTTACTATCTATCAATACATTTTTATCAAACGTCATATTTTCTTAAAGAAAAAATGTAAGTATAAATTTGTATGGTTTTGAAGTTTAGTATGCATGTAACAACCAAATGCAAAACGAGTATATATGTATATACCTTGTATAGCAAGAGGCATCCATTAGTGATATGAACGATAGCACCTCTACCATCAATGGTTGTATAACTACCAACAACAAGAGTCCTTTCAAGTTTAATCTCCATGTCTTTTTGAAATGAGATCCATACTTTCCCCGGTACCATAGTCATTCCATACCGAAGAGTTCCCGCTTTCGGGCTCATTGCATTATCACTAGGATCAGTGACTACATATTTGTTCACATCTTTGCCAATGTTATTAATCATTTTACCTGCAAAACCCGCCGAGCATTTTGCAATATCTTCCCTACTATTAACCCAATTAGGGTTTCGTCGCCAACAAACATCAATGGCATTAAACGTTGCAAGGCCGGATTTCTTACCCAAACATGTTTTTGGTACCATGGCTAGTAAAAAAGAGAAAATGAGCAAAGATACAAATTTACTAGCCATGTTTGTTTGGGTAGGAGTTTAAGAGAGGGTGATTTTTTTTTTTTAATTATTATTTTGGGTGATGAAAAATTGTTAAGATAGCAAGAGAACTATTTATTAGAAGAAGTAACGCGTTTTAAATAAAGTTTGTTAATATTTTGTGCTCTTTTTTTCTGTTAGGTTCTTATTATTGCCATTTAGCAAGGTTTTTTTAGCACCAAAATAAGTTATTATTAGTAAATAAACAGTTAATATAAAACTAAATAAAATTATTATACTTACATAATTGTGAAAAGTTGAATGGTAAGTAATAACTATACTACGTGATCATTGTTTTGTCTTGTGGCTATATTATGTACTGCGTATTTGGTAAGGAATTAGGAAGGTCTATTAACAAGTATATATAATACTAAATTAGTCTCGTGTGATGCACAATTTTGACAAGTTGTTATATGGTCACAATTACAAAGTTATTGGACTAATTTGGATATTAATTAATACAAATTTTCAATTACATATATAAAACATAAATAGTGAAATAGATGACCAAAAATTATAATTAAAAAAAAATATAAAATACAGTGATAGCATCACATATATTTTGGACATAAATTTTTTTACACAGCTTGACATGTGTACAGTTAGGAGAATGGATAATGACAACGGTTGTTATTTTAGTAATAGTTATAGATTATAATTAGTTGTTATATTCTTGTTTGATACAAAGTAATGATGTAGAAGAAGCATAAAAGACAAATATTAATCTATTAACCTATACTAAAAGCAAATCCTTTCATGACACTTTTCATTGCCTAGTGAAAAATTTTCCCGCCTTTCTTTCTTACTTTTTTTTTTCAAAATATTTAAGTAAACTATTTATACCCTATGATATTTTCTTTCTAGTTTGACAATCATATTCCATATATACCCAAATAAAATATTTGTGAATATCTTTTATATACTTTATATTTTGTAATATTATTGTCAAAAATATTTAACAACCATGCATTGCATGGGATTTTAATCTAGTTTACTATATTTCATAATCCAAGCTCTCTTGGGGCTTGCCCCCCTTGTGCACCAAAAAATAATCCAAGCTCTTAGGTGGATATAATATGTGTGATTTTTATACAAATTGCTCATTAGGAAATGGACATACTTAGTATTCCCTCTGTCCCTTATTTTTTTTCCTATTTGACTTATAATGGTCTCCAAGACGCATGTTTAAACATATATATATATATATTATATAATAATAATAATAATAATAATTAAAAAACTTGATATTAAATTTTTTTATAATGAGACATTTCTAATAAGATCTCACAAGAACATATTATCACTTATATATATATATATATATATATATATATATATATATATATATATATATAGGGGAGGGATTCGGTAAGAACCCCTCTTTATGTTCTAAACTTTTTTCTGCTCATGTTCTAAAGTTTTCCTATGTTCTTATTTTTTTCTGCTTATGTTCTAAATTATTTCATATATTCTAAATCATTTTTTCAGCTTATGTTCTAAATTTTTTCCTATGTTCTAAATTATTTTTTCAGCTTATGTTTTAAATTTTTTCCTATGTTCTAAATTATTTTTTCAGCTTATGTTTTAAAAATTTTTCCTATGTTCTAAATTATTTTTTCAGTTTATGTTCTAAATTTTTTCCTATGTTCTAAATTATTTTTCATATGTTCTAAATGTTTGTTTTTTTATGTTCTAATTTTTTCCTATGTTCTAAATTTTTTTCCTATATTCTATATTATTTTTTCAGCTTATGTTCTAAATTTTTTCCTATGTTCTAAATTATTTTTTCAGCTTATGTTCTAAATTTTTTTCGATGTTCTAAATTATTTTTCCGATGTTCTAAATTATTTTTCCTATGTTCTAAATGCCCCTAACCTCACTGGCTCACTCACCGCACCAACCCACGCAACTCCTCAACATCACCAACCACAACAACCTCCAATTACGCCACCACCAACCCAAATTTCAGTAGCAAACAAACACCAATTCGCTGCTCAACACACCGACAGGATACTTTCCTATGAGCTGCGAGAGTGTCCATGGTGAAGGAGGCGAGAAGGATGAGGAGCGAGAAGCGAGAGAGCGAAGAAGAAGCAGAGGAAGAAGGACGCCGACGATGGAGGTAACTGCAGGAAGAAATCGACGAGAAAGGTGGCTGATGCTGGTGTTGCTGTGGTGGAGGTTGTGGTGGCGCCGCCGTTGATTCGCCATGGGCGCCAGAAAAAAGCTTCAACAACACTAAAAAAATCATGAAAGCTGTAGATCTTCTTCTACTTAGATCTCTGTCTTATCTTTCGGCGCTTCCTCTTCAATCTCCTCATACGCTTCTTCTTCCACTGCAAAAATTAATCAAATCAACAAGTTGAACTTCAAATTAGTTAACAATGGTGGAAAAACTCAACTAAACCGAACAAATAAATGAAATTAAGGAAGAAACTAAAGTTAATCGATTAGTAAAACAGGAAATCGAACAAAATTGAACAAAATCGAACAGGAAATCGCAAAATCAAACAAAATCAAACAAAATTGATGAGCAAAAGTCGCAAAATCGCACGGAAAATCGAACAAAATTGATGAACAAAACACGCAAAATCGCACAAGAAATCGAACAAAATCGCAGGAAAAAAAAGTTGATAAAATTGCCAAATAAAATCGAAAATTAAAAATCTGAAATCTACTATTCTACTCGCTCCCAGGCTTACTAGATCAGATGCGATAAGATAAAAGAAGTGGAATCTTAATGAAGAGATCAATATTCTACTTGTCCTTTTTGTTTCTCTTGATTTATGTGATGTTTTATTTGATTTATTGTGATGTTTTATTTTATTATGTATAATCACTTATAGTTGCAAATATATATATATATATATATATATATATATATATATATATATATATATATATATATATATATATATTTTGGATTCTTATTAGATTTGAGTAGAGGTGAATCAAAGATGAGAGATTGGGGTAATATGCTAGAAGAGATTGTGACTAAAATCGTAGAGCATGTGGAATTTACGAAGACTTTGAGACTTTACAAAAATGTTGTCGCCATTGGAGACTAGCCGCGAAGGCAGCAAAGTTTTGAGCTAACGTCAAAAAATCATATTCGGGTGATGAGCATACACTTCCATGGTTGATGCTACCAGAAAAAAGACGAGTACTCATCAACCAGCCGTCGTTTGTATAGCATATCTAAGAAAATGGTTTATCACATTAACCTTCCTAACTATTTTTTAACATAAGATGTGACCCAAAAAGGTTGTTATCTTCGTATGGTTGGTTGCTTGTGTTCTCGAAAAGAGGTCATATCTCTCTCTTCAACCCTTACTCCAATTTCATAATAAAGCTCCCAAAAATTGAAAACTATTCTCATGGTGCAACTGGTTATTGTAAGTTCACCTTATCGGCCAACCCCTTAATCACTTGTGATTTCATTGTCTTTGTAACCTTCTTCGAGTTTACTTGCTCAGCTTCGCCTCCTTCGAATCTGGTTTACTGGAGGAATGGTGATGTTAGGTGGATCCATGTAACAAATCCATATGCTCCACTATATTTTGGGGTGGATGCATATAGCCTCGACTCCATCGAAAGGTTTCTTTTCTCTGTGTGTGTTGATGTAACTTTTTACCAAGGGGAGTTTTATGGCACAAATGCTTATGGTTGGATTGTGAAATTTGAGACAGCCCAAGGTAGTCCTCATTTTCAAGTCGTGGCTAACCTATCTTTTGAAAGACATGTGCAAGCGAAGTCAAATAGCTCGATCACCATACTTAGGAATAGATGCTATTATTACCTGGTGAAGTCTCTAGGACAATTGTTGATTATATGTCAAGTGGTTCGATATTTTAAGATGAGCTCTAATAAACAACGGTGCTGCAATACAAGATTTGAGCTAGTCGAGTTGAATGTTAATAATGGAAAGGTTAAGGAAGTGTCAAGCTTGGGAAATAAAGCATTTTTCATAGGTTCAAACTCTTCCTTTTCCGTGGAGGTATCTCCTTCTTTTGCCAATGGCTTTAAGCCTAAATGCGTTTACTATACTGATATTTGCGGTGGTATTACTAAGTTCAGGGGACTTGGACGTCATGGTAGAAATGATTGTGTTTACAATTTAGCAACGAGGAAGTTTGAGCGTCTTTTTTACAATGGCCGTTCATCAGATGTTGGCAAACTCACACCATTTACCTGGGTTGAGTCTCCTTAATAATTAATTCATGATATATTTTTTGATTTAAATTTGTGCAATCCAAGGTATTTTAAGGTTTAGATGTTTGTTTTCCCATAATACAAGACACTTTTTTTTAAAAATAAATAAATTATGCTGTATATTTTGGTGACAATTCTTATTATAGTTTTCTACTAAATGATTTTCATTATATATGAATAAATCCTCTCTATAGCTTGTCATATAATCTTACTTGTGTAAGTAATTCTTTTTGCCTTGTATCACTTGCTCATCATTTTCGATCTCGATGAGGGTATATGGTGCTGCTGTGCCTGATTATAGTTTTGCACTTTGTAAATCATACACGAGTTTTTCATCTAATATATCAATAAAATTATGGAAAATGGACGTCAAAAGACTCAAGACGAAGATTTCGGAGGTAGTTTTCCCAGGAGAAATGATGAGAACATGGTCAAAGCTCTTTTAGGTTGGTAACTTGGAACTAGATGTCCTGCACCTCTTACTGTCACAAACACCAATCCTTCATAACCTACTATGTATCCTCCAACCTGTATGCGAAAATAAATTATTTAAGTTATTTTCTGCATTTCTTAGCCTATTTGAAATACTTATTATAAAACATATTGGAATAGGCTAATACAAATTTAGTATGAGATCGTCTTTTGAATGATGCTATTGTTATATTATATCAGTCAAAATGAAGCCTTACTTGTTTAATTAGTAAAATTTTCGCAAAACTATTTTCTACATACCTGGTTGTCTGTGTCGTACCATGGACTCCAAGCATCTTTAACTGGAAGCTTGAGAGTGTTAATGGAGTACTTTGATGATGTGACCGGCACACGTCCATCAACATCTCCACTGTAAAAAAACAGGAAATTCATGTTAATCTCTTTGATTGCTATACCCAAGCAAATAAGGGGCATTCCTGATATTTCACCTGCATTACTCGGGGGTACTTATGTACGTTTGCCATCATGACATGGTATTGGTGCCACGATGCCCTTGCCTACTTAGCAAATTGTTAAATGGCCGTTTTTAGCAATCCATCACGATAAACTTTTGTTCCACTTTCATTAACTGTCAAATTTGTTAGGGTTCATATTTTTTCCCCAATTTGACTTCTGCTACCCTCAAACTTAACATTGAAATTCTCTATATTTGGCTACTTAACCAAATATCTTAGGTTGTGCGTTCTTCCATCTTCTCATCTTAATATTGTTTACAGCCCTTAGATAATTTGATTTCTTGATTCTAATTGGTAGGGTTGTTCATATTTTTCCCCAATTTGATTTCTGCTATCCTCAAACTTAAGATTGCAATTCTCTATTTCTAGCTATTACCCAAATATCCCTGCGGCTACACAGCTCTACTGGATCGACATAAAAAATTCACAAAAAACTTTCTCACTAAGGAAACTAGTGACAGAAGAAACAATTTATAGGGGTTTCAAAACCTTCAACTACCTAGTAATTAATACGAAGTACATAACACCACTTGACGACGATATCGTCTAACATAAAACATTACCATACGGCATCATTGAGTTGGGGAAACAGAGTTACAGGTAGGTTGGGTACATGTGGAATATGTTTTATTAAATTCATCATACACGCAGCCATTTATCTGACATGGCAGAATAGATTGACAAACTAAATCAATCAAAAAGATTAACTGGGCAGTCCTCGTACAAAAATACCAATAGTCAGTTAAAAATCGCGATTTGTCTAGTGTACAACTATGATGTGAAAATCACGATGTATTTTTAGTTTTACATGTGATTTTGTTATGCTACTAGCCTACTAATGTACATATAGAGACAATACAATGCTGTAAGGTGAAACCAAGTAAAAATTTCGGATATCAATTGTCAAAATAATAAAAAGTAAATAAAAGCTTATGAAAATAGTTAAATAAACTAGCTCAATTATTTACCTGTACATCCACATACTAATGTTGCTTGCAATGAGCTTCTGAATGATTGGTAACACTGTAAACGAACTGTCTTGCCATCTAAATCCACTGGATTTCATACATTCGAATAATTAATTTACATTTGTTTAAGATATTCTACAAATTATTGTAATTAAGGAAAAAAAACAGGGGAAAATGAAGGATTTGTACATGTAATTACTTCAAACAAACTAAGATTAAAAGTACCTGCAGGATTCCCATCTTTTGGGTTTGGCATGGAGAGCCTTTTGCACTTCTATAGTGTTTAAATAAGTTGTCACGTATTTGGAAGAACATGGATCATAAATCTCGACCTGAATATATATGTGTTATAGTTTATTTTAGCTATCTTCGAATACATTGATTATTTCTCTTATCATAAGACATGCATTAAGCATATATAAGACCATAATAGGCATACTCCAGCTCATGTATAATTTGGTCACGTCTCTCGCCCTGTTAATGAGAATTGAACCCTCAACCTTGCGAGTGGAAGGGCAGATTATATATAATTACTAGAAGAGCTTAAACGCCCTTCCACTTATTGGTAGTGTACTTAATTAACTTGAGAAAAGTGGAGAAACGTACTGAATCAAGAATATGAGCTTCGGAATTTCCAGACTTTAAGCAAACTGGAGCATAGATGTTGTAAATGTCTATATTCCCTGCTTCTTCCCAAGCTTTATCCTTGTAATCTTCGCATTTTTGGGATGTTGTTGCCTTGGAAAAATTGCAAAATTGCTTGATTTTGGCATGTGTTTCATCTGAGTGTGTAGCATGATTAAATAAATAATCATACAATCCTGCTGTATTTGTTGCATCATCTACCCAAGCGTTACCTATCTGCATAACATGATTTATCATTTCATTAGCAATGGACAATGTTGTAGCTAGACAAACCTCACATACGTACAACACTTAGGTTTTGTTCTTTTCACATGAATTATCGCTCTTTATCTGAACCTACGTGAACTTATTTATTAGCCTTTCATATCTAGAACCTTGAGAAAAGAACATATTAATTCGTTAGTGTGCAAACTAAAGTGTATGATAAGGAGTAAATACCGCTATGCCTTTGAGATTAATGAAACTGCTGTTATGTTTTGCATTGTTGTTTTTATGCAAGATGGTATAAGCAAGTTGAGGCACATAATGGCCAGCATAGCTCTCTCCTGCTAAGTAGAATTCGCGGTTTTTATATTGAGGGAACCTCTCAAACCAATTGACAAGGAACGTGTAAGCGTCTTTAGCTGTGCTCGTATCCCCTGATTCTGCATAGATGGCTGGTTCCTTTCCATATGAAAATCCTACTCCTACCGGAGATTCTAAGAAGATCACATTTGCCACTGCCAATTACACAATTTGATAAATAATAAGTTAGTTCATTGTTTCCTATAATCTTATAACTTGTTATGATATATACTAATGTTAAAAGATTTAAATTACATATTACGGATTAGAAGAAATTAATTATTACATACCTTTATTCCAAGCATAAGGATTTCGAATTAGTGTTTTCCCATCGCTTTTGACCCGAAAAGGTCCTAGTTCTAATAATCCTCCGTTGCCAAACGATGAGCATCCTGGTCCTAAAAGTTACATTAGCGTCAATTAGCAAAATATGTCAATCTAAGAGACCATTATACATTTTTTTTTTTTACTCTTTAAGAAGAAATGTGACACAAAACTTCACGAGTTGTCGAATAATTCAATTTTGAGTATACATTGTGATGGTTGTAAATTGAATTAATTATTTATTACTCCGTATATGATTAGTTTAGTTTATCAAAACTCGATCAAAAGGTACATTATAGCTAAATAAAGACGCAACAAATTATGAAGCTTGCATGTTTACACAAAAGGAACATGGTGACATGAACTTAGCTTAGTGCATGGTGATAATTAATGTAGTGGTAGGCGTCCAAATGTCCAATAGCTAATGTTGTTTGTTAGCTCGCTTAATAATTACTTCTAACTTACTATACAAGAGGGACCAGAAGAAGGTGGCCAATTATGAAAAAGGAGATGAGTAGCAAAAAAACAGAGATCATTATCTTATAAAACGCTCAATTTGTGCACATTTGTATCACAAAATTAAATTACAGGAAATTAATCAACCGTTGAAGATACAAAGAAGAACGTTGCATAACAAGATATTATGGAGTAAATGAATAATGCAGTAGATCGATATTAATTATAGTCTCTTGGCCCCTTTATATTCAAATGAAAATATTACTCCATAAAAATTCTACGAAGTATGTAGTATATACTAGAGCCAATTAAGGTATGACGATATATATTTGACATGTAAGGCATTACTCCATAAATTCTACCCTTTACATGTCTGACACGTGGATATATACACGTCATGTGTCACACAAATGATTTATTTTACGTAAACTCAGAGATTATGGTTGTAGCCAACCGGAGAAAAAATAGAAGAACGTTAATACTTTATAAGAAAACATATGATTCTATTTTGAATGTAGTCGTGTATAAAACCTATCAAGTTATTATTCTCTGAGTTAGTGATAATGTGAGTAAGCACTCTTTTATTATCATGCGGAGGAAAGATATAAGGTGTGACTTTCAATATTACAATGATGAAGTTCTTTATTTTTATTTTTTTTGGATACAGTTAGTTGTTGCTCTTACTTACCACTAGAATGATAGTCTAAAATTAACATGCACACATAAAATTTCATTATCATTATCATTACCATTGTGGGTCCAAATCCATGTGTCGCGAATTATAAATATCAAAATTTTCAATTCACACTACAAACTCCCAGTTTATAATGGATTTGAAATCATACAGAGTATTATAGGTCGTGTACCTTTTCAAAGGAAAAAAAAAGGCTCAGCTCGTGTGATAAGCCCTCATCTCTCACTTCTAAGTAGACCTGATCAAGTATGGCCCGACCCGTTTTTGGGCGGGTTTTGGGTAGAATTTTTTGGCCCGAAATCAGGTTGGGACCGGCCCGACCCGATTTTTTTGGGTGGGTTTGAGAAATGTGTTTTTATGCATATTTAGTTGATTTTATAGGCCCGGCTCGAAAAGCCCACACGGCCCGACCATTTTGGACGGGTTTGGGCACAAAAATTCCGGCCCGAAGCTTGGCTTGGCCCGGTCCGCCCAATGATCACCTCTACTTCTAAGGGAGAACCACTTTCTTTGTATAGTTTAACTACTCATCATATATCATCAATATATATTGGCCTAATTTTGATTTCCTACCTAAGAAATTAAAGCAATGGTTTTATGGATATAACTAAACACCTTTAAAAGACACTAATGAAATAATTAACTTCTATAATATCATATATTTATTATATTTACCTCCGTTTAGCCATAAAACCAAAGGTTTCGAAGAAGCATTCTCAGGGGATTCAACAAAGTAATAGAACAATGCCTTCTCATGAGCCGGATCAACGGCTACATAACCGGCATATTGATCGAAATCAATCCCACTTGGCTGGCCGGGCAAGGTGGTGATCTTGTCGGCCTCCATAAGACCATCTTGAGGTTCAACATGAGCTTGAGTATCCCTAATTTGGGTTGGCAATGTGACCCAAGAAGCAGCAAGATAGGAGCTTTTTAACCTCTTAGACTTGAGCAATTTATACAAATTGGTTACTTGATCATTGGCATTACTTGGGGTGAGTGTGTTTGAAATAAAGCAAAAATAGAGGGACAATAAGAGAAAGTAATAGTGTATGCCTTTGCTCATCTTTCTTGCTATTAAGCTTACTATTTAGAATGGAGTGATAATGATAATAATGAGGAAACTTCCCATATATATAATGTAAGATATGGCTTATCATCAATTGGACAAAGATTGGCCATGCTAAAAAGTCATTGGTCATATTACTCATATATACCAAAAAGAGTTGTCTTACAAATCTAAATATCCAATGAGCGCTTTTTCTAATTTTATTTTGGTTTTGGATAAATTAAAACCTCGAATGGATAAATAGACTCGGTCGTGTATTGTCGTCCTCTATGCATATGGCCTCTATGTGTCTCCATCCATTTAGTACATGTGGGTTGTCTAGCGTTACGTATGTGCATTATTCGCCCCACTTTGAATGATTGATGTTAATCTTAGTGTCGTAATCATTTAGTTATATAGTATATGCTTCCAAAATCTTGCTAAGAACTGAGATGCTAAATTGTGAAACAGCGTTAGTTTGTTGACTCCAGCCAGTGAAAGACTAGAATAATCTACCTTCCCATTGGAAAGATATTTTTGTTATACTTCCTCCATTTCTATTTATTTGACGCATTTAATTTAGGCATACATATTTAGAAAAGGAGAAAGAATAAGAGAGAATGATAAAACAAGTGGGGTACATTAAAAAAGCAAGGTATAAAACTTATCTAAAAAGGAAACGTGTCAACTAAAAAAAACTTCCTAAAAAGGAATAGGTGTCAACTAAAAAAAACGGAGGTAAGTATAAAATATAGCAAAGGTACATATATTATATAACAAGTAATTAAATTTATAGATAACATATAAAATATAAAAGTAATTATGAAAGAAGTGAAAAAAATATGGAGTACAACGTACGTAGGGCGAAGTTTCTTAATCAATGTTTCCTATTGCTATTTATATGATTATCATCACCTGTGCACAATTCAATTTATTTTTCTCCAAGTAATAAGAATGAAGGCCCTATCAAGTCAGAACGTCGCATAACCTGGAGATATCAATATCAAGACGACTTTGGAGGCAGAGTTCCTTGGAGAAATGACGAGACCATGGTCAAAGCTCTAGCTGGTTGGTACCTTGGAACTAGGTGCCCAGCCCCTCTTACGGTTACAAACACCAATCCTTCATAACCTACTACATACCCTCCAACCTGTATGCAAAAAAAAATGTTGGTTGATTTTCTAACCAAACAAACTTAAGTTGTGTGCATTTATTATATGAAAACTTATGAAGAGAATAATTTTTCTACTCGATCATCACTAGAATATAAAGGTTGTTTACATCTAATTCCTTTGTTAACGAGAGTTTCATTAGAAGCATTAGAGAAGTAGAAAACTTTGCTCGGTTTATTCTTATTCCTAATTAACACGCCTATCTTATTATCCCTTAAAATTAACACAGTACAACTCTATTTCTTAATAGATGATATTGACTAATCAATTGTGTCACGTACCTGATTGTCTGTGTACCATGGACGCCAAGCATTTTTAATTGGAAGCTTGAGCGCATTAATGGAGTACTTTGATGATGTCACCGGAACACGTCCATCAACGTCACCACTGTAAAATATATACCGATATACATAAGTGCGGTTTTTAAAAAAAAAAAAAAAAAAAGGCTAGCCACACAGGAGCATATATACGTACTAATGAAACATGAATGTTGTTACTAAATATGGTCAAAGTTATGCGTTAACAAGTGTATACTTTGTATTTATTTAGAAATAGAGGGATTACTGCGTAAAGAATTATCCAATATTAAATTACCTGTAAATCCACACACTAATGTTGCTTGCCATGAGCTCCTGAATGACTGGTAAAACAGTGGATGGACTATCATGCCATTCAAAACCACTGGAGTTCATCATACATGCAAATAGTCCATTCTTCAAAAGTTAATATTCTATCAATTGTAATTAAAGAAATAAATATAGTGTAAGAACTAAGAAGAAGTCTAATCAATTTCAAACTAAAATTAAAATTACCTGCAGGATTCCCATTTTGTAGGTTTGACATGAAGAGCTTTTTGCACTTCTATTTTATTCAAGTAATCTTCCACATAGATTGAAGAACAAGGATCATAAACTTCCACCTAATAGATAATATAACATAATATGATATTAGTACCTTAACGGAATGAATTGAACCCCCAACCTCACGAGTGAAAGAGCTAGCTTACGGCCCCTCCACATCTTAATTCAGTTTGCAAATAAGTTTCATAGTACTTAGCTAGCCTAGAAGAAGTGAAGAACAAAGAGAGTATAAACGACGTAAAAGACATACTGAATCATCAAGAATATGAGCTTTGATTCCAAGCTTAACGCAGACTGGGGCATAAATGTTGTAGATGTCAATATTCCCTGCTTCTTCCCATGCTAAACTACTGTAAGTATCACATTCGTCGGAAGTAGATGTCTCGGAAAAATTGCATAGTTGTTTGATTTTAGCATGTGTTTCATCTGAAAACAAAGCATGACTCCATAAATAATCATACATCCCCTCTGAGTTTGTAGCATCATCTATCCATGCATTGCCTATCTGCAAAATTTTTAAACAACAAAACTATTATTCCACTTAAATTAAAGTTCGTTTTTTCACATGATTTTTTCTTATCTGAACTTATAAGTCCCTCAGCTTAACTTATATATACGAGCTTTTATATTTATCCCTTAGTGTGCTTGTTTTATTTGTCTCCCCAGCTAGAAACTTTTTTAAAGGATTAAGAATGTTATGATACATACCGCGATGCCTTTGAGATTAATAAAGTCATGGTTTGCATTCTTGTTATTATGCAAGATGGTATAAGCAAGTTGAGGCACGTAATGACCGGCGTAGCTCTCTCCTGCTAAGTAGAAATCGCGGTTTTTATACTGAGGGAACCTCTCAAACCAATTGACAAGGAAAGTATAGGCATCTTTAGCCGTGCTTATATCCCCTGTTTGGTTATAGATCATTGATTCATTTCCGTATGAGAATCCTACTCCTGCTGGAGATTCCAAGAATATCACATTTGCAACTGCCATTTACACAAATTGGTAAATAAATCTATGTTAGTTAATCAAGATTATCATTTAAGAACTTTATTCTTAATTATGATACGTACAAGTATACAATATTTGTTAGACTTAAAGTACATACTAGTAGAAACTCTATATCATAAAAGGGATCGGAGTAATAATGTTTTCCATACCATTATTCCAAGCATAAGGATTTCGAATTAGTGTTTTACTATCGCTTTTGACTCTGAAAGGTCCTAGTTCTAATAGTCCTCCATTGCCAAATGAGGAGCATCCAGGTCCTGAAATTCACATTAGAGTGTTAATTAATTAGCAAAATATATTTGTACAAATGTACAATCATAAATGATGCAGAGTATTCGGAGCCGGTCATTACACAAATTCGATCTTTATTCTGTAAGGACGTACTATATGTTACATACGTACACAAATAGATCCTCTCGAGCTTTCAAACAATTCAATATTGAGGAAGAATGGTTGTGATAGTATTGAATTGCATTTGAATTTACTACGAAGTATGGTACAGTGGCGGAACCAAAATTTTCTAATAAGGAGGGCCAAGCGTAATATATGTAGTAATATGTCTCGTATAAAAATAGTATGGAGTATATTGAAATATAAAAAAAGAATGAGAACCAAAAAAAAAAAATGTTAGGGAGAGGGTTTGAACTTGAAGCTCAAAAAGATCTTTATATTTTCACCCAAGACCAACTCATCTGTATTACAACTAACATAAATTAATGCAATATTTATTAGATAACTAAAAATAAGGGAAAAGTCAAGGCCCACCCCAATCCCTCCTTAGTTCCGCCCCTGGTATGGTGTATGATTTGATCAAAGGTGATTATGAGTAAAGGTCTAGTTTAGCTAAAGACGAGACTATTGCTAATAAAGAAACATGTTTACACAATTGAAGAATGATGATTAAAGGTGATTATGAAATTCAGTTAAATAACGATAATGTGATGCATTATTTTCACAAGAGGGACCACACGAAGGTATCCAATTTTGACAAACAAAAAAAAAAAAAAAAAAAAAAATTGTGTGAACTGCTGTGACATGAATTTATTCCCATTATTACTTTGTAATTTGTACTACGTATTAAAGAGTCCTTATCAGTTATCACCCCCATATCCCCGATTAAAAAGTAAAAGATTTAACTCAATCTTAATTTAATCATAAATTCTATCAATACTAAATTGTAGTGATATAGATGGATTTTTTTATGTAAGACAACATACGCATACCACACCTTGTACATGTGTGACGCGTGGCAGCGTAGGTATATGGCTATATGCACACCATATCGTAAAATTGTTTATCATTGGGAAAAAAAAGGTTAATGAATGAAGTAGACAAACATGATACTTCTAAGACAAATAATTATTATGCCTGCCGTTTGATCGAATTATGGAGACATAAATTAATTTAAGTTAGTGATAACGTGACATAATAAGTTATTCCTTTATTATACATGGGGAAAGATAATTAAGAAGTAAATAATTATATGATTTTTTATTATTATTATTATTATACCTCCCGTTTGATCGAATTATGGAGACATAGATTTATCATCTAATTTAAGTTAGTAATAACGTGACATAATAAGCTATTCCTTTATTATACATGGGGAAAGATAATTAAGAAGTAATTAACTACATGGTTTTTTTTTTTTTTTTTTTTTTTTTTTAAGTTGTAGTTCTTACTTCTTAGTACTAGAATGATAGTTTAGTTAAGCTATAAGTAACATACTAACATGCATAAGATACCATTATCATTGTGGGTCCAAAACCATGTGTGTTGGAACCAAATTTCAAAATTATCAACTCACATTACTAACTTTCACTTTGTAAAGCATTTGAGCATCTAATTTTTTTGATGCATGTTTGAGCATCTAATTAAACAGGAAGAACCCCTTTCTTTTCTTTTATTTGTAGTATAGTTTTATCTACTCGATCATTAGTAAATATTGGTTTACCTACTTAATAAAAGACTAAGAAAGTAACGGTTTGATGGATCAACTAATTATAAAGGCCTATATATATAAAGTTAAAAAAAAAAAAAATACAAAAAATGACTTATTTAAGATCATAAATACTATGGTTACCTCCATTTAGCCATAATATCAAAGGTTTTGAAGAAGAATTCTTAGGAGATTCAGCAAAGTAATAGAACAGTGCCTTCTCTCTAGTTTGATCAACGGCTACATACCCGGCATACTGATCGAAATCCACCCCATCCGGTTGGCCGGGTAAGGTGGTGATCTTGTCCGCCTCCATGAGCCCATCTTGAGGTTCAGCATGAACCCGAGTGTTCTTGATTTGGGTTGGCAATGTGACCCAAGAAGCAGCAAGAGAGGGGTTTTTGGACCTCTTAGATTTGAGTAATTTGTATAAGTTAGCAACTTGATCAGTGGCATTAATTGGGGTGAGAGTGTTAGAAATAAGGCAAAAATAGAGGGATAGCAATAGAAAATAATAGTGTTTGCTTTTACTCATCATCTTTCTTGCTTTAGCTTACCAAATGGTGTGGGAAGTAAGGAGGGAAATGTCCATATATATAAATAATTATACTTGAATAAAAGTTGTGTCTTATCAAGTGGGAAAAAATAAGTTTTACTAAAAGTCATCAATCATTTATATAAATACGAGTAAAAAGGAGTTGCACTACATTCAAAATATAGTAGAGCAAATAATAACTTGAAAATAAAAACTTATTTCACATGTGTTATACGAAGTGGTAGGTAGTATATATGTTCCAGATGAATACTCATGAATTTTGGATATTGTTTACCATTTATAATGTTTTTTATGACAGGTTCCACTTATAATATTATTGTTAAACTTGTATTAGAAAAAATTCCGTGTATACGAGAGTTGTCTAATGATGTTTTTCTAGTGTTAATTAATTTTAAAATGAAACTAATCTTTATGATCTGAGACGGATAAATTTGTATATTGTCTACTTATATGGCTCTCACTCTAAGTCCCTATTCATATACGAATTATTAATTATATGTGTTTGTCCAACGTTATGTTACGCAAGCGGATTATTCTCCCCGCTTTGAATGATAGAGGTTTATCTTGGTGTCTTAGTCATGAATATAGATGCCTCCAAAACCTTGGTGTGAAATGCTAAATGATTAAATGTGAAAGAATGAAAGACTTGATCGAGTAGCCTACCTTCCGATCGAAAAGGTAACCTTAGTCTAGCGAATTAAAATCTAAGATCCTTTGAAAGTAATAATGAAAGAAGGGAAAAAAAAAAAAAACTTAGTAGGGTAAAGTTTCTTTAATCATTTAGACGACAAGAGAGGCCAACAAATTAAAGACCAAAGTCTTAGTCAAAACCCAAAGGTTTCAACCACTTGCGCATATTTCGAAGGTTAAGAATAATATTATTCGTGTTAATTAAAAAAAAAAATAAGTGAAGATCAATTATCTTACTTGGTTAAAGCATTACGGATAATAATTATATTGACAAGACTAATAAATTAGCTAACTAAAATCATACTCGGACAAAAATCAAAACAATCTTTAAAATTGACAAAACTTATGATGTTAAATCTTGCTTCAATTCATTGATTATATTTCAACTATGCTAATGAGTTTAAGTTTTGATATTAAATCCCATATCAAATGTTAGCTTAGCTTTCAGCCTTTCACCTCTCTGTAGTCTGTACACATCAAAGAAAGCTTTTTTTTTTTTTTTTTTTTTTTTTTTTTCTCTCTTTTGAGGAAATCAAAGAAAGCTCCATTTCAATAAGGAAAAAAAAAAGAAGGGTAGGAATAATCTTCACGACTTCTTTTTCTTTTTTCCAATATGTAACGGGTATAAGTGCAAAATTATACAAGTAATTATTTTATCTTCCTCCTTTCACAAAAGCATTATTGGGAGGTAGTGGAGCTTTTAATTTGCATGCTTAAAATATTAAAAATTTTACTTTAATCCTAGTGCAAAAGCTAATTGCTTTTGTACTACACGTGATATATAGGCGGCTATTAATTATAAATAGGGTTTTATGAATTGAGGTTCGATTATTTGTTAAAGGTTTATTATGATTAACAATTATGTTTAAGTGGCATTTTTGCATAAAATGACAATTGATGGTGGCGGCTTGGCTTGGCTTGGCTTAGAGCTAAGGCAACTCAAGGCAGGTCGAGGCCTAAGCAAAACATCTTAAAACATGATAGATTGATGATGAGGAGACCAATGCATAAATGAGATAGTTATTCCAATTTTTGACATTTTCGGATCAAGGCAAAAAATGTCAAATTGATGAAATATATATATATTTTTAAAAGCTAAATATAATTATTGGAGAGGAAAGGTGTAGTATACTACTAAACTACACACAAGTATTGGGCCAACTTGAAACTTAAAAGGATCCCACAAAATGAAATGGATATGGACACAGGCCCACGTAGGGTGGTGATGTGGGCGTCTAATGTTCGAGATAGTGTGCAAGGTCCAGTAATGGTGAAGCCCGTTTTCTGTTTATTATCCCTGAAAAATGAGAATGCAATTTTCCCCTTGTGAATTGTGAATTTGTGCTAAACTTGTTCACCTTGTGATGAGTTCTCCTTAATATTTCTTTTTTTTTTTTCTTACCTTTTATAAAAATTAAAATTAATTCTATTTAGCTTAGGTAGGAGGAGATTTCCAGTCACTGCAGGTGGGTTGGTCCTCATTAACCTACCCATTCATACAATCCACCCACCAACTATTTTTCATGTATAACAAGTTTTAGTAAAGGGTCAAGATCAAAATTATAATTAATTAAGCCTAACTATGTTTTACAAAATTAATTAAAGCTTAATATACTCATGCATACTCACCAACTCCATCTCAAAAAGTATAAACGACATTGTGGTCGGTCATCACCAATTCACCATTGCATTATAATTTTTTATCATATACCCACATGTTTATTATTATTATTAATTTGCTCAATTCCCCTTTTATGAGCAAATGTGTAGTTTTATTTAAATAAAATTTAGTTATAGAAGGTGAGTCACATGAAATTTTATTAGTCGCACATGTAATATTGTGATTTTGAGTATAGTGAGAACCACAAATAACAATTAAACAATATATCCAACTTTATCCTTTCAAACCTCAGTACTTAAATCATACACACTCCGTATCCTCAATTACTAATCATTTATATTCAATAACATCCCTAATGATTAATGACTATAAACTCACAAATAATCTATATCGTGCATTAACATATCCTGTGCATTAACATGAGTATATTCTAGTATCTCTAATAAATAAATAAAAAGTCGAAAAAATATCACTTATTCTAAGTGCTCCCCCAATCAGTACTATTGGAAGTATTCAAATCAAGATTTAGAGACAATTCCTCAAATGATTAGTATCACTAATAATATACTTGCTAAAATACACGTTATATATAGTAGAGCGGTAGAAAACATGATGATTAAAAAAACTAAATTACGTACGCTTGAAAGTGGAAGAGAGGACGAGAGAATCCTCGTCCCTAAAGCATTCATTAAAAGATATACCCCGTAATTCTTACCACAAGATTATGTAATACTCCGTATTTCATAATTCAAATTGGAGATTTAGCCAACTACTCTAGCCTCCTATCTCATAACTCAAATAAATAAGTACTACTTCATAAGGTCGTATTAGAAACATAATAATACTTGTATGACAAAATAGTAGTCGTATAAAATAAGGTGATGAAAAACTAAAATTACACTCAAAAAGGACATCTGAGTTCTGACTGCTGTAGCCGTAGTTGGTGGGAGAGGGAGTGAGTATAAATGAGCCAAATCTCTGTATCTTCTTCATTGGCACCCTTCACTTCTTCTCTTTCCTTCATTTCTCTTCGTTCTTTTTCTCGCTCTTCCCCTTTATTTTACTCCAAACCTCGTTTCTCCTACTCATTACTCCGACTTAGAGTTCGTTCCAGGTACCCTTTATTTCTTTCTCTTAAATTTGCATTTTTTTGGTAAAATAATTGGTTGATTATGTTGTAGTTATTTGTTTGAATTAGAGTAACCCACTTTCAATTTGTGTTTATAAACTTGTTAATTTTAATGGGTATTTGTTAATTTTTGACTTTGTTATGTACCCTTTTTGATTTGAGTCATTATGACCCTTCATTTTGATTGAATTATTTGTTGTGGGTTTTGTGTTTGCTGTAAATCAAGTTTGATTTTTGGAAGTTCCAGATAAAGTTGGAGTTAACACTTATTAGGGATCATGTAATTTTTGTTTACAATTTACATGATAGGTCTGGAGAATGTGAAAGGGTGTAAAATTATTTTCGGGGTGTAACATATTCACCTGGTTGAACGTATGATCAAGAGATTTGACATTCATTAGAGTTCTCGTGGTTAATTTGATATTTGACTCATGTTTAATTGTTTTATTTAGATTACTAGAAATAGAAATATGATTGTAAAAGATTATATTTGACTGTTATATTTGGTATTTGTAGTACAAGAACAATGGCATCTCACATTGTTGGGTATCCCCGTATGGGGCCTAAGAGAGAATTGAAATTTGCATTGGAATCCTTTTGGGATGGGAAGATCAATGCTGAGGAATTGCAAAATGTTGCACGTAGTTTGAGGACGTCAATTTGGAAAGAGATGGCTGATGCTGGGATTAAGTATATTCCGAGTAACACCTTCTCATACTATGATCAAGTATTGGACGCTACCGCGATGCTTGGTGCCGTTCCCCCAAGATACGGATGGAATGGTGGAGAGATTGGGTTTGATGTTTACTTTTCGATGGCTAGGGGTAATGCCACTGTCCCTGCTATGGAGATGACTAAGTGGTTCGACACCAACTAGTGAGTGATCTTGACATTTGCATTTACTCATTGTTTTTGAGTGATGTTCTATGTTCGTCATGGCTGTGAATGTAATTTTTATGTGCTTGTTTTTGCAGCCACTACATTGTCCCTGAATTGGGTCCTGACATGCAGTTTACATATTCCTCACACAAGGCAGTGGATGAGTATAAGGAGGCCAAGGCTGTAAGTTTTTAGTTTCTCTAGTGTTTGTGGAAATGTTTACTTAGTTTGTGACGAGATTTTGTGAGATAAATGTATTAGATTAAAGCTTGAGAGTTATATAAACAACAAAATACATATGAGCCATAGTAAGATAGTAGTATAAGATGGCATGCTAAGTTGTGGGGTTTTATCTTTATTTTTTCCTGCAGCTTGGAGTTGAGACTGTACCAGTGATAGTTGGCCCAGTGTCTTACCTATTGTCATCAAAGCCAGCTAAGGGAATTGAGAAGTCTTTCCCTCTTCTTTCTTTACTTGAAAAAATTCTTCCCGTCTATAAGTAAGATTATCAAAGAGTTACACTTCCCTTTGTTTTGTTGAGTAATTCCAATCTTCCATTAGCTAATACTGATTGTTGCATTGATATAGGGAAGTGATTACTGAACTTAAGGCTGCTGGTGCATCCTGGATTCAGTTTGATGAACCCAAACTCGTCATGGATCTTGATGCTCATCAATTGCAAGCCTTCACACACGCCTACTCAGAGCTAGAGTCTTCTTTATCAGGCTTAAATGTTCTCATTGAAACCTACTTTGCTGATGTTTCAGCAGAGGCCTACAAAACTCTCACCTCATTGAAGGGTGTAACTGCTTTTGGATTTGATCTTGTTCGTGGCACAAAGACCCTTGAATTGGTCAAGGGTGGATTTCCTTCCGGAAAGTATCTTTTTGCTGGAGTTGTGGATGGGAGAAACATTTGGGCTAATGACCTTGCAGGTTCTCTTAGCAACTTGCAGGCTCTTGAGGGCATTGTTGGAAAAGGTATGTAGCAAACAAGTTCTTATTCAATGCTGTTTTCTGCAGTGCTAAAAGCCTCTAATGCGAATTTTATTTGTGCCTCAGATAAGCTTGTTGTATCTACCTCATGCTCTCTCCTTCACACTGCCGTTGATTTGGTGAATGAAACTAAGTTAGATTCAGAGATCAAGTCATGGCTTGCATTTGCTGCTCAGAAAATTGTTGAGGTGAATGCCTTGGCGAAGGCATTGTCTGGTGAGAAAAATGAGGTGAGATCTTATCATTCACTATTATTTGTAGGGCAGTGATCATTTATTAAACAAAATAAAATAAATTGATGCAGGATCGTGACTGTTCTTTGTCAACTCTCTTGTTTAAAGGCCTGGTTCATTTAACTATTATCCCCATCGCAGGCTTATTTTTCAGCAAATTCTGCTGCTCAAGCTTCAAGAAAATCTTCCCCTAGAGTCACTAATGAGGCAGTGCAGAAGGCAGTATGTGCATTTAAACCCTGTTTATCCTCTGGTGCAGTTGTAATATTCCTCATTTCTCATGCTGATATTTTCTATGCTGCATAGGCTGCTGCCTTGAGGGGATCTGATCATCGTCGTGCCACAAATGTGAGCGCCAGGTTGGAGGCTCAACAGAAGAAGTTAAACCTTCCACTCCTACCTACCACCACAATTGGCTCTTTCCCTCAAACCATGGATCTCAGAAGAGTCCGCCGTGAATTCAAGGCTAACAAGTGAGTTAATTTTCTTGGAGCCAGGAGTTGATTTATATTGTTACAGAGTTTACGTTGCCAACTGTTCTTACCTGAATGTGTTAGGATCTCTGAGGAAGAGTATGTGAAGGCTATAAAGGAAGAGATTAGAAAGGTTGTCGAACTCCAAGAGGAGCTTGACATAGATGTTTTGGTCCATGGAGAACCAGAGGTGAGCTCATCCTAGGTTATAATTTTTGCTGTTTTTCTTGTTTTACATCTGGAACCCATGTCTAATGCTTACTTGTGATACAGAGGAATGACATGGTTGAGTACTTTGGGGAACAACTATCTGGCTTCGCTTTCACTGTTAACGGATGGGTCCAATCTTATGGGTCTCGATGTGTCAAGCCCCCCATCATTTATGGTGATGTGAGCCGTCCGAATCCCATGACTGTCTTCTGGTCCACAATGGCCCAGAGCATGACAAAACGGCCCATGAAGGGAATGCTCACTGGCCCTGTTACAATTTTGAACTGGTCTTTTGTCCGAAATGATCAGCCTAGGTAACAATGTGTTCCGGACTCTGACTGAGCTGCTTTGTTTGGTGCATTCATTTTAATCCAAACTGAGTGCTTTTGCTGTCTCTAATAATTCTGTTAGCACATTTCCTTTCTACCTTCTTCAGGTTTGAGACTTGCTATCAGATTGCCTTGGCCATCAAGGATGAGGTTGAGGATCTTGAGAAGTCTGGAATTAATGTCATCCAGATTGACGAAGCTGCTTTAAGAGAGGGTTTGCCTTTGAGGAAGTCTGAGCAGCCTTTCTACTTGGATTGGGCTGTCCACTCATTTAGGATTACCAATTGTGGGGTTCAAGACACAACTCAGGTTCTCAGTCTTTTTGGCTACTTTCATTTGATCAATGCTCAAGCAAGATCAATGTTTAAGCAAATTATTCTTTACTTTGGATTGCTATAACCAACTCATCTGATATATTGCATTTTTTTTTTTTTGCTTCCCTCCTTTTTGTGGGAATTTGTTTCATGGACCGGCAGATTCATACCCACATGTGCTACTCGAATTTCAACGACATCATCCACTCTATTATCAACATGGACGCTGATGTGATCACCATCGAGAACTCTAGATCAGATGAGAAACTCCTTTCTGTGTTCCGTGAGGGTGTCAAATATGGTGCTGGCATTGGCCCAGGTGTTTACGACATCCACTCCCCAAGAATCCCGTCTACAGAAGAAATTGTGGATCGTGTCTCCAAAATGCTTGCTGTCCTTGAATCTCACGTTCTTTGGGTTAACCCTGACTGTGGTCTGAAGACAAGGAAGTATGCTGAAGTCAAGCCAGCCCTTAGCAACATGGTTGCTGCTGCCAAGGCTGTTCGCACTCAGCTTGCCAGCAGTAAGTGAGTCAACATCGTCCCTACTAATTGAGAAAATAAAACATGAACGGAAAGAATGAAGGTTTTCACTGTATCAACTGAGATCAGTTTACTTGTTATTTGCTATCTTTTTAATGTTACCTTATTCTTTTTTTTTCTCTCTCTTTCTTTTCTTTTGATCACTTGAGGGCACCTCATGAGCTGTTCAAATTTGTGAGCACGAGTTTATAAATACAAATATTTCAGTTGTATACTTGTATGCTGTTTGCTCCTTGTTCTTAATTCATCTATTATTCACCCGACTGTTACTTACTTCTAGCCTTTACTTGGTTCAAACAATCACGAATGATTACTCATTTGCTCTTTTAAAAGGGGGAAAAAAATTGTTCATTTGAAAATCAGAATGGGCACAAAAAAAAAAAAAAAAAAAAAAAAAGGCTGCAGATGTGTTCTAATCTCTTATGTGTTGCAATGTCATTCTATATCATTATATAATTAAAATCAAGCTGCAATAAATCCATTTTTGCTTTTGAAGAAATATCGCTATAACTTGGAGGTAAAAGCAAGATAAAGATATATGAGATTTATGTACATGTGTTATAATTCAGACATTTTACAGTTGGCAATTAGTCATTTACTTCAAGTACAAACACACAGGAAGCATTTTGTTCCTGAATTTCTGTCTCTTCAAGCCAAATAATAGTATCAAAGTGCTTCATATCAGGAGTCCTAAAGAATTAATCCCTTTCTGCTCTCAGTTCCTGCAAGGCTAACATTCTGAAACACAGAGGTTGACGAATAAGAAAAAACAACCATGTACAAATCAAAGTTACAGGAAATGTGTGTCGTAAAATCATGGACATGTCCTAAGTATTCGGTCATCAAGGATGGTCCTGACCACAATCTGCTCTTCACAGCCTCAGTGTTTGTCAATGGCTCTTCCTTTGACTCACCTACTTTCTGCAAATCGGTGAAAGAGGCTCAAAATAAAGCTGCTGAAGCTGCCTTAATTCATTTCATCTCTCTGTCTTCTGCTCGTCCATATCCAGGTACAAACCTGAAACTGGCTTATTTTAGTCACTAGTCAGTTCAAATTTGATTTCTGTACTCTGCTTGTTATACTCTTATCCTTTCGATGCATGGAAACTCTTGTCCCTCATGATGGTTTTATATCTTGTTTCTGAAACATGGAAACTCAAAATCTCATACACTTAATATATAGTTACAAAAGTACCTTTTCTTCTAAAAATCTCTTAGAATACATTTTTTTTTTGTTAATGCTCCGTAATACAAAACATAATTCTTTATAGATTTTTATAGGAATGTTATTGATTTATTGCACAAGGCTCTCACATTATTGTTGCATTAGGAAATGTAATCTCCAAAGACGGATCAAAGATGAAGGAAACCAATAAGAGTATTCTTCCTGCCGAATCCAAAGAAGGTGAGAAACTTCAGTTTGGTTATGGTGAACTTTTGATGTCTGAAATTCTTACTATCTGACAATATGTTAACATAAATAAAAGCAGTTACCAAGAAAATGTCAGAAGTTAAGAAGCAAGAACATCAGCGCTGTATTTCTGGTTTGGTTGGAAATTGCAGCTTTAAGAATTCAAAGTCTGATGCTAATAAACAGGAAAAAGAGACTGAAGCTGTCAATCTTGATATGAAGTCATTGTCCCTTGAAGAATTTCCACAGGTTACAATCAATCATACAACAAAATTAATCACTTTATGCTATTTTGTTTTCGTAATCAATTTTGTGATAAAATATGATTGCATGGTTTGCATTTGTTATCTTAAACAGGACACTGGACCTAAATTAGCTGAAGGAAGGGAACCCAAATCCAAATCCAAATCCAAAACGCACGGAAAGATCAATCCTACAGAAGATGATGGTTCTCTTATCCAGGGTAAGTCCCTTTCAGAATTCAGAATTAACCTGTCAGTTTTTTTTTTCTTTTTTTTTTTTTTTTGGTAATCAAGATAAACTTAGTTGTTTTCATCTGTTTCAGTCTGTTTTACTATTAAGTGTTTTAATATATATGTTTATGCTTCTTTGTCATGTAAGCCTACATGTTAGGGATTAGGGAAAACTAATCATATGTGATAGTGAGGTAATTTTGTTAAATTTTCTGTTAGACGGTTCCTTATTTCATGTTAGCCAACCCCAAATCTTTTTGGGACTAAGGTTTTGTTGTATGTACAGATTAATGTAGTATTAATTTGCTGCTTTTGCTGAATTAATGATGCTTTTTGTAAGAAAAGACATAAGAAGAAAACCATTGTTTCGTCTGAAATATGGAAAGTATATTGAAAACTTGATAAAAATAATTGCCCCATAAGTTGCTCCTCAAGGATTCTAGTCCAAAACCTAGGGTCAGTTAATAATTAGATGTGTACAATTTAACTGTATATGATACATTGCTTGCAAACACACATCTCTATTTTATCAGACAAATACGGAGTAATGTATTTGGTTCAGATATACGTAGATTTTTAACTCCTTACATTTTCACTTCAAGATATCTGTGAAGAAATTAGTCTAAAAACAATAGCATGCATTTAGATGTAAAAGAAATTAATTAATGCATGTCTCAGCACTTTGCACAGTTGACTGGCATTGGGGCCATTCTCAGGTTTCCTGTTCTGAACATAGTTTCCCTTAGGATTTAGTTAGGAAAGTTTTTTGGCTGTTTGTGAATTATGGTAAATTGGCTCCATTGACCTGTGTAGTTTGCATAGTTTTTTAATCTTGTTATAAACAAATAATTTGTGCTATTGGGTAAAACTGGGGAATTTTCTGTTTGTCAGGTGAAAAGGCTTTAGCTTCAGCTGATAAATCTTCGGGTTCAGAGAAGCAGAAAGATCCTGAAGTGACCAGTTTCTTGCTTTGCAACCGGGTCAGAGTTTACACCTATGTTCCAGAAATAGCTAATCTTCCCAAAGGGGTTACTGTGCTGCAAGTTTGTGAGAACAAATGGGTTGCTGTTAGCCTGGATTTCCCAAACGAGAAAGGCAACTAATGAAGTAATGGTGAATTTATATTGTGTAACTTATATTTTTATCTGGGAATCAGTTAGATCTTAGATATTCTTTCTTTAACAGACATCTGATTGAAAAAAGACATTGAGACTTGTTTGTAACGTTTAATGAAGGACCAGGTGTGAACCTTATTTTCTCTGATGCAGTTTTCTACTGTTTCATATCATTATTTTTAATCATCTATGATCAGTCGTCTCTAATTGTCACCTTAATTTGAGGTGATAAAAGTATAATTTTAACCAAGAAAATCAAGATGGTGTTCCAAGCCCAGCTCCTGCAATATCCTGGGTAATCCTGGATGCACCAGCATTATACTGGTTTGAGGACAGTAATCAGAGTTCGAGTTATGATTAATGAGGATAACAAACTGTCATTATTAAGAAAAAACATAGCAGTTATTGTTTTATTGCTTGAATTTGCATTTTGGGTAAGAATTGTCAGCGATTTCAAATGAAATCTAGTGTGATATACAGGTCAGAGGATGGCATTTCAGGACTATTTGAAGTTCTTGTGTCCATCTGGAAGTAGTAGTACTCCTGCATCTCATTTTTTGGGCTTTAGAAGCTTAGAGTTCGTGATGATCGTATTCCATGACACTTTTCTCTTCAACCTTGGTGAACGATTTGAACATCTTGATGGCTTGGAAGCCTAGAATTAGAATCAGAATAACATAAACAGCAAGCCTTTTCTGTGTTCCTGGCTTCCTTAGCTCCTTAAAAAGCTCACTACGACCCCCAACTTGTTTACGAATCTCATTTAACTCGTGTTTTACTTTGCTTCCCACTTGATCCTTGGCAGGGGTCTCATCTTTTTCTTTCTTCTCCATTTTATCCTCCTTGTCTTTCTGCTCCGTCTTTCCCTCTGTAGGAGCTTCGTATTGAGGCTGTGATGCAGGACGTTCTGCTTCTGCAGCAGTTTTCCCTTCATCATGTTTCTGTTCAGTTGTTGCTGGTGTGATCAACTTTGGTTGCCTGATGTAAAGTATGCCTCCTTCAAACTTAGCAGTCATATCCTTCATATCAATGTTTGATGGCACGTTAAACTCCTTGTGAAAACGCTTCCATTTGTTGTCCCCAATTGGACGTTCTCCACTTATTTTTAGGATGCGCGATGTTGTTAATTGAACCTTCAGTTGCTCCTTCCTAAAACCTGCATTTATAGTTTCATCATATGGACATATTAGGCATGCAAATAAGCATTCATAGGCTATATCTGTTTAATACCGATTTAACTAATGATATAATCCAAATGGACTCGAGCTGAATGACTCAACACCCAATAACAAACCCATACTAAATATAATCCGAATGTTCCATTTGCCACCTCTAGAGCCTATAATAGACGATATACTTATTATTTCAAACTTGTACAAAGGTTGAAAGAAGCAATAAGGTATGTTACCTGGGAGATAAAGAAGTAAGGTGTCACATTCTTTTTCAGATAACAAATCTGAAACAGGCTCAAAATCTTCATACTTGCGCTCAGAAGTGTTAGCCATCATCTTAATTTCTTATTGTTGATGAGGATGTTGTTAATAGAATTATTTGTTGTTTGTGATGAATGATTACATTTGGTTTAATTGGAAATATTTATAGAAATTTATGATTTGTTAGAGAGATTCTTGCATGTTAATTTGCTTTCAAATTGGATTATTCCAATGCTTCATGTAGACAAAGAAGGTGACCTCTGTTCTGAGGGAAAGAAAATTCTTTATGTTTCTCATGCTACTTTCCTTTCCTTTCATATATACTTTTCTCTATATCTTTAGTTTCAATGATTCATACTCCTTCGGTCTTAGAATAATTGACATGCTTGACTTTTTTTTAATCAACTTTAATCCTCTTTTATTGCTATTATATAAAATAATTTTTTTTTTATAAAAACTTGACATTCCAATAAAATACATTAAGATAAAATCAAACAACTTACTAATTATTACCATTTTATCTTATATACGTAGTAATAGCATTAAAAAAAGGGTCAAAGTTGATTAAAAAAAAATGAAACGTGTATTATTCTGGGATAGAGAGAGTAACATTTAATGATAAAATAATAATCCACTTGCAAGTTGTGCATAATTGTCCCACTTGAAGGAGAAGAGGGATGACTAGTGTATAAATCTAGCGAGCAACTCTATTTATCATTAATTGGTTTTATGACAGAATTTTGCATGTCTCATATGTGGTTAAACTCTTCTCATAAATGTGCTTGGTTTAGTCAATAAATACTTGTCATTTATAGCTATCATTCTATCAGCATATCACCAATGTTTAGCTCATAATCAAAGACGACCTTTGTAACAATTAATATCATTTATTCATCTAAATTCTAAACCGTTTAATTTGAACTATTAACTGAAGTGACAACTTATTCTAATACTATAGTATAATACACATGTACACGTATATGTATATATAATTATGGATATGTATAATTAATTTCTTTAATCGTGTAATAGAATATATAAGAATACTTGGGGAAAACGTTAATAAAAAGAAAGAGAATACTTGTAAACACCTGTCCAAAAGCTTCGTCCATATCATAAAAAGTAAGTTCATAAGACTCAATTTATGCTTGGGTGTATCTTGAACTAGAGCTGTCCAAGCTGAGCTTGAGTCAAGTTACGATTTGATCTGAGCTCGAAGCTAGCTCGACTCAAGGGGTGTAAGGTTGACAAGCTCTAAGCTAGCTCGAGTCGAGCATGAGTGGAAGCTATTATGAGCCGAATTTGAGCATGATTCTGTTCACGTTCGCCCCTCAAAAAAGATGCTTTTACTTAATATTCCCACACAATTAGCTTTTCTAAGTTAATAATTAGTCTTTATATTAATAATGATCATAAATCTTAATCACATCAAAGCATGTCGGCTTATGTATACGAGTGCTAAAAAAAAATAAAAATAAAAATAAAAAAAAATTGCTAGGTAATTATATCATGGTTGAAAAGAATATAGTCATTTGCTCATTATTCAGATTATATTAGCTATTTTACTAGCACTAATGAAAAAGTTAAAAAAAAAAAAAAAAAAAAAAAAAAAGGTGGTAAAAATGTATAAAAAGTCAATAACCTATCTTGTTCTAAAGATAAATAAAAATTAGCTTCAAAAACAGATATAAATGTTTATGCATGTATTTCTTGTGTCTTTTTAAATCGTGTGTTACCTTTTTGATGCTCCTATATACCACATGCTAAGGCCTAGGGGTCATGAAACTAAGTATAGTCAATTTTCGTATGTGCTTTTGGACATTTTGTCCATTGATTAATAATTCATGTAGTCCAGTATAGTTTATGTTGAAGTGAAGCTTGAATTGAATATGAATCAAATATCAGATTTGGATTAACATAAGTTTGAAAAGCTTCAAAATCGAAGAAAAAACCAAGTTATTGAACAGAACTTTCTATATTTGCTTGTTGATGAATAAGAATTACTATATATATATCCATGATGAGCGAAGCTTTTTACATTTTATGTCAGATCAATATGTATCTGAACCTTACATTTTATTCGTATCTTGATCATATTTACATGTATTTTGGCACAACATTGATGGGTATTTCCGTGGAGATTATAGTTCCTTGTCATCCCTCGTGATTGATTTGAACATGTAGGTAGTATAGAATCCAATGCCTAGCACTAGTAAAACAGAAACAACCAGCCTCTTGAGATTTTCTGGCTTCTTCAGCTCGCTGAAAAGTCCTCTTCTACCAACAGTTTGTTTTGGCCTTGGTGTGTATATACATTGATCTTTTACTTCTTCATCCTTCTTAGGAGATTTGCCTCTTTCCTCCTTTGAAATTGCATCTTCTGCATTGTCCTTTTTCTCCATCTTCTCATACAAACCCTTTTGAGGCTCTGACAGAGGAGCCTGTTGCTGTGACTGAGGTAGTGGCAAAGGAGCTTGAGGTTGAGGCTGAGGCAGTGATCGTGGCTGATCACGAGCTTGTAGTTTCGGCTTAGGCTGTGGTAGATCATAACTTTGTCGTTGGGGTTGAGGTTGAGGTTGAGGTTGTGGTAGATGAGGAGGCTTGGAAGGCATGGGAGCCTCTATTGCTGCTTTTCCTTTGTCTGCAACCTGTTCAGGTGCTCCTGCAGGGGTGATTATTTTCGGCTGCCTGATGTAAAGTATACCACCCTCAAACTTAGCCGTGATCTCTTTCGTGTCACAATTAGTAGGGACCTGAAATTCCTTGTGAAAACGCCTCCATCTGTTATCACCAATTTGACGTTCTCCACTTATCTTAAGAACACGCGATGTTGTTAATTGAACTCTCAGTTGCTCTTTCTTATACCCTGCATGTAGAAAATGTATTCATTATTGATCCGTTTCTTCATAGTTCATATTGATTAAACAAACCATGGAAAAAATATAAGAAATTTTTAAGTACCAGGGAGATAAATGAGGATGGTGTCACATCCTTCTTCGGGCACCATATCAAATGGAGGATCGTAATCTTCATAGACGCGGTTAGGATTAGCAACTTTGGCCATCTTTACCTGTTTCTAAATCTTGTTTGGTTTTGTTTGATATGAAAAATTATGAGCTATGTAGTTGTCTATATATACGCATACTCTCATTTGCCTTTCAAAGAGGATATTCCTATGCTTAATTAAAAACCAGGATGTGACTTCTATGACGAGGGAAAGGAAAACAAATTCCTTGTCTTTCTCATACTTCTTTTTAATCCAAACTTTGATGGAAGAATCTCTTCATTATGAAGTCTCTTGACTTAAGCAACGTTCACATTCGATGAAGAATTCCTCTGTCCGGAATTAATAATATAAGTATTATTTTTGCTTTATATTGCTCGTGTTTAATAATAATAATAATAATAATAATAATAATAATAATAATAATAAATATATAAATAAAATAAAAACTACTGTATACTCCGTATAATTTATCAGTTTTACATTTCCTGATTAGGTGATTTGGTATAGGTGGTACTGAAATCTTACGAAGATTCTATCAGTAAAAAACACATATTCGGGGATAGAATTGCATTACAATAGACATTCACTACAAAATACATATAAACTCATTGCCAATTATGAATTGAATGGTCTAACAGGAAGAGCAGCTATTGAAATTACATGGTATAGCAAGTGGTTTTAATAATACGAAGTAGACTACACTGTACACAAAATTGGCTATTTACGCACAGTAAACCACACAACTGAAATGATTCCCAATGATACCAAGCCATGGTTATATATTCAAGGCCTCTGGAACCGGTGAAAAGGGGGATTTACAAATTACAATACAATACAATCCCAGAAGGATACAAAAAACACTGCACTATCAGATTCCACAATCAAACTCACAACACAACCAATTATGATTGGCATGGCAGCTCTTTCACGTCATTTATTTACCGAGAGAATATATCATTACCTAGGGCATGTGTGTAATACCCATTATAATTCAGGCAAGTCCAAAACCGAGCAAGGCCAAAATCTCCGTGCTTGGGAGACTTGAGATAAGATGAATGCAGTTCGTTAAGATTTTCATCGAAATTTTTCTTTATCAAAATTACCTGCAGATGAAATACAGAAGAATAGGATCAATCAGGTATTTACTTATTCCATCATCCTTAAATTTAAAACCTAAAGAGACATTCTTAAGAATAAAGTCAAACAATAATGAACAATCATCCTATATTAGTTTTTTCAAGAAACTTAGCCAAATCAAACAAGAATGCAGAACCAAAACGAGGACAAAAGTATGAAACTTGCCCTCCCCCCCCCCCCCAGCCCCCACATAAACAGACAAGGAGTACACTAACGATCAGTCACATCTGTCACGTGAATGGAAGTTGTTTTGCAGGAACCTCACATAAATTAGAGTTATGTCCAACGGTAAGCTTAATATAGGCAGGGATATGATGCTCTGTAAGTCTTTTACCTGAGAAATATTGATCTGTGAAATATGGTCTATCAAACCCTGGTTGTCAGACTGAAAATCTCCCAGTCCATTGACAAGGCATGATCGAAAATCTAAGGCACATTGCAAAATTCTCTCAATGTTGTTTGATATGGATAGAGTTTCATCAGATAGGAAGCATCTGAAAAAGTGAAAATCACTTGTCATCTAAAGGTTGCTCGCCAAATGTACCAAAGATAGTGCAGGAAAAAGCTGCAAGCATAAATTTATATTTTTGCTCAAGGAAGATAACATTAACTAAGCAACAACCTGTATCATCAACTTGAACAGTTCATATAACTCCAAACTGTGGCTTCCTTCAGTTCTTTACTGGTAAAAATTTTACCTCTTCAAAATGACCATGTGCTTTATCAGAGAACAGTCATTTTAAGATCCTTTTGTATGTCACATAGCCACATAATCCTCATCCCACAAAGTTAAGAATTTACCATAATTTTAACAGGAGTATACTTAATTCTTTTGTATAAATAGTTGTGTAGTACTGTAGTTACCTTTCTCCCTATTTTACTCATTGAAATAGTGAGGGTATCTTGGAATAATCCAATGATAAATTATCAATATTTTAGGAAATGAGACAACTACTAGAAATCCCAAGATATATAAGGCCTAATATCTGCATATGCTTTTTTCCTTCACATGGTGTGTATATTGAAAGCACATGAAATAGAAAGAGAAGCTTACAGTAGCAAGACTAGCAACAGGCAAAAGTGGGGTATTACTCTTCTCTAATCATTTTTACACATGTGCATCTTCTTATCCCTAATTTTTAATGTTCAATAAGGGGCGTCCAGACAAGCACCGACAAGGGTCTTACACTAAGAGCTTAATTCATCTATTACTGCATTACTGCTCTCATCTAGTTTTGCTTTCATAACTACTTCATTCATCCCACAAAAGTTGTCCACTTTTGACATTTCACAAAAATTTAAGTTCATTAGACATCACCCAAAAATTTAGTTGTCCAAGTTTTCCTTACTACTACCTCCGTTACATATTAGTTGCAACTTTGGAATATTTTATCTCTCACAAATAATACCCAATGTTGCAACTAATATGTAACGGAGGTAGTATTATGGAATCCATTATATTCATATACAGGTATTCAAGCAACGGTTGTACAAGCTTTTACAAAGATGACATAGTATAGTTGGTATGTCAGTTAAGAAGGGGAACATCTTCAAAATGGCTAAGTTGTTGCACTAATAGAGCAATAATCAACACATAAACTACTAGAAGCACGCAATCTTTGCTTACATGCGCATTGAATCTGTTAGGTACACCATATGCACAGATTCTAGATCCATCATATCTTTGACCTGCAGTAAAACAACTCAGAGGTGAGGCAGAGATCACAGACATCCAGAAAAGTGCATATACTACAAGAAATGGAAAGATAAAAGCATAACACTTCCAAGAGAGAGAGAGAGAGAGAGAGACAGAGTAAAGAAGAGCAAAATGCTTAAACTCAAGCCTTAGGAAGACCTGCCATCAGATGTGAAGAAGGCTTAATAGTCTAGCACCAACTATGTCAACTCCCAAACCCCTTGATAAGCAACTGGTGTCACTTTCCAATGTTCAGATTTCTGAACCACTAAAAACTCTAAATAATCATACAGTGAGGCCATTATGAATGAAAATACAATGCAGGGGGTTAAAGCAGTAGAATTGGTATAGATATGATGTATTCAGAGCTCTTGATTTTTAATTTTCCACCTATATTAGTTCCATTTAAAATAAAGCACTCTAGTCGAGTAAATCTGAAGGAATGCTTCAATAATTTCCTCTTTAAATGCCTGACTGATTCATCTGATGCACCTCATGTGGCCATGCAAACTAGGAGAGAAGAAAGGAACAAACAAGGGTTTTTTTTTTTTTTTTTTTTTTTGAAGGGTGTTGAGGGATATCAAATAGATAGAAATATGATATTATAGAGAACCAAGAGAAATGAGACAGAAAAAGAAACAACGTATACTTATAGGTTATAGCACTGGCTCAAACCTCATGCTTGAGGGAGAAGCAAAATCTACTCCAGGATACATCCGATAACTGTGATAGCACATATTGCTGCAACGTGGAGACAAAATGATTAACCTGATGCCTGAAACACAACAGTAAACTACGTCATCAACCTGTGATTAGGTGGAGTCACTTGAGATTGTACATAAATGTGGAAATCTATTGTAAGTTGGATTATAAATATATTGATCAAGAACACGAATAAAAAAGAGGATATAGTAGGGATTAGTTACAGAACAGAATTACACAAGGCTATTGCTAGTATGATTCCTTTTTTCTCCAATTTTTTCTTGTTATTAGAGTAAAAATTTTGGTTTTGAAGTTGCATCTACACTAAGCATATGGAACATCACATAGTCCAGAAACCTTGTCATCCATATCAAAGAAGCAGCCATATAGGAAAGAACCACTTCAAAACAATTGATCATTGTTTTCCATTTACATATTAAAACTAAGTAGAAAGCATTGTCTTATCAAAGGCCTTGTTTGGCTACTGCTTACTGATAAGGGAATAATTGGAAGGCCCAAAAATCTATACTATTTGGCTGGAAAATTTCCAAAACGTCAAGTTCTTTATGTAACAACTTATCTTGGAGATCCATGAAGATTGTTGTCTTCTTTGGTTCAACAAATTTCACTCTCTTAAAAGTTATTGTGGTCAAACGTCCACCCATAGCATTGCAACCAAGAATATAGTTTTATAGATTCAACTTCTTTGGGTGTTTCTAACCCCCCCCCCCCCCCACCCCCAAAAAAAAAAAAAAAAAAAAAAAAGAAAAACAAGTAGCGCATTGTACGTTGTACTTAACTCCCAGCCCCTCTCCAAGCCACAGGTAAGCAATTTTCTATGTCTCGTAGGAAGTTCTATACAAAAGATATGTGAAGCTTCTTGTAATTTAACTAGCCAAACAATGGCCATACATATGTTCCAAGGAAGTTTGACTTTCATATATTTGGAGTACCAAAGTATACCATCAGAAAAAGCTTTGGTTTTCCAAGTTATAACAAAACTACATTTTGGTCCCTTCCCACACTAACACCAAATGGCAAATGCACCCCACTCCCTCCCACTCACACACATAAAAAGAAAGATCAAAATTGGCACTCACCCCCTTGGCCCATTTAATCCAGTGACAATGGGCAGTTGGGCACTGTGGAAATAATTCTGAGCTATCAACTACTAGTAACTACACCAAACCAATAGGTGGCGCCTACATGCAGAATTGCAGATGACAAGAAGTGTATTTGATTCAGATAAAACATAATTCTACGGTTCCTACTTTGGACACAGATTTGAGATTTCTGTCTAAAGAAGATAGTTAACAGAACGACCAACACCAAAATAAGGCAAACAGAAGCTTTCAGGACATTTCAATTGGTTAAAATACCTCAATTTTACGATGCAATTAAATTTTGTCCTTGCCTGCTGATGCTGTTCATCAGTCTCACTGATTAGGTGCTTAAAAACCTGCAGACACAAGCAACGAAAAGCCGTTATCCAAGGTTGGTAATGTAATGTGAGAAATTAGAATGTTTTACTATTAATCAGATCATTAATAGCATATTTTCAACACATCTACAACCACATATCATAAGCAAGAGCACCATATAAACCAATGCTGCATATAAGTATATAACAGTGGTCATTTCCAATTTAGGTGATACATGTATTTTGGACGTTTTGTCTCTATATTCTCACTTCCATTCAATCACGTGTCAAAAGTGTTTGTAGCAACTATATTGGGACAGAGGGAGTGCAATAAAGTATAAACAATAAATGCCCCAATTACCCAACAGAATAGAACCATCAGAACAGATGTGATGAAATGGTGATTTGGAGGGAACACAAGAATTCACATATAAGAAGAAAAAAAATGTGTATATGGGGAAATTACCTACTCTTTGATAATTGGGTTTTTGAGTTTTGATTTCATGAGTTCATGACAGGTATAAAGATCAAAGTCAACACATGATTAAATATCTTTTACAAATATATATGATATGCTCTACCTTCAACGGACCATTTACTTTAAACCATCCAATATTCTATAAGCAGCTCAATAAATCAATACCTTCAAAGAGCACCATACATCAGCCAAAGACAGAACAGCAAGCTTGAGCTGTATGAGATAAGTGAATATTTCAGCATATATTCTCAATGCATTTGAGGTCAGCACGATAGTGACCGGCCAATCAACTCTGTAACCAAGTCCTATAAAATCAAATGAATGGAGCCCTGCAATTCACATGATTACTAAGCACTTCAGAGACTAAAGAGCAAACGGCAGCCGCAGATGAGATATGCAGATCAAATAATGAAAACACTGAGATGAAGGGATAATCACAAAAGATTTGAAAGTAAGAAAATTACCAAGTGCAGCAGCTGAAAAAGGAGTCGTATTCTGATTTTTCACAAAAACATACAAGCGACCCTTATTATGATCTCTCTCGCATGAAGACCTCTGGATTGATGACTCAAGTAACCCTTGAATTTCTGGAATTTTTTGATCTGCCTCAGTAAAGCACCATTTCTGCATCATATAGAAAATTTAATAAGATGCAGCATAAAAAGAACAAATAAATCTGTCCATTTTGCTGTTTCCAGAAACTGTACTCCATATTTGATGATAAATTATTTCTGTAGACAGGAAAGAATGAAATATGCCGTACATGATGCCAAAGAGAAGTGACAAATATATCTGCCCAGTCTGCTGTTTCCATAAAAAGATACCGTCGCAGAGCGTGAAAATGCTCCTGAAGATCAAAACCTCCTTCCAGTAACTTGATACTCAGCCTGCTTACATAGATATATCTGATATAGTGAAGGAAAAGCACCACTTGAATACAAAGATTTCTAACTAATTGATGCAGCATTTCTAGCATTTTCCACGGTGGGGTGTTTTGTTTTTGGGGGTGTGCAGGTGTGGCTTGACAGTAATCACAAGATTTATACAGAACGATATCAGATGTACAGAAAATTCCTTAAGAATAAAAAAATAATACTAATATTTCCAAAACCAAATTATATAGGACACTGCAACATAATCTCTTGCATGAGGCATTTGTCGATGATAAAATCAAGTGGAATTTCAAACATAGCCTCTTTACCATGCTCGTGCTCTCTATCTGAATCATGATCAACTCTGAATGAACCACGGAGCAAGACTTGCCAGCTACTCCCTCCACAGGCATTTTTCAGATCCTCTAGACTGTTCTCTGAGTTCAAAGATGCAGCAGAACGGTCCAAATAATCCTTATCCAGTTGAAGATTCACTGCCTTCTGTCCCTTTCCAAAGATGTCCACATTCCCAACTGCTGTAGTTTTTGTATCAGCGGAGGGGAAAAGTTCATGCCCAATATGGTGCCTTTGGTCAACAGATAACCTTCTTTCGTAGGCCTTCATAGGATCAGTGGCAGATGAAAAGTCGAAGCAAGGGAAACGTTTGCTAAATTTAGAAGAGTTCTCTTTAGGTTTATTTACATCTTGAATGAAAGCATTTTTTGTCAGCATGGGGTTCATACTAAGAACATTGCTGGAGTATTTAGCATTCCATGTCTGGACAAGATACGAATTTGAAGAGGAAAGTTCATTCCCATGACATTCATTATGCATCAATGTACCCTCAGTTGTAAATTGCTTACTTACACTCGGCATGATCTTAGGCTGATCACTGTCACTAATATGCGAAATTTTGTCATCTTTGTATGTTTGGGCGATGCTAAAAGGATTTCCTTGGAGACCTCCTAAAGGCCAACCCAGAGAAGGAACTTCACCTGAATATTGAATTTCAGAAATCCAAGGTTTAGAGATCTCAGTTAGCTCTGTGCATGAAGCATCATGTTTCCTGATGACAAGTTTCCTAGAACAAGAATCTATTAAGTCATTATGCACAACCTCTTCCACAGGTTTGCCAGAAGAGAGGTTAGAGAAACACAGAGAAGATAAATAACTTGGTTCGGTGCATGCCAAACTATCTTGACAATCAAATGACTGCGCAGCATCAACTTGCTCATCTGAATCATCTGTCGATGAACATTCAGAAAGCTCCAGAGGATCCAATGTGTAAGAGAAATCCTCTTCCATGCTAGAGACCTCTGAATCCCTGCATTGGAAAGATCCAAATATTAAGGGAGATTGAATACAAAGGTTATTTTGTAAAACAATCAATAATAATTAATTAGTTAAGATAGTTGTGCTACTATACAAACACCCCAAATAAATGCACTCCATACAGAAAAAACTAGTCATATACTCTTTTAGGAAGTCTAGAAAATGTTACCACATTTTGTAAAAATATAATGGTTGGTGAGTATTAGTGTATTAACATACCTTTACCTAAATGATTAGTATGGGATGGCCAAACTATTATTAAGGGTCATGAGTAAATTTGACTCATTTTGAATTATTAAAGATTGGGACAATGTGACAATATAATTTAATTAATTATAGTTTTTCTTTAATTTTACTAAGAAGTTACACTCCCGTTCAGCCATTCAACTTCCCTCTTATTCATTATTAGGCTTGGAATTTTTATTATTAGTTTTTTTTTTTATTATTTGGGGGTTAGAGCCATCAAAATAGGTCAGCAGGCTCATCTAAATAAAACCAGATAATAACTTCCCTGTTGTTCCCACGATAGCATGCAGCAGTGGACTCGTCCACATGTCTGACTGTGAAAGAGAGATGTAAAATAGGAGAGGCAAGAGAAAAAGATAAGATATATACTGATTTAGATCTCTATTATCTGAAGATGAAAGGAGAACTGGTGTCTTGTCCAAATTAGAGAAATATTGAGCATCTATGTTTCCTCCAACATAGCTGGTACCAACAGAGAATTCATCATACAAAACTACCTGCAAAAACAATTACCAGAAACTTGACTAAGAATGATTGTGACAACTTCAAAAAGGTTATATCTCATAAAGCAACACAAAGTGAAAAAGGAGTGCTTTGGAAAATCATGTAGCAACGTCATAGAAATATGTGAAGATATAGAATAAGAAAATTGACAACTAAGCGGATAAAAGTTGTATAATTCAAGTGAGGATGTAGGCAACCTCTACAGTTCCTCATCCCCAGAATTATGTTCACATTTCTTGGTTCATCAAGCAACTATGGAAAAGGCTATTATAAGATGATAGGTGTATGGTAAGAATTAGTGTGCCTAGTACTGGAGACGTGCATTTATTTACAAGGGAAGTATGGCAGCTTGAGTGAGAAGCTTAGAGCCAAGGACAAGAAGATTTTATGGGACAAGAAGATTTATACAATTGCAGGAAACCCCAAAACCTTTTTTTAAATGTAGGGGTCTTCTTGGCTTCCTTTGTCATTATAGTGAAGGACTTCTAAATGGATGCTTCTATTTTATTTTTTGTACAGTACTTAGAGTTTCTCAAGGCGGGCATCTACAGCAGCTGGATTTATAGAGGGCTTACATTGGTGGTGGTGGTCTTAGCAGTAATGGCAAACCATACAGTAGGTGTGTTAGTTTAACAAATCAATGTTGGTTAAGCACATCATCAGAAGAGACTCTATAAGCATTAATCCCCTAACTGAAGTCCCACAAAGACGGCAAACTCTTCTGTTAAAGGAAAAGAGAAGGCATTAGAATTTCCTACAAGGCTACAAGCACTCAGTATACGGTTGAACTAACTGCATTTTGCAAGAACCTTAGAAATCTAAAGTAGAAAGGTAAAACGATGATTTTGGAAAGGAAAAAAAAAAACAGCTTCATCTCAAGCTAAACCACCAACCCCTCAGATGAAACCTCTAAAATCACAAACAAAAGATGATATCCTCACAAATCAAGACATTTGATAAATGAAGCAACAGTAGATGGAATAAAAACCAAAACTTATCTCAAACTAATCCAACTACCCCTCAATTAAAACATTTTAGATTACAAATTATTTAATAAGAACATACAGAAAAATGAATGGATGGGGAAATTTCAGTCACATCACAATATCTTTACAGAAACATAGCAGCAAACCCTTTATCACTCTTCATGAGATGGTAGTTCACACTGAGCTGGACCTATTAGACAATATGAAAAAAGTAGCCACGGGAAAGGAATCAAGATCATTCAACAAATTCTAAATTCTCAGAAATTATTGCTATGGAGCAAGTCAAAAGAAAGAAATTTATAACATAAATTACTAAATTCTTATACAACTCTTAATGTTTGACTCAAGGAAAATGTAATTCATAAATGATGAAAATGAAACTATTTTGGCCATGGTAATAACTTAAATCTAGCAAAGAAGATTACCTGACGATATTTGATGTCTAAAGTGTCCATAAATTTATCAAGTTTTTTATGCATCTTGTAGTAGAAATTCTTCCTTGATAGTACAGTGGCTTCTATTTCTCCTTTATTAAAACTTAATGGAGAACCAGAAACTTCACCACTGCAAAAGTCACTTGAGCATGGAAGGATGTCATCAAAAGTATCTTCTCCAGCATGAACATAATTGCACAGTCGAAGCAATTTCATTACCATTTGCAATTGCTGGCCTGCTCTCAGCAATGGAACTAAAACATCTCTAAGAAAACAAGGAATGGAAGCTCCATCTTGTTCCTGGAAGTATTTCCAAAAGAGCATCAATAGCACAGAACCAGAATATCCCAATCAAATAGCACAGTGTGCATGTTTGGTTAACATGTTGAAAAACACGGAAAGTAGGACTTATTTGGTTTCTACTTCCCATGATCAACTAAATAAAATTTTACACTTTTTAATAAATGAAACTACATGGGAAAAACAACTTCTTATGCACAACGAAACAACTACATATTACAATTTCAGAGATTATTACCCTAACAGATGCCAATGGGAAGTCAACAGGGGTGCCAGCTTTACCATGTGAGTAAGGAAGAGGATCTGCAGAATGTTTTACTACAAATTCGTCATAAGGGTCACTAATCTTGGCCTCATAAATCCACGATCTGATGAATCTACAATATGGTTCAAGTGACCGAATAAAAAGGAACTTGAGCAGACTGCAGTGAGCTGGATCAACAGCCTGTGGGGATCAATCAAAATTATTATAGATTACAGGATCATACAGTTTTTTTCTTTAGAGGGGGGGGGGAGCACTTTTCACCAATGACAAAACTACATTTCAGAGTTCAAACTGCTATTTCATCCAGACAAAGAAACAAAGAGAACCGAAGTAGAAGTGAGGCAAGCAGGATAGACAACTTCGTCTCAATGAGCAAAAATCTTATTTTGTCTAATGGTTTAAATAAGGTTAGCAGCACAACTATTTCAGTTAAATTGTCAATTACTTAATATAAATAAGTGCCCAACAACGCAGCAGGTAAATTTCTATAACTGTTGACCAAATATTAAGGCACAAAGTTTAGAGCACAAAGGGTGTAATAAGTAAATGCTGACGCGAATGAATGAAAGTAGAGTTAAAGACTCCATATTTTTTCTGTCTTATACTATGACATGTCATACACTTCTCCAACCTCCCCGTTATTCTAACAATCCATATAAGCAATTGTCCCTACTAAAAGCAGAAAATGAAAGAACATGGAGACAAGATATCCAGGTTTACCTGCAGCTGTCTATACAAAAAAGTGAGCAAATCTCCTCCTCTAGGGAAGTTACGAAATTCCACACTTGCTTTGACAATCACATCCTCAAAGGAGATTGATGAGAAGCAAAGAGCCAAATCATTTAAACAGCAAAGATGCCCAAGCACCTCGATTTGAACCCTCAATTCTTTTGTGTGCATATAAGTCTCCAATAAGGTAACTTCAGAATGTGAGATGCTTGTGAGACTACCTTGTTGTGAAGCCTTAGATACCGATTTGACTTCATTGCAAGAACGCCTCATATTCACAGAGGCACTTAATGTATCCAATGCACATAAATATCCTTCCAATACTGTTCGAACAGCAACTGCAAATGCCTGATTTACAAGGCTTTGTGGACGATGCCTCACATCAATACCTTCATCCACAATTACCCCTGCTGGACCAGGCTTTGCTTGTTCTATCTCTGTCATGCCATCGGCAAAACTTGTATTCGTAAAATAATCCACAAACTTATGGAGAAGAATAACCAGGGAACCAGAAAAGCCAATAGATTTTAGTATCTTTCCCAGTGCACATGTGCTTAAAGATCTATTCCAAAGAGTTGGAAGACGATGACCAGATCTGTCAGCAGGATCCGCACATAATAACATTGAAATGTGTTCAATACTAATAACTGCTGACTGAACACCTTGCAATGCATTTAACACCAAGCGCACCAAGCTTGCCTCCTGACAAACATAACTCCAAACGTAAATCCAGACATCTGGGAAAGCAACTGTAATGAATCCCTAACAGCATAAATACTGCAGCTTCTATGAAATGTAAACTCCAAACTTACATACATTATACAGTACCGACCAGTACAAGACTGTTTCACAACATTCTAAGATTTTGGTACGCGATTCAACTTGTATCTATCACGCAAAATACGGAGAACAATATATGGATGCAATCCCCAAATTAAACCGGTTTCTTAGCATATGACTCTAGATTATGGCGTCCAACAATTCTGTTCCGTACAATTTCCATCATAAACATTAAACAAACTCAGTTCTCCTAAAATGACCTAAAATAGCATAATTCAACTTTGGAAATTCACTATAAAATCTACACTCAAAAGTGTTTGAAACCGAAAAAAGCACTAAATTATATCACCAATATCGCAAAAATAGAGCTTAGAATAAGGCTAATAAAGAATTGCATACAATTCAACAAATTCAAACCTAATGAGAGAAGAATAGCTTACTGAAACGGAGGAAATGTCGTAAAGAGAGCCACGAAAGGAAGCATTATGTGAGGAGAGAGAAACAGACGCGCCATTTTCAGAAGGAATAGACTCCCAAGGTTTAGGAGGAAGCCATGGATCTTCTAGCTTCAATTGTCGAAGCAACGATTCTTCAAATTGTAAATCTACCGCCATTTTCTACCTCAAAAACACGATCAAATTACTCAATTAGGGTTTTGTAACATTTCAATTCTGCTCAGTATCATACATTTGCAAAAATCAGTTAACCTAAAAAATTTCGATTGATTTCGACGAAGAGTGAGCTTCAGTGAACTTGAACCGATTAGAGGAGAGAGAAAATTGTCGCCGGCGAATTTGTGATGGTCAGAGTCGGAAAACTGAGGAGAGAGAAAAAGGCGGGGAAAAAGAGAGGGTTTTTTTTTAAAAGGTTTGGTAAAGTGGTCCGATGATGGCGGATGTTGGGTTAGAGGCTCCGAGCACATGGTCATGTTAGAGAAAATGTAGCTCGCTACCTTGCTCCCCAATAAAGGTCATGTTTGATAAATGGCCTTTTGGGAAAAAACTTGCGTGACCTAATCCACAAAAATATAGTGACTCTTATGTTGAACATAGTAATCTTAATTTTAACATAGTTACCTTCATCTTTCATATTGACCAATATATAAAAAAATTCATTAAAAAAAACAAAACAAAACAAAAAAATAAAAACCTCTTATAGGCTTTATAATACCACAATGACTTTTAGTTCAACATAACAACCATTTAAATATAGTGACTTTTTTTTTATTAATAAAACAACCATAGTGTCTCTAATGTTAGTGGTCCACAATAAATTAGTGTGAACCAAGTTCATTTAAGAATTTGTTGGCCTTTTAATGGTTTTTTTTGTTAGCTTTTGACTTTTGGATTTTTTATATGGTCAAAAAAAAAAAAAAAAAAAAAAAGTGTTTGGTAATAACTTTTCATTCAGCGAAAAAACTGGCTTAAGCCAATATGGAAAAGTTGCTATAAGTAGTTTTTTTTTTGTTGGCTTTTGGCTTGTTGGCCCACAAATTATCTACGGAGTAATAAACAGCCAACATCTCAATTTACTACACTTTTATAAGCAGCCAATTTCAAAAGTCATTATAAACAGCCAGTCATTTGCCAAACAAGGCTAAGTCTATGCCCAAGTTCTTTTCTGTTTCTAATTACTACTATTGTTGTTAATTTTATATAGTTACTGTTGTGGTGAGGATTCCAATGGAGAAAGAAGGACAATTAAAGAGAGTATGTTTTACGAAGTATTATTATTATAATGTTGTTGATTTTATACCGAGTGTTGATTTTATACTGTAGCTAAATTAAATGAATTATTTTGTCTAACCTTTTATATGAAAGTACATTTTTGTCCTAGTGGGCTATCACGCCTCATCATCTTAAAATGTTAAGGGACATGGTCCGCTATAAATTATGTTTGTTTGTTATGTTGTGTTTTATGCAATGTATTTGGTAGACGGTAATAAATTTTCACGGATAATATATCAAAGCATTATTAGCCTATGTTAACATGGAGTAATAATCTATCTTCAAACACTGGCTATAACATTTTTTTCCCATAATTTATTTGTGATATAATATAAAAATGAGGCAACTTATGTGGAATAAACAAATGCAATGCATGTAAGAAAAGATGAAATAATAAGGCAAAATTTATGAAAATTACAATTGAGGAAAAAAAATTATTTTTGATTAGTTGTGTTGAAAATATTTTAAAATAGTGTACATTATATTATATTAATGATGCATGTTATTCCCATAGAACTATACAATGTAGATGTCGTATGGCATTTTATAAATGAATTAATTTAGTCTTAAAAAAAAAAAAAAAAAAAAAAAAAAAAAAAAAAAAAAAAACTATACAATGTACTTCAAAAAAAAGCTAAGTAGAATACTTTTTTAAACATAAAACTTAAAGCTGACATCATATATTTTATGGGCAGGAAATTTTTTAATGATTGCTTGACATATGTTCAAAATGATCGATGTAAGTATGACCTGTTTTTAGTAATAGTTAAAAGATTTTTTAAAGGGAAAAAAATGTTATAAGTTGGTAAAATTATTACAGAAATATTTAATAGAAAACACACTCAATTATTATTATTTCATAAGATTTCAAATAACACCATGAAAAAAAAAATGTTTTTTTTTTCTTTCCATTGAACCCCACTGTTGTCCAACTAGATAATGGTAATTTAGATGTTAATATTTTGTGTTTGGCCCTTGTTTTGTATATTGTCCATCATATTTCAACCTTCTAAATCATAGCTCATTCTCCCTTGATTAAAAGGTCTCAAAATCTTGTGTAACTATTTTAAGTAAATAGAATACGAAATAAAAAGAAATACAATTATTATAAAGATAATATATAAGATTAGGATAATATATTACTGTATTATAGTTGTATGATCCAAATATTCCAATATAAAAGATTTTTGTGAAAAAGGAAGAAGGGAGTTTTGAAGGGAAAAAACAGCACCAGAAAATGATACGTGTCATTGCTGGTGTCTGTTTTAGTATTATGTTATAATATATTGATTTTATTATTCCTCTATTTTTTTAGTTAACACATTTCTTTTATCACGTTTATTTAGCATGAAATCTAATTGAGAAAAATTTAGATAATTCTCTTATATTTTTAAAAAGGGAAAAGATTTTAAATAAAAATATCATTATGAAACGATGAGACATGAAAGTAATTTTGTAATTGACATCCACCTATCTCATCGAAACAAACAAAGAAGTTTCACAATTGACTAATCAACGCCGGTGTTGGCTTAATGACCCAAAACTTTTCACTAATGGATTGATGCTAGTCTCTTGTCCATGTTCGTCATACTCTAGTAGTGTTACACAATTTGACTAATCTCTGTCCCCACAATCGTATCCTGTTTTAGATATAACCGCCCGTTGAGAAAAACATACACATAAAAACAGAACACATCCCTTTTTCTTTGATTCTCACACTTACAACGATGCAGAATACTTTCACTGTTACAGATTGTATTTAGACAAATTAATTAATGAAAAGATGTAATTTGTTTCTTGAATTTTCAAATAATAACACCCTTTTAAATCTTTGTTTATATTTCAGTGATTATGACATAATTATACCGATGGGTTAAATAATTAATGTTTTGCAGATCTTGTTACGTAAGTCAAAATATTTGTCATTTATTTAAGACGTGTAGTAGGAGCAGGTGTACTTGATTAAGTGAGTGACATCTCAACTTAATTTGCTGCAAAAAAAAAAAAAAAAATTCAATGGAGAAGATAATTGAAGGAGGGAATTTGTTGTTTGCTGTTAATGGTGAAAGATTTGAGATACCCATTAGTGTTCATCCATCAACTACTCTGCTTGAGTTTCTAAGAACTCAAACTCGTTTTAAAAGTGTCAAGCTTGGTTGTGGAGAAGGTTAGTTATTCTTACTTCACTTTAATTTCCTTTAAATTGATTCTATATCCAAATCCGACGGATTTAGTCATCGGGTTTGCTGTTCATGTGTGTGAGATTGATCAATATCGGATGTTGATATTGGGTGTGAATTACTGTTTCATATCATTTATGTTACTATGGTAGGTGCTATTTGCATGAAATTTGAGACTTTTATATTATGAAAAATTTTATTGGGTTTTTGTTGGAATTATTATGGTTTGATCTGTTTATAGATAAGGATTATGCGTGAGTGAGTGAGTATGAGTGTGTTGTTGGGAGTTATTTTTCTCTGAACTTTGCAGCATTTATGTTGAATTACAGATGAAATATTACTGTAATATATTTTTGTATGATATTAGGTGGAAAAGGAAAAAATGAAGTCTAATCCAGAAAGTAAATGAGTTGATGTTTCTATCACAAATTTATCTTACTATGGGGAAGAATTGGAATCTAGAAATTCTGCTTTGGGTAATTGAAGAATAATTTTTGTATCATTTTCGTTATATATGACTTCACTTGGTGTTCTAAAAGAACATAATTTCGATTGAAAAAGATACTACCTCCGTCCCACTGAAATTTCCCCATATGACCATTTTCGGGTCAATCCGAGCAATCCAGTGGGATGGAGGGAAAAACAATGGTTTGCATGTGTAGAACTGTAGAAGGAATGGATTGTTGGTAACTGATTTGAAGCGATTGTCAAATGGAATTTTAATCAGATTATTCATGGATAATCAGTTCTAAAATTTGGTTTTGTAATTGTGTTTAGTGCATCTTTTGAATCTTTGTGAAAAGTTGTGTTGTCATTCGCTCAGGGTACGAGATAGATTGGAGTTAAAATTTGTTTGTGACATAATTGTTCAATGTCAATAACTGCAGGTGGTTGTGGGGCTTGTATTGTTCTGCTATCCAAATATGATCCTGTACATGATAAGGTGGAGGATTATACAGTTAATTCATGCCTTACGCTGCTTTTTAGTATACATGGTTGTTCCATTACCACGACTGAAGGCCTTGGAAGTCAAAAGGAAGGTTTTCATTCAATACACCAAAGATTTGCTGGATTCCATGCCTCTCAGTGTGGCTTCTGTACGCCTGGAATGTGTGTTTCTCTTTTCTCGGCCCTTGTTAATGCTGAGAAGAGTAATAGGGAAGAATCCTCACCCGGGTTTTCAAAGCTTAAGGTTACTGAGGCAGAGAAAGCCATTGCCGGAAACCTCTGTAGGTGTACTGGTTACCGGCCTATTGCTGATGCTTGCAAAAGCTTTGCAGGAGATGTGGACATTGAGGATCTAGGATTCAACACTTATTGGCAAAAGGAGGAGGGCAAGGAACTTAAGGCGAGTAGGTTACCTGTTTATGATAGCAGTTGTCAGATATCAACATTTCCTGATTTTTTGAAGAGTGAATTAAAGCTTAGAATGTTATTGGATTCGGGAAAATATTCTTGGTATACCCCCTTTAGCATTGAGGAACTCCAAAATAAGCTGGAATTGAGTGAGGCCAACTACGTAAATCGTGTCAAATTAGTTGTTAGTAATACAGGTACAGGGTATTATAAAGAACTAGAAGGCTATGACACATACATAGACTTAAGGTACATTCCTGAGCTCTCTATGGTTAAAAGAGATTCTGAAAGTGTCCAAATTGGGGCAGCTGTGTCGATCTCTAAGGCTATTGTCACACTGGAAGAAGGTGGTCAAGATAGACTGAGTGGGGGCAGTGTAGCAATGCTTAAGAAAATTGCTGCCCATTTTGAGAAAATTGCTTCTGGGTCGATCAGAAACTCAGCAAGTATAGGTGGAAATTTAGTTATGGCGCAGAGGTCTGGATTTCCTTCTGACATTGCTACTGTTCTCCTAGCTGTAGATTCTAGTATAGAGATAATAAGAAGCTCAAAAAGGGAGACCATAAAATTGGAGGAATTCTTGGTAAGGCCGCCTTTAGATTCAAAAAGTATAGTTGTGAGTGTCAAGATTCCGATTTGGGAATCTTCCTCAAAATCAAATTGTAAAGTTATGTTTGATACCTATAGAGCAGCACCTCGTCCTCTGGGAAATGCATTGGCATATCTAAATGCTGCTTTCCTTGCTGAAGTTTCTCCCAGCAAGTCTTCTGATGGCATCATGGTGAACAAGATTCACTTGGCTTTTGGTGCTTATGGGACTAGGCATGCAGTGCGGGCTAGAAAAGCTGAAGAGTTTTTAGCTGGCAGAGATATTGACCATGAATCCCTCCGCAAAACAATGAATTTAGTTCGGGCTGCTGTGGTGCCTGAAAATGGCATTTCACATCCTTCCTACAGGATAAGCTTAGCTGAGGCATTTGTTTTTGAGTTTCTGCA